CCGGGGGCGCGCAACTGGGAAGCTAGGGTATTTTCATGGTTAAAGTTCGAGATCTGAACCCACCAGGTGTTTATAGTGTTATATAACATATGCCATATGCATTGTATATATATATATTATTATCTATATACAATGAATATTAATGTTGTATGTACATACATACTTATATGGCACATTAACATACATTGACCCATTGACTCGTGTTCGAATTGGGTGTCTTTAAAACATGAATTGGTGAAGGGTCTGTTGATTGGTGATTTTCCGTAACCCCGTTTGTGGGCTGCCCCAGTAAGCACGCCTGTTTTTGCTGGATAGTATAGTGTTAACAGACTGGTTTAAACAAACATTGCCTTAAAAAAAAAAAATGAACTGTAAACTAAAGGAGAAGACGATAGATTTGCAATGTTTTATATAGACTGGTTTCAGTCTAGTTATACCACCGAACAGCCACAAAAAATAGGAAGGGAAACTACAGTAGTGGAAACAATTGAGTGTACAGCCTATGTTTGTGGATGATTGTTTGAGTCCACAAATGTGATTTGCTGGATTTTGCGAGATGGTTCTAATATTTGGCCATGGATCAATGCCTATAAATACAAGTTTGTTTTAGGGGGATGGACATCCATTGACTAGCTATATTGATGTTCACCAGATTGCTAGATGGCGACGGGGAAAGAAGTCAGGTCATTGGTATGTTCAAGTCAGATCATTTAAAGCCACAATTGCATGGTTAGGTAGTTTAACATGGCTTAATCATTGAGTACATGTAACATCATGTAACATGTATTTATTTTCAACCCTTGTTGGGTTTGTGATGCCGAACTATGACTCGTGTTTATTTATTTCACACCGAACTAAGACGACTTCCCAGATGCAGCCGCACTTTCAAGCAGCCTACGGTCACTGCGTCTCCCAGTTGTACTTACAGGGAGACTGCTGGGTCACAGATAGGTGACGCATTGATTCTTCGGCCACCAAAGGCCAGGGTATGGACAGCAAAAGGTGGACCTGTCTCAAACTTATAGGGGTATAGATGTATCTTAGATGTATGATATGTAATAGAAGCTCTATCGACTTACTGCAAAGTGGTTCCATATGTTTTTATAGTAGGAGAACAGCCCCTCTCCATCCCATCACAACGAGCCTCCGTCGACTTTTGTGCTGACTTCGTGAGGGCATCCGACCATCCATTCCTGCAGATGTTGTGCATCCAGTGGCTACACTCCTCAGAAAAGTGGTGGAAGAGTGGTGGAAAATGAAGGTTTTCTAAAAAGGGGGTACTCCAAAGGCCCAAAACCACAGGATTTCGATGCTAAGTTGGTCTAACTCTTGCTGATTTGGGAGAACCATGGGGTAGCACCTCTTTAGGAAACCCCGAAGTGATGTTGATAGAGGAAGATAGAGGCACAAACCCACACAATCCTTTGAGACGGTCCATCAACAAATTACCCACTGCATTTCAACAAAATCTCGCTGCGCACCACGGTTGGATGCCATGCGCACCAGTGGACGAAACATGACGAAACAACAGCATTATGGGGGACCCCAATTTCTATTAGTTTGGTGTATTTTTTCCATATTTATCCTGTTAACACATAGCCTCTTTGGGGCGTAGCTCATTTTCATATACATATAATATATGCCCACATCATAGAATTGTTTCTTTCATAAGATGTTCCTCAATTTATTCCCAGTATACCATTTCGGATCAACCACGACCAGCGTTTCTATGTTGAAAAAGTTCATGCCATGGGAAAAGTTGGGAGGTTTATTGGCAATCTTTGAATGGAAGCACCTTTATTCTAAAATACTGTTTAATGATGTTCAATGTATGACATAGGCATGCATAAGCGGCATAATCATCTTCGGAGGTCGGAAAACATCATCCAAAAAAAGCACGTCGTTTTGCCAGTTTCCGCACATCCAAGAGGGTGACACGTCAATAAGATCCAATAAGGTATGAGTACCAGAGACTGAATGAGCCTATTGGTCGTCGGACATTGGACGCAACATGTTGCTTCAATATTTGGAGTTGACACCCATCTCTAGCTCAACACAGCCATTCTTTGAAGCGCATGACGTCCGCCGTCTTTCCCTGCAGCAAGTTTTTTGCAGCTAAACTTCGTGCTGGAGGTGTCGTCACGTGTGTGGATGTTAATGGTTGAAGAACCATATGAAACGAGTATCACCTACAGTGGTCGAAATTGAAACTTAACCATTTCAATTGAATGTTCATTTATGCTACTGCCACCTTCATTGTGGCTTGGTGACATCATGCACGAAGTTGAGAAGTTGCTCACTGATCTTTCGCTTCGCTGCTGCAGAAAGCCGGCATCCGAAGTTTGAGAGGACCTTTGAACATCTTTGAACTTTGACGCCATTATCGCAGCGTTGCCTCGGTACTGTCTGCCCCCAATTCTTTTAACTGGGAACATGCCGCGCTTCTTTTTGTGAAATGGACCGAGAAGTTCATACTGCTTGGTGGCTTCAAATCGTTCACTCCAAAACATTCCTACCTTATTTGGGTTAAATATTTAGAACTTCTGACTGCCGGTTGATATTTTTCTTAATTGAGTTGAAACATTTGAAACAGCAAGCGGTACAACCCTTGCCAACAAATGTAACGTATGCTATGTGATTGCGCAACTTTGGCATGCGCAATCTTTCACTTACTCAGCGGTGTCTAATTCGGTTTGAACTTCTTTAAAGGTGGCCGAGAACCCTGCACAAGGGCTGTGGACGACATGACTCCAGGTCCAATGACGCCTCACTTGTGTTGAAGTGAGTTGCTTCATGTTGCTGTGTTCGCTGGAGTGTGTCCAATCATCTGGAAGAACATATGGAGGGTTTATGGATTTAGTATGATTTCGTATATGATTGAGTAGTCTTAGATTTCCAATTCCAAATGGGCGTTGCTATGCATTGCTCAGAATCCGGGACGCAAGCCTGGACACTGTTGGAGCTCTTCTTGTTCTACAGCAGCCTTTCCAGGAACTGGAGACCATCCCTTGTGCTTCACAGGGTACGAGTTGCGACCAGCCGGCCGGCCACAAGCATCGCGACCAACATTGGCTGAAAGGGATGAAAACAGCAGCTCCAAGAGTTATGATCCATCCACGCATCCTGATTTGGGATGATTTGGGGATGCCATATGCCAGCCAGTAATCCTTTGGATGCTACGGTAGTGACCTGCAAAAAGATAGAACATGATTGTTTTGAGGATGATGTATATATATATATTTATATTTATATTTAATTCATATATATATATATACAGTTGACATATTTACCTGATATTTCCAGCAGTGTCCTACGTTTCTATCTTTTTGGGGGTTAGCCAAGATTGTCGAAAAAAGCGATTTTTGTTTTACGACAAAACCGGAATGGGACGACAGCTACGTTCGAACAACCTCCGGAAAACATGGGATCTTTTATGGTTCATGGCTTTGAATATCCAATCATATACTGGTTGGTGGTTTCAAACATAAATTTTATTTTCCATAATATATGGGATAATCCTTCCCATTGACTAATTTTTTTCAAGATGGTTGAAACCACCAACCAGTATGTGAAGGAACTCCTGGTCAGAGAAAGGTTTCGGAAGGAACTCATTTCTGGCTAGGGAAAGGTTTGCAGTAACCAAACCCTGGCATGACACATCCAGGTCACCACAAACAGTAGAGTGGAGGATGTAAGCTTCAGCCTGGCAGAAAGCCATGGATGAACCCCTCAAAATCCAGTGCTCGTCGATGTAATATCCCCGTGATTTTGAGGCCAGGGCATTTCCTTTTAGGGATCAGGATTTGACAATAGCTGACATTTTTTTGGATCAGATTATCAATGGCCATTTCAGGAACCTAAATTGGAGGTAGCTACCATATATAAGGCCTATATAAGGCCTATGTAAGGGAATATCCCCAGAAAATATGGCCTTATTTGGTGCAGTACCTCCATTTTAGGATCCTGAAATTCCCATTGAGATTATGAAATGATGGAAATGGAGATTGTGAAATGATGTTTTCAATGCCACGGTCCATAACATCCTTCCACAGGATGGGGCCCTGAGCAGGCCCCCAAGATAGCTAAGTTGAGATATACTTAGTGGCTTAACTAGGGTTTATGGTAGATATAACATGATGTAACTATAGTTAATAGGGTTTATAAACCAATTTTTAACTGGGGGGCACCATCCTGTACTCCAATTGAAGATAGATTTGATATACGGAAAACATACAAAATGCCTGCTCATCAGCCAAAAAAATGCAAATTATCCAAGCCCCAAGTGGCCAGGCATGTCTTGGACACTCATGTCATTGATAGAGTTTTTATTGATATCTGGATATATTGAATAAACGCTAATCATTGCTAATTGCTAATCATTGAATTATATCATATCATATCATATCATATCATATCATATCGTAACATATGTATGATGTATTGAATGAACGCCAATCATTGGAAGACGATGGCCCACTGAAAGCATGTGAGATTGGACTTTCGGGTTTTTGACACAGAGAATCTACATGGGACATGGGCGCAACAAGGAAGAGAGATGTTCCACTGAAAGCATGTGAGATAGGACTGTTGCGTTTTAGTTTCATTGTGAGTTCCTTTTTCATGAGCTTTTGCTGCTGTCACTCAACATGACGGGCTGGTGGTTTCAAACATGAAAATCCTATTTTCCACAACATATAGGATCATCCTTCCCATTGATTTTCATATTTTTCAGATGGGTGGCGAAAAACCACCAACCAGTTTTGGGCAAATCCCATGTGGCGACTCGACATCGCCAATGCCCATCCAATAGAATGGGTCCCTGAAGAAGTTTTATCTTAGAGGCCACAAGTCCTAACTCATGAGTATTCAGTATATGTGTATATATATATATTATTGAATATAATCCCATGATATTTGATGATTTCTCATGGTTTGCGATACCCCCATGACACCATGATATCATATGATATCCCACCACATCCCCAGCGCCTTCGAACCAGGAGCCAATCTTCGAGTCAAAGATCAGCAGAAGTTGATGCCCCTGCAGTTGGCACTTGCGAATGGTCACCTGCATTTGGCTCCTTGGATCAGATGATGATCCGGCAATTTGATCCATTTATGTTGAGATGGTTTGACACATGTTGAAACCACTGAACATCCCAACATATCCCAACAGTTGGGAGTTCAACACGGTTTGGCTAATCAAAACCTCGAAATGCACGAGGAACAACACACTTGCTATTGATGAGTTGCTCATATCAGGAGGGACTCTGGTTCACTAGCTTGCCACCTGAAAATGCTCTTGGTCCATCATCCACCATTTAGTTCTGCACAAGAATTTGCAGTTGTTTGGCTGTATTTGATGCACTGGAGAAAAGACTGCCAGCTGGTTGGGGAGTCCCTAAGAGTATTGCTAATCCCAGTGGTAGAATGGTACCACATCAATAAACAGGGGGTACGATATGTCCTCGAGGGCTGATGGTTTCAACTTGGTCCTTTTCGTTCCTGAACAGTTGGACCTTTTCGAGCGCAACAATGGCTTCGCTTTAGAAGCTGCTGCAGGCTTCGGCAACGTCGCTTGGTGGCAAGTGACCGAAATGCACAATGTTGGGGTGTAGGTCATTCCCCACCCTTCCAAAAAAGTTTCTGATTTTGGGGTTAGTTAATGTTGGTTAACCTATTTTGACAGGGAAATACAATTATCAGGGATTTGTTGGTATGCACTAGGGCTAGGTCAATGAGGCTTATTTCGCAGTTCAGTGGTTTCCATCACGAAGAAATCTTTAGAGATTGCCTTTCCTCAAAGACAACGTCGCTCAACCTGGGTTTGTGTTGAAAGGTGGGATGATTATGAAGTATGATTATTATCATCCCCTTAATTTCAGGGATTCATTATTATTGTTGTTTTTATCATCACTATGCTTGTTGTATTCAAATTGTGCGATTTATTTCTGTCAAATATTGAAATTGAAATTTTCCAAGTGAATCAAGATAATCAAGCCTGCTAGGTTACAATCGTGCAGCAGATGATTCTGGAGCAGGCTGGGTGCATAGTTTTTTGTTTTTGCCATCTCCTCTTTTTGGGCCATGGCAATGATAGGAATGTGCAACATAAAGAATCATAAAGTGCAACCGTTCGCATCGACTGCATTTTTTTTGAACCAAGAGTCCGAAAAGTTTTATTGTGCGATTCGGTAAGTTTTGCATTTTCTTTCGAAGCTTCCGTTGGATAAGTTGATGGATTAATTTGGCAGCAGGGAGCAGAAACAAATGGAGGAAAGTACCCATCTACTCAATCTAGGCTTTCCCAGGGCCTCCAATACCCTTCTCTGACCGGTCGTGCTTTATGCTGTACCAGGGCTATTCGCCCTATGTCATGGATGAATCTTGGAGCTGCAATTGACGATTAATGTTGTTAGATCACGTTACATCATTTGGATCCACATAATTTTATATAATCTATTCTTTATCTAAATTGTACATATTATGTTCCACCCCTTGTAACTGTAGTGGAGTCTACTTGACATGTGCTTCGTCCAGCGTCATGAAACTCTCGACTCCAAGGAGAGGGGTCGGACGCCCATCTTTGAGAGCGTGGAGAAAGGACAAGTGAAGGTGGCAGAGCGCCTCGGCCAGACTCGTTTTTCCCTGGGATTTTTACAGCAAAGATGGTGGGAAAACCATCGGAAAACTGACTTTTTCTCTGGGAAAATGATCTAGAAATGTACGTTTATATGCACATGGAACTGTAAACGTTTACCGTAAACTTTGAAACTGTGGAAACATGGAGAAACGTGGTTTTTCGAAACCATTGGCTCTTGGAATATCTCTGAATTTGTGATTTCATCGTACCTTTTGGATTTTGAAACTGGCACTTGTTGGGTGGACAATGGTGGATATGAGGTCCCCAATTCCAGGGTCATGCCAGGCGTACTGGGCATCTTCCAACTAAGTTGGAGAATCTCAACTTAGTACCTGGCATGATGGCAGTACATGGGGATATTCACATTACCAACAAAGATTATATTAATATGATAATATCACAATCCCATCCCGCTGTTATTACTGGAAACACCCCTATATTGCGTTCTATGGTCCCAAACAATTATACAGTAATATATATATATATATGTGTGTGTGTATACATATATATCTATCTATCTATCTGTCTATCTATCTATCTATCTATCTATCTATGTATGTATGTATGTATGCATGTATGTATGTATGTATGTATATGTATATGTATACGTATATGTAAATGTATATGTTATGCAGATAGATAAATAGATAGATCGATATGTGTGTGTGCGAGTGATTTCCCATGGTGACTCTGGGAGGTTTATGGCATCGTTCCTCGGCACATAACGATGTTCCGGGTTGCAACCCTGGGGCCATCCTCCAAGGCAACCCTAGGGCCCTAGGGTTGTAGGGTTTCTGGTGGGGAATTTCATGGGAAATTGTGGTTTATGGTGGGAAAATTGTTGGTTTATGGTGATTTAATGGACATTTATGATGATTAGTGGGGATGAATTATGGGGATATAACCAACACTAGGGACTAGTGGGAGATAAATGGATACAATGATGATTGGGAATCAAATGTGGCTGGCGGGGAAATCCCCTAAGTGAAAGTTTTAATGGGAACATCATTTATGAAGTGTAGACATGCCAGCCATGTTTGATTACTGGAGGGTAATATATGTGACCCAACAAAAAGGATCAACGATCCTAAGTCAGGACCACCTTGATGGTTGATTGGTACAGTAGATGTTTTGGTAAGAAGAACTTGGAACACTTCTCATCCGTGTCCTATTCGCAGGGATCATCCTAGAGTTTTGCTACAATCATGTGATATCTATTGATTTGTCTTGTCTGGTATTCCTCACGAGCCCAGGTTCCCTGGTTTATATCCCATGTTTTTTGATGCAAAGAAAAGCACCATTTTCGGATGATGAAGCCGCTAATCAAGCGCCAAATTTTGGGTGTCCCCATTCAGATTGATCATGATATGGATTGATATCCCCAAATCGCACTCAGCTGATATCCCCTTGATGCATGTTCCTTCTCGAACAGCAAAAAATCGACGCCAAGTAGGCCCTTGGAAGATGAGGTGTGAAACCGGAGGACATAAAAATTGCTTTCCAATCCTTGTTTTTCTCCCCCATGTCATTGAAATGGTAGGAAGCCCTTCAAAGATGGGGACTTTACAGGAAACCCATCAAAGATGGGTGAAACTCATCCATCTTTTTTCCATGGACAAATCCATGATTTTTCATGGTGAATCCACTTTTGTTGATGGTTCAATCATGTTCAATCCATTGAGCTTTTCTATGATTTTCACATCTTTCAAGCCATGATCAATGGTGAATCCCTCATTTCTAGCTGTTCCTAGCTGCGAAAAAAGGACGTCCATGGAGGAAAAGCACAGTTTGCTTTCGATGGTGAGATCGACCAACTCAACCAACCAGAGGGCATTCCCCCAATGAACCACAGAATTCACCTAGGGAAATGGATAATAACCTACTATCCATGGTTTATGGTGTTAATTCACTAATTATAGGTGAATTCTATGGTTGAATAAATCATGGATATTAACATGATAATTATGGTGAATAAACCATGGATATTCACTAATTATAGGGATATAGCACCAACCTTTATCCATAAACCATTGATCTTCCAAGCGTTGGCACCGTTGGCGCCGCATTCCCAAGGCTCAACGTATCCCTGACGCGCCTGGACCAGCAGGGCATCAGCGTTTTGGGCGCTGCTGCGCTGGCGGAACAGCCGGCCGCGGTGCAGCAGCGTGGCAGGCGGAGGAAAGGCGTTGGTTTGTGATTGGATCTTATATGGAGGTTTTCTAAAATGGGGTTCCCCAATAGCTGGAGGGTTTATAATGGAAAATCCTATTGAAATGGGATACGAACATGGGAACATGATGGGAATATCATGGGAATATTATGGGATTTTACAATATGAATTACAGTAATATGATGATTACACATGGAATCCCATCATATGTCCATTTACGGTATTATTATAGTGGGATATGATGGGATATAATGGGAATATTTTGAAATTTAAGTAGCAAACATGGGTGAAATGGTGATATCATGGAATATATCTGGATGAATTTGATGGTGGAAACATGGAGGAAATGACCATCTATTAGGCAATGTGTACAAATGGATTGCAATGGGAGATATCTATATATATATATAGAAAATCATCTAAAAAACATGAATTTTCATGGGTTGTCCAGTTCCAGTTTAGATTTACAGATGGTAAAAGGATGAGAGTATAAGTTGGGTGTTTGATTCGTTGAGTTTTATCATGCATCGGCTCTCATTCTCCATTCTTGTCCAATGATATACAAGTTGGATATCTTGGGATGATTTTTTAGACTATTTTTGACAGTGACTCAATGACACTCGTGTGCAGGGCCCTCAAAAAACACATGTAGGAGAGCAAACAAGCGTCAAAATACAAGGGTTGATCAAGGAAGAGCCAGACAGAGAGGGAAAGGAACATGATTTTAAATGGAACTTGTTTCTTCAAAGGTAACATAACATTTCTTCTCGCATTTTCTTTAGGTGACTATGTGAATCCCATGTAAATTCCATGTAAATCTGTAGTTTGATCCCTACCTGGCACCCGGCCGTCGCGGCCCAAGGTTTTTGTTGCAATCCGTGTCTGTGATGCAGAGGTCGTTGAATCCAGCGGGACTCCAGCGGCCAGATATGGCTGATATGGCTGGTGAATGGATATGAACATATGGAATATTATAATATTTTATATTATTTTATAACATATCTGGGTAAATTATAACGACCTCACTGCGACCTCACTGGAATCATAGTTAGTAAGGGAATTCATCCCCAAATGGCCTTAATTCAGGTTAGTGAAATATTCTAATTTACCCAGACATATGGATGAACTTATGGTTCCATCACATATTGTTCATCCATATGGATATTATATAATTCTGGCTGAACTTATGGATGAACAATATGTGGGATATTATAATATCTATAATGGTTAATATCATAACAATATATGATATATGGGATATTAGAATGGCGAAACTATTATGAACATATATTGATATTCAATGGTTAATGGATCAAAATATCACCAAGCTGCGAAGCACAATGGGCATCAATGGGCCAGAAGTCAGTGAATGCAACCTTCACTTACGACTAGCTCACGAATTGCTTACGCCGAGCATACGGCAGATTTCGATCTCATAGCATAATACTGTGAAGAAAGTGGCATTCATTCTGGCCTGCTGTGCAATGGCATCATCTTCAACATTCAGAACATGCACCAAATGAGTCACGCAGAACCTACCCTCTGGTAAACATTCACAGTTTGCGACATAGAAAATGGCCCAGTCGATACCCATGAATAGCATGGTGGATCTTTCCATCGTTTTTTTTGGGACAGTTTACCATAGAAATAGTTTTAAGTTGATTTATGATTTATCCATTAAAAATGGTGGATCTTTCCATCGTTGTTTGTAAACGTTTACCAGGCCGGGTAGCTCTCATGGCGCCATGGTCTTCCGTTCAGGGCTTCCGCCAATATATCTCTCGCGACTTGACCAGTAAGCAGCTGGAAAACCCCAAGTGAACGTAAGCGAGTGTGCGCTTTAAGAATTCTCGGTAAAGGACAATGAACCGATTTTCAGAAATCAATGGATATTCATGATTTTTTAATGGATATGTTCATGATTTTTTAATGATATTATACCATCATAACCACTATTAATAATTATCTATTAATGAGATATACTGTAATGAGATATTAAATCACAACTCCCTATTAATAATTATCTATTAATGAGATATACTGGAATGAGATATTAAATCACAACTCCATAAATCCATCCCTGATTTTGACTCGCCAGGATGGCCAATAGCTCGACCGCCTTGCACCTAGCAGCGCGGAAGCAGCAGGCCCTCACTGTGGAGATCCTATTGAGGTGCCGATTTCTGGGGAGAATTTGCTGGGAAAATGTGGGGAGAATCTGGTGAAGACCTTGGAAAATGTGGAGAAAATCAATGTGAAGATGTTGGAAACACGAAAAAACATGGCCATTTCGAGTGAATTGACCGTTCTTAAACGAAAAACATGTCCATATATATATAATATACATAAGTTTACCAGGGGGTATCCACTGCATGTGGCGAGCATATTGACATATTGAGAAAAGCCCTAGTTAAGCAATGGCTAAGCACCATGGTTTCCTTGAACAAATTGCCACATGGGGGTATACACCATGCTCAAGATGTACCGGCTCTGTGGTCGATATATTTTTCTACTTCCAGGCAAGCTCTTGGGAGGATAAACAAAATGTATCCAACGATGAGAGGGATATGACCGTAAATGACAATGAAGATCTCACTTATTTATTTGGAGGTTTCCTATATTTTAGGGGTACCTCAGTCATCATCCATTTATAGATGGGATTTTCATGGATTTTCCATGAAATAAACCATCCATAGCTCGCTTGGGGTACCCCCATTCCAACCTTCAGTGGCGTGGACAATCTCCTGGCCCAGGGCGGGGGCAGAAGCTGATGCTGTGGACTATCGCAACCGCAGCGCGTTGCATTTTAGTGCCAATGCTGCAGTGGTTGAGGCATGTCCGACCGTCAAAGTGGTTGGTGATGTGGCACAGATGTCCCAAAAATATCACTGGTTGGTTGGTTAAAAGAGGTTTTCCCCCAATTCAACGACCAATGGGTAGATGATAAATACCATCATATACCAAACCGGCCCCTCTACTTTTCCTAAAGAGGAGACTAGTCGATTGCGGCAACATCATTTAGCATCCCAGTTCCGATCCGGAACATATCGTTAATATGATGGTAGTATGTTGCACATGTTTTCCTGCAAGAAAAGTGCGGTATCAAACATCGAGTCCTTATATATCTAGTTGGTGGTTTGGAAACCATGGAATTTTATGACTTTTCATTCAGTTGGGAATTTCATCATCCCAACTGACTTTCACTCATATTTGTCAGAGGGGTGGTTGAAACCACCAACCAGATGGGATATAGTTAATTATTAACTATCATCATTTGCTATCATCAACTATCATCATGAAAGTTATTTTTTTATTCCTTTCCCAATGGGAAAAATCCATGAAAATCCCAAGTAGATTGTATAATTCAACGTTATCTTGGATGGTATCTTTGGTTATTATTTATGGATGCAAAAGAGGTATATCACCAGGTTATTCCAATACCTCGATGTTCAGCACATGTTCCATGAAAAATGGCTATGCGTTGAAGTGAACACATCCATGGTTCATTGGATTGGTCGGAAAAAAATAAGCGGAAACCCCATATGTCATATATGTCATGGTAAAGGCCATAGTTTCCTGTAGATTTTCCCAAGAAAACCAATCCAATGAATTGTTTTTTTTTATTTATGTTTTTTCATTTAGTTCGTTGATATACCCACTAAAAATGGTGCTTTTCCGTTATGTCAACGCTTACCAGCGGGTATACAGCTCATATATTCACAATACATCACCATTTTTATAGTTTGTCTAAACCATCCCCTCAGTCACCATTTTTATAGGTGGTATATATATATATATGTATATAAACCATCACCATTTATGGAGGTCATGGTGTTTTTTTCCAGCTTTTGTTTCCCAGGCATCCGACGTTTCTCGTTCCGCAGGCCTTGTTGACAGGCAACGCCACGGCGGAGTGGCGAGACGTCCTGGGCGTGATGCCCCTACACCTGGCAGCTGCCGAGGCGGCGGATCTTGATCGTTATGAGGAGATGGGCCTCAGCTATAAGAATGGGATTCTATAATTATGATAAATTAAGCCTCAGCTATATTGTTTAGCCTCAGCTATAAGCCTCACATATAAATATTAAGCCTCAATATATGTCATATAAATATAACAATGTTAATGGGATAATATATGCCTCAGTTATATACATATGACATATGACATATATATATGTATATATATATATATGTGCATATATAAATTTGGTATATATATATATATGATTATATATGTGTATGTGTGTGATGGTGATGTATGTATGTATATATATATATGCGTGTTTGTTTGATGATGGTTATAATATATGATTATCTAAATTAGCAATTGATTACGTGTATTGATTGAAAGGGATGTCGTTGATATCATGAGGATATGGGATATGCGGTAACATGGGGATATAGTGAGATTTTTCCGGAGGGTATGTGTGGTTTTACCATCGGGAATATAAACATATCAAATGTAAGAATTATGTGTATATATCTGGTTGGTGGTTTGAAACATTTTTTTCCATTCAGTTGGGAATTTCATCATCCCAACTGACTTTCACTCATATTTTTCAGAGGGGTGGTTGAAACCACCAACCAGGTATCCATGTGTATCTATTATAAAGATATGATATATGTTATATATTTCTTGAGATATGATGATGGTTGGTAAGGGCAAATATCCATGTTTCAGGTTGGTTGTTGTATGTTGATGCACATTTATGCTTAACATGTTTTTTTTAGAGCCACGCTATTTGGCATTGGGGATTTAGTGATGTGGTAAGATATATTTACTGTATATAATAGTATATGTATGATATATATATATATATATATGATTAATATATATATATATATGATATATATATATAATAGTTAATATATATATATATATCATACATATACATGTGTGTGTGTGTTTGTTTTCGCTCGAATGGGTCCGAATGGGTATATGACTATTCTCTCAATGTTCTTTTCTATTTTTCAGGTCATGGCAGGTTATGACAGGTTGCCCGGGGAATCGGCCTGGACCAGGGCCGAGTGAGCGCTGTGGAAGGGCTGCTGGCGTCCAGGAAAACCCAGGTTGGGGTCCAGCTGCTGGCCACATGATATGGGGATGGCTCAAAACCTATGAAATTACCCATATGACTGGGGGAATAGGCATCCATTAACCAACTATTTAAAGGTACCGAAAACAAGCACCAGGGTTTTGACCCAGAACCATATGTCCAATGTTTCCCATGATTTTCGATGCGTTTTTTTTTAGAGGATGAGCATGATCAGCCCTCATCGGCTGTAATTCTTTACCCTCTGGTCAACTAACATAGCTATGGAAAATCACCATTTTTTATAGGTAAATCGACTATAAATGGCCATTTTCAATAGCAAACTGTTAAATTACCAGAAGGCAATATTCTTTAGATGGGCTATCAGTTGCCACCACGGGATGTTGAAGCTCCACATTCTTTTTGAGACTGAAGATCAGGTGGACGCTCTTGATGGCGGTGGCAGAACGGCCAGGGGGCCCAGTTTTTGCAGCTCTATCGGCTGCTGTTTATCCTGCTGGGGTTCGATGATTTCAATAGAAAATCCAGCCATATTTCGATGATTTTCCCATTAAAACCTCCATTTATAAGGGACTTCCCAGCTAGCCACGTTTGATTATGGGATGGTATATTTGAGTCGAATTTTACAGCCTTAAAACATCTGAACACACACACACACAATCTAGGAAATTTGTCAGTCCTGACTCTTGACAAAAATGATGTTCAGGGGTCGAAATGACATTTTTTCGCGGTCGGTCGGAGGTATCAATTACCCCATTTTGCGGAGTAGCCACCTGACCCAGTCCTTGGTGCATCTATATACTGTCAACCCCTACATAGTTTTTAAACCCTGGTTGATTGAAAATTCGGGCGGTTCTTTGAAAGTAGTGATGTCATTTGCTGCCAAAATGGTATTTCCCCAATGGAATAGCCCAGTGGTGGAAATTCAATCCAGGGCAATGATCAAATCATCAATGCTTCAGATATCTTAATCTCATCCCATACTCCCAATGTACTTGGGTTGTCAATATCCCATGATGTTCCCATATATATATATATTCCCACAGTAATCGCAATGATAAGACTTGTTGCTTATCCCATAGTCCACGTGAATATTCCAGTCCCATATATCCCACACTTATGTTGCTTAAGATCCCATAAGGACTTGTTCCAAGCCACGTGAAATCCCACGTTTCCGGTAAGGGCCGTTAATTAACATAGCTCAGCAAGGCCTTGCACTGGGCCGTGGTGGGTGGTCACATCGAAACCGTGCGGACTCTGCCGGGGGCCAAGTCTGCGGGGTGAGAAGAGTTGCGAGTCGCATGTTTATTGATACCCCCTAAACATGGTGATATAATATGGATATATATATATGGTGATATATGGATAATTAATGATAATCGGTGTTTATTGATAATGTAAACCCTGGATGAATAAACCACTAGACTGTTTAATTGGGAAGGTACCATTTAATTAATAAACCATGGTTTACTAATCCAGGGTTGACATTACTCCCAAAACATGGTGATGTGAATATGGATAACTTATGATAATTGTAATAAACCAGTTGGACTATACCCCCAAAACATGCCAAAACATAGTGATGTCATATGAATAGTTGGGATAGTTGTTAGTAAACCAGTTGGATTTCCCCCAAGCATGGTGAATTGATATAGGTAACTGATAACTATACCATTGGATTTTGGGATGCATTTTTTCAGATAAACCCAGCTGGCTGTGCGCACGTGCGGCTGGAGGTAGACCTTCAAAATATTGTGTCAACTGGTGTTAAGCCATATCTACTATTCATTAATTATATAGTAACCCCCCCAGAATATTTTAGTTTGCTGTTGCCAATTCAATCCAATTCACTATTGAGATTCTAAGATATCCTAAGTCAGTAGCAGTTACTACCATCCAATATAAATGTCATGACTATTCACGGTTTTCGCATTGGCTTTTACTGAGTTCCCAGGCTCAGATGGTGTGGCACTTCACGACCCAGCAATAGTGGAGAGATGCCATCGCAATTGGCGCCACCTGTGTGGACACCTTGCGGGACGACTGGGGTGCTGTAGAAATGGGGGAGATTTGCCCGTTGTGGAACCGTTATACCGTTGCGAACTGGAGAAATCATCGTTAAAATCACCATTCAACATCGGTCAGTTATCATAAGTTATGACTTCAGAGGGGATGGGATTTTTTTTTGAAGAGGATATTGCCCTCCATCAAACATGACCATTGAACATCTTCAATAAATGATGTTAAAAAATGGGAATCTCCTCACTCTATAGATGGAGGATTCTCCACTTGTCAATAATTATCATTAATAGTCATGAAAGGGGATGAGGATTCCTCACAACTGTAGCAATGGGGGTTACCAACAAATTAGTAACCTTAGAACATGGATTAACCAAGGTACTAATTCATTTGAACATGGATTAACCATGGACTTAATTTTTGACCAAGATACTAATTCAAGTTACTAACAGCTGTACCTTAAGGATTTACACATGGAACATGAATCTTGGTACCCTTAGATCAATCCTACAGCGATTCATCCGTGAAAATCCCCAAATCCAATCACCAGAAATCACCATTGAGTGCTTGGGATAACCTTGGGGATATTGAAATACATGCGACCAATGGAACCAACCTTGGATAACATGGACTTATCAATTTATTATCCAGCCTATACGGATCAAAAAACGGCATTTAGTGGGATATAATAATTGGGATAGAGCCATAGAGCAACCAATATCTGGGCAAATTATAACGACCAAACCCTGTTCTCCCCCACTGGAATCATGGTTAATAAGGAGAATCATCCCAAAATGGCCCAACTATTTAGGTTAGTGAATCATTATCATTTGCCCAGAACAATATGATCAATCACTGGATTTAGGAGAATCCTGCTGGGAAAAACAGCATTTTAGTCCCACACTGTTGTACCAACTTGCAGATTTCTGCTGTCCCAATGTGTAGCTTAGTCAAAACCATGGCTGTGTGTGTATCTATGTTATTCTATCTATATGCATATATAGATATATGGTGCATATATATATATGTATATAAGTTCATCTTTGCCGCAGAGCATCCAATTCTTTATGTGAACACGCCAAGGGTGAGCTACGAGACTTGCTCGTCATTGGCACAGCACGGCAGCCCAGTGGGGTCATGTGGTTTTTCCGTCCACGACATGATCCCACCCAGGATGACCAGTGTCAATGCGACTGCGGGAAATTTCCGTTGGGCTCCCCAGTGGCCTCCGCTGTCTGGGAACTGATTCGGGTTGTGGAGACGCCTGAGGTTCGATGCCCTGCTCAGCGCCGGTAGCTGGCAGCAGTGCTCCACTACCGTGAGGTCTGTGGAAACCTCGGTGAATGGCAGGTTGAAAATGGGACAATTATCGAAGTAAATGGTGGATTGTCTAGCCAGAAAAAAATCTCATCACTGGATGAACTGGCTTTGAACATGGGGTGCCCAAATGAATTGGCCCATGAATTGATCATCATTTTTCCCATTCAGATAACTGAACATGGAGGTATACCCCAGTTGTACAGACACACATGTGTTGTCTGGTTTTGTTTATTTTGATCAGGACTCATGTTCAGAAAGATCCTGATAGCGGTTGACCTCAAAATTCGATGGGTTCCCACTGCGGTCAGAAGCATTCATGTTGTGCCTCAAAGTTAAGTTGAACACATCAGAAAAAATTGGAAAAACCGGAGCCAGCAGCCTAAACCCACCATTTCTTGCGGTCTACCCTCTGGTAATTTAACATAGCTATTGAAAATGACCATAGAAATAGTGGATTTTCCCATTGAAAATGGTGATTTTTCATAGTTTTTTGTATGTTTACCAGAGGGTAATTTTGCTGATGCCATGGCGCCAGGTGTCGCTACGGTGGAGCATCCGACCAAGCCTTGCGCTGTGCGCGCAACGAGTCGGGGACCAATGTGACCTAAAGGCTACAGTGAGTTATGGAAACCTATGGTAAATCATGGGATAACCATGGGAAAACCATGGGAAAATGATGATTTATATGGAAAGATCCATCATTTTTAATGGATAAATCAACGAAATCAATGGCCATTTTCAATAGCAAACTGTTAAGTTACCAGAGATGATTGGTGGTTTGGAAACTTTAATAGGTGTATGGAACATCCCTAAGAATGAAACATATAATAGGTTATGGACCATCTCTAATAAGAGTTGTTTATGGAATACACCTCTAGTCTCTGGTACCCTCTGGTAAACTTACACGGCTATGGAAAATCACCATCTTTAAGTTCGGTAAATCAACGAACTTTCTATGTGCCATTCACATTCCATTCACATTCCATTAAATCCATTTAAAACCACATTTAAATCCCATTAAAATCCCATTAAAATCCCATTAAAATCCCATTACTATCCCATTCACATTCCATTCACATTCCATTCATATCCCATTAAGAAACCCATCAAGAAACCCGGTGTGTCGACATGCCCGAGGTCGGTGCCTCTAAGTTCCCCCTCAACTGGTCGATGGCATCCAGCCGAGCTGGAGATCAACTGCAAGACGCTGGTCACTGATGGGTTTTGGTGATGGTTCTAAAAAAAAACGACATTCACTGGTTGGTGGTTTGGCACACTTTTTATTTTCCCCAATAGTTGGGATGATGATCCAATCTGACGTGATGGGTTGGCTGATGGGTTAGGTGATGGTCACTGATGGGTTGGGTGGGTTGGGTGAAAACGACCTTCAGATTTTGGTGGGAAAATGTGGGACAACTTTGGATTATGTTGGATTGCTAGTTTTGAGCATTTGCTGCTAGCCATTTTGAATAGGTAAGAGCATTGTGAATCATCTGTAAATAGATATTATATATAAATGGGATACTATAAATCATCTATAAATAGATATTATTATAGATAAACTATATATATATATGTAAATACTATAAATGGTCCATTTTCCATAGCTATGTTAAATCACCAGAGAGTATAGCCAGAAGCCGCGCCCAGGGCGGTGAGCGTAGCCTGGAGAAGATCGGTTGGAGACTCAAGAAATTCCGCCATTTGTGGATCAGTTTTATGTGGAAACTGTATGAAGCTGTGGAGTTTTCTATGGTTTTCTATGATTCTCGATGTGAATTTATACTATTTTATACTTCTTACCTATGAATATCTATGATTATCTATATTTTTATCTATGATCTATGATTACCCTCCGGTAATCAAATGCGGCGAAGGAAACTACCCCACAAATGGAGGGTTTCATGGGAAAATCACATAGATGGGGCAATTTCCATTGCCACGTTTGATTACCGGAGAGTATCTATGATTTATGGGAAACTATGACTATCGATGATTATCTATGGGTTTTCTATGGGCTTTCCATGGGAATCCATGGGTTTTCTATGGGTTTCTATGGGGTATACGTGGGAATCCATGGGTTTTCTATGTTAATCTGCTGGAGGGTAATGAAATTGGTTGACTAATGTGTGGTTCCGACATGTTCCGACCAATTCTCATGGAACTTTGGGGGGCCGTCCAGGAGCCTGACGACACCAACCGTCGGCATTCAGTGGTTGATATTTTTTTTTATGGACGCATTGCTTAGTTCATCTTAGTTATTTTGTTAAAATTAAGCCATACGGGTATGGATCAATACCTATTAATACCATTTTTAGTGGGATGAACATCCATTTACCAGCTATTTTTATGTTCACCAGGGGTACAAGGTTTTGACACACTGCCATATCAAACCATATGAAACCATATGAAACCTCGCCCCTTGCCACACCAAAACTCAGCTTCAACAGCAACCAGGTTGGATGCTTGTTGCTGGCTGCCCTGAGCATACGGACACCTGGCAGCAGTTGCTGTCGCGGGGGATGTTTCGGGATACGTGACGAAACAAACATTTCAATGGGGAAAATTGTGATTAATTAACCGATTAACCATCAAATTTAGGGATATGTTCATGGTTAATCATCAAATTTTATAGGATATATGTTTAGTTGAAAAAAAAACAAATGGTTCATGTTTCAATGCGTGTCGCGTCAACACATAGGTCATGTTCAGACATGTTAAGATGTTTAGTTCTATGTTCTTGTTTTCTGGTGGCACTGCGATTTTTGAGCACAGACAGATGTTTGTTTGTGTGGTATGCCTTTGGATATCTCGAAAATGTACGGTTCGATTCGGCTATTTGCCACAAAGACCAAGTTGGGGTTTCCTAAAGTGGGACCCCAAATCATCCAAGTCATGGATGACCATTTTAGCAATGAAAAGCATGGTGACTGGTGGATTCCCCATTTTCAGGAAATCGCTGGGGCATTGGATCGAATCCATAGGAAATCCCAAGGATTGCCACCTGTTCACTCCAAGGATCGTCCTCTGACAACATGGTTTCACCCTCTAGACCTCATCATTTTCAGCGGTGCAACATGGTGCAACAGTACGCAAGGACCTGCCGGATTTTCAGGACCTGAAGTGGAAAAGGACCTGATCAGCAATAGCATCAAGAATATCACCAGTCTTGGTGTCGCCATCGCTACAATGACCACAATAGCAGTTGAACATAAGAATCCTGCAGTTGAACATCTCACAGCATAGCGTTTCTTAGTTCCAAAAGTCGCGTTTCTTTGTGTGTGTGTCACCCCATGTGCCCCTTAAGGGGGCATTGGCATGTGACCAGTCGCCGAAGGGTGAGAAACAAAACCTGTGCTGCGTTTTGCACGTGGAAGAAATCCCGCACCAGTTGATAGGTTGTTTATCCATGTTTATCAGTTTATCTCATGATTTATAAGGCTTCAACCATCCAAAGTGGTGCAGGTTTTTTCCATTCACAGCATCGTTTTTCACCAGGGTCACCTTCAGTAGCATTCCCCAAACCGCCGCAAACCCTGCCATGTTTCGCGAGTTACCCTCTGGTAAACTAACAGTTTGCTATTGAAAATGGCCATTTAGTTATATTTAGTTCCTTGATTTACCCATTAAACATGTTGATGTTCCATAGTTATATTATATATATACAGTATATATATATTAGTTTACCAGAGGCTAATTAGAATTTTGTATGCTCGACAGTTGACATGGCCAGGTGTCCCTAAGCCCCAGCACCCTCAAGACGCCTTGCGGTCTGCCTATGCCGGAGAACGGGTGAACGGGGCGGGGCCGGCCATAGGTTGGATGAATTTTCAGATGGGAACGTTTGGAGAATAACGGGTGGTACTTGGTGGGATATATGACATAATCCCCAGCAACTACATGCAACTACTATAGTTAATGGTAGTTTATGGGATTTTTAGGGTATATAATCATATTTAAAGAAATAGTAATGTGGGTAAACCAAATGCCGTAAACCTACCATTTGGCGATAATATTTACCACCCATTAGGATAATACTGGGGATTGTTTTCAAATATTACTGGGTTTACCACCTTTAGATGATTTTGGATATTTAGGACATAGAAGAAGGTATGCAAGCAGCATGGATGATTTGAGTTTGAGACTTTCGATGGCGAAGTTTCTGAAGTTCTTTGGTGACTCAGAACGTGTATCTGTACGGTATCTCGCTTCAACCAGCCTTGTTCAAAAAGCACGGTAGAATTTGGTGGTGATGCTTTTTGGTCGTCAACATGTTGCGAGTGAGATTGTTGCAGATTGATGCATTTTTTTAAATACATTGACTGTTGATTTTCCCATTCTGAGTTTTCTTGATGAGTGAACGATGTTCGGCCCCCAATCGAACATGGCAAGGAAGCAAAATTAGCCTCCGGTGTCGACATGGGAAAGCCACGAACTAAATTGTTGTTTATATTGGAAAACTACTAATGAACATCAGTTGTAAATACAGAATTCGTTTAAATTGGAACGTCAATGAAAACCATACATATTCATCTAAACTAATCTAAAAAAACAACCTATCAAAACAACCTATCAAAACAACCTATCAAATAGTTTCAATCTATAAGTATATAAACTATAAACATTAAATATTACAAACGAGGCATTTTCCAACAAGCCATGCCATGTTTCACGGTAGCGCCGCAGGAGCTGATACTTCCCAAAGGCGGCCCAGTGCGTGGTTGAACTCAGCAACGGAGACCAGGGAGATAGGGGAAACATGTGGAAAATGTCCATGATCATCGTTGGAAAAACTATGGTGTGTTTGGAAAATGATGGACACATTTGAAGTTTTTATGGAAAACAAAAAATAATAAATAAAGAAAAACATCTTAAATATGTTGTGAAACTTGTGAACATCGGAACATGACATGCATGGCATGGTTTCACCAGGGACATGACGTGGCCCAGCTTCTGATGGCTTAAGGTCACACCAACGCCATCCTTCGGAAACTGGCCCAAATCTATGAGGATGTGGGTGCTCCCTGACATGTTTCGCTGACCGTATTCTCCATTTATATCCCCATAATTTGTTGGTTATAAGTTACATCATATAAACCAATCATTATTTAAATTGATTTATATCCTATAAGTTACATCATTTATATGCCCATATTTTGTTACATCACTATAAATGGATATAAACCAACTATAGTGGGTTAGAAATGGAGAAGTTCTATCCACATCATTTCTTGTCCAAAGCCGCTAAGCCAGGACTCATGGGCAATGACTTCATCGAATCAGGTGCGGTGCTGAATTTCCTGTCAGACAGGATTCAGCGGGGTTTCTATGGGGGTTAGCCATGTTTATGGATAGTTTATCAATGTTTATCATGGAAAATCCTATTCAAAAAGTTGATTAAACTAGGGTAGCCCTAGTTTAGGAAATCTCTAAGATGATTCGAGTTTTTATGGACCACATGCGTTTGATGTCCACAATCCAGAATGGGATGTGATTTTGCATATTTCAACATCATAGTGACTGATAGCAGGATTGCATAGGATTGTGACTTGCTCCATGGCGTGCCACTGTCCCAGAATGGTGCAGGAACACCTAAATATCGTCTAAATCTATACCCCGTTGGTAATTCAAACGTAACTTAATGGAACATAAGCCGCATTTCCTTTGATTTTCCTATGATTTTCTTAAAGTTCTATAGAGTTCTACCTATTCCTCCACCTATTCCTATGATTTCTACAATCTTCCTATGGTTTTTCCCATGGTTTCGAGGATTTCCCAGTGACATCGCCATGTTTGGACACCCGTTGGCAGCTCCGGGTCAGGCTTGGTGGATAGCTGGTTGGACTGGACTACGCCACGCGCTGAGGGTCTATAGTGGATCTACTTTCAAGGTAAGTGGGATTGAAAACAGATCAGTTTGCCTTCTGTTAGATGTATTATGATTTATCCATGTTAGATATTATACTGTATATAGACATATCCAAGGTATATATCAGTATATCCATACTAAAATATCCAATGAAGAAATGCTGAGATTTGACATTGACCCGACTACTGTAGATTTGTAAAGAAGTTGGCATGCACCGATGGCTGTACCGAATCAGGTAGGCCGTTACTCGCGCCTTCCGGCAGTCTTGACAGATGGATAAACATAATGTAGATATCAAAATGTGGCCCTCTCTGGTTGGTGGTTTCAATCATTTTTTATTTTCCATAGTATATGGGATATATAATCCTTCCCATTGACTAATATTTTTCAAGATGGTTAAAACCACCAACCAGTTGTTTATTGCTCCTAGAAACAACACTGGTGTTCAATGTTCTTCAAAACATTTCCAAACTATCCGCTAGTAAAGAAGATATTAGCTTCCCTATAGTAATGTGACTGAAACAGCCTGCCTGGATGCCAGCATCAGCTGCTTGCTGATTTCAACTGCTTCATCTCGAGCAATATGCATGGCTTTGTCTGAAAAAAAAGGTACCCCCCCATATCCAATTGTTAATCAGAAGCATCGCTGTTTTTCTTCTAAAATCAAGATATTTCCATGACTATGGTATAACTATGGGATAACTATGACAATGACTATGACAAGAACTATGACAATAACTATGACTATACTATTGGCTATACTATTGACTATGTTATTGACTATGTTATTGACTATGGTATCACTATGGTATAGCACTTCAAGGCACACCTTTTGGCGATGGACTGAAGCGGTGCCGAAGAAACGCCCAGGATGGAAGTGGACCACCTGCTATTGGAGTCCGACGCTCCATCCCCAGCACATCATTTGTCGTTACAAGAAGATCAAATTTCCTATGATGAGTTTTTTTTGTAATTATTAGTAGAATAGGATGATGATGATGATGATGATGATGATGATGATTTGTTTTTTATTGTCATTATTGTTAGTATGTGTTTTTCTCTAATTTCCCATTGCTATATGTTATTCATGATTGTTACCTGGTTGGTGGTTACAAACATTTTTCCATACATTGGGAAGGTCATGATCCCAACTGACTTTCACTCCATCATTTTTCAGAGGGCTGGCGAAAAACCACCAACCAGATGGGATATAGTTAATTATTAACTATCATTGACTATCATCATTTACTATCATCAACTATCATCATGAAAGTTATTGATATTCCATTCCCAATGGGATGTAGCAACATTCCAATATATTCCAATACTCGATGGTGTTGATGTTGATGATCACGTCTTCGGACTGAGGACATCACCGAGGTCCTAGACGTCTTGGAGGCGCCGCAGCTGCGATGTTCGGGTGGAGCGGGTGGAGCTGTGCAGCGTGAAATTCACCGCCTGGAGTTCTGGGAGAGCTATAGCCTGATATGTTCATTGCTACACTTGGATGTTTTTTTTGGGGATGTCTTTTTTGGGATGTTTTTTTTGGGGATGTCTTTTTTGGGATGTTTTTTGGGACGTTTTTTTTGGGGATGTTTTTTTTGGGGATGTCTTTTTTGGGATGTTTTTTTTGGGGATGTCTTTTTTGGGATGTTTTTTTTGGGGATGTCTTTTTTGGGATGTTTTTTGGGACGTTTTTTTTTGGGGATGTCTTTTTTGGGATGTCTTTTTTGGGATGTTTTTTTTGGGGATGTCTTTTTTGGGATGTCTTTTTTGGGATGTCTTTGCGGATGTCTTTTTTTGGACGTCTTTTTTGGGATGTCTTTTTTGGATGTTTTTTTTGGAGGATGTTTTTTTGGCGATGCTTTTTTGGGCATGTCTTTTTTTGGGATGTCTTTTTGGGATGTCTTTTTTGGGGATGTTTTTTCTGGGGATGTTCTTTTTTGGGATGTTCTTTTTTGGGATTTTTTTTTGAAGATTGTTTTTTGGGATGTTTTTTTTTGGGGATGTCTTTTTTGGGATGTTCTTTTTGGGATGTTTTTTTTTGGGGATGTTTTTTTTGGGGATGTTTTTTTTGGGGATGTCTTTTTTTGGCGATGTCTATTTTTGGTGATGTTTTTTTTGGGGATGTTTTTTTTGGGGATGTTTTTTTTGGGATGTCTTTTTTGGATGTCTTTTTTGGGATGTTTTTTGGGATGTTTTTTGGGGATGTTTTTTTTGGGGATGTCTTTTTGGATGTTTTTTGGGACGTTTTTTTTTGGGATTTTTTTTTGGGGATGTTTTTTTTGGGGATGTCTTTTTTGGGATGTTTTTTTTGGGGATGTCTTTTTTGGGATGTCTTTTTTGGGATGTTTTTTTTGGGGATGTTTTTTTGGGGGGTGTTTTTTTGGGGGATGTCTTTTTTGGGATGTTTTTTTTGGGGATGTCTTTTTTGGGATGTTTTTTGGGACGTTTTTTTTGGGGAATTTTTTTTTGGGGATGTCTTTTTTTGGATGTTTTTTTTGGGGATGTCTTTTTTGGGATGTTTTTTGGGACGTTTTTTTGGGATGGTTTTGGGATGGTTTTTGGGATGTTTATGGAAAGAAATGCTCCGAACTGGACATTTGAGGCATGAATTCGCACATGGTGTTGGAAACCATGTGTGGTTTTGTAGGGTTGCTTCAAACTCCCTGGTGGGTGACTTCATGATGCTATAGCTACTATAGCTGCTATGTCAGGTTACATCTTGGATCAAACACGCCACTGCAAAATCGCACAGTTCTATCCATATTCACGGATGATTTTCCCATGAAAAGAGTGGATTTCCATGGATTTCCATGGATTTCCATGGATTTCCATGGATTTCCATTATTCCATGGCCAAGTTAGGTTTACCAAATGGAAGGTCTCTCAGCTGCCCTGGTCGAACAACGATCAGTCAACCAGTCAACCAGTCAAGGCCCAGATGAAGAGCCGAACCTTTCTCGTTGGTCCGGAAGCCGGTGGTGTCGCTGGATCGGGAATCGATGGAGATTTTTCACAAGTTACCGATGGTATGGTGAACAGCAAAATAGCTGGGATGTAAATGGATGGATGTAAATGGATGGTCATCCCCCTATAAATATCTATAAATGGCCTAGATATAGCTATTGATTCATAGCCTAATATGGCTAAAATCCCTCTGTTTTGCATGGTCCTTTGCCAGCATCGTCCCGTTTGGCCGGCGGGGTATGATGTATTTTAACATTTCTGCCATTCGTTCTTAATACCCTCTGGTAAACGTTTAAATAACTAAGGAAAATCACCATTTTTAATGGGAACATCAACTATTTCAATGGCCATTTTCAATAGCAAACTGTTTGTTTGCCAGAGGGTATGTGACATCTAGCCAAATAACCAAAGAACCAGAAATACATGCATCGTTCAACGAAAAAAAATGGACTTCTGAAGTGATGAAGTGATTCTGAAGGGGTGACAGTCCAACCCAAGCTCACCACTTGAATCCTTAAATTCTGTGAAACGCCAACACTGCCAATTGAAAAACCAAGACCTGCAACCAGTGATTTTCCAACAGTTGACTTGCCCCTCCAACAATCTAACCTGCAAATGAAAAATCCAATTCTACACGCTGACATTGATTTTTAAAATTGACATGTAATTATTGGCTTACAATTTAATCTATGAATCATTTATGTAAATCTATAAGCCAGCTATAAACCTATATGTATCTCTATGTGTCGATATATATATATAATATAACTAGATCTTTAATGATCTTTATCAGCTTTACGTATACACATAATATACAGTGTACAGTATACATATTATACAGATAGACATCGCATATGTGAGAATTCCACATCTACACATCTGCCAACTCCCCACAGCTGTTGGCTGAAGCTGCGCGCTTTTTCCGTCCACCTGTGACAGCCTGTGACAAGTCTCTACCCAGGCGGTAGCCAAGTGACTCGCAAGAAACGCTACACGCCATAAACATATGGGGTTTGATGATAGGACATGTACATACATGTAAAATTAAGGTTAACGTATGTTAACATGAATCAAAGGAAACAATGGAAAACCAAAATGGTCAATTTTCAAGAATATCAGATAATATCTACAAGGAAAACATGTATACAATTTTCAGGTTAACATGAATGAATGGAACATACGGTCAACCTTCAAGAATTGCAATGGGATATCTCCTAGAAATGGAGGTTCTATGGGAACATCATCTTGCTCCATGGGGAAATTTCCATTGCTATGATTACCAGAGGATATATCCACCATAAGTCCAAGATTTGATGTATGTTGGGTAAAACACAGGATGATTTTGGGGATGATAAAGCAGGAATACCATGCAATCCCCTTCAACCATTGTGATGGATGATGGTAACCCCACAGCTAAACTGCCCACGGAGTTTTTAATCCGTGATTGACATTCTGTATGACTTTTTCCATTAAAGGAAGTATTTCCATAGAAATATGTGATGATCGACCAGCAGTCCATATTGACAATGACTGCCCATGACATGTCCACTGAGTTTTCTTTCAAATACCCTCCGGTCAACTAACATAACTATGGAAAGTCACCATTTTTTTATGGGACATTCAACTATTTCAATGGCCATTTTCAATAGCTTTTTGTATGCTTACCAGAGGGTATTTGTTGGATTTCGCACACCCCATCAGGCCATTTCCCCATCGACCATGGTCACCACGGAGCCCACATGAGTTTCTCCCAAGGTCAGCATTTCAAGATGTACATGGACCATGGTGAGTCGCGCCTTGGCGAGCGAATGTCACCACTTGGAGCATCAAAGAAACCATGGCGAGGCTCAGTACTTCCATCCCAAAGGAGCAAATGTGGAAATATCAGGGATTATGAGGGATTATGAGGGATTATGATGGATTATGATGGATTATGATGGATTATGATGGATGGATTTACATGTGAGGCTCAGTACTTATATGGAAATCCCATTCCCAACATGAAAAAAAGACAAACCCCTTTTTTTCCTCGGAAATCTGCGAGAAAAACTTCCGGGGTTTCTCAGGATCTATCGTATCATCCCGCCGAAGCCGGAGATTGTCCCAAGGCGGTGATGGAAATTTCAGGGAGCTCAGCACCAAAAAGATGTAGGTCTGGTGAGTTGGTAATAGGAAAAAGTCTGCTTTAGTAACGGAAATTACTGTAGGAAACTGTTTTGTTTTCTATCTTGGGAGTTGCTAGAGTTGTATGCCATTACTGGTCGTATGTCTGGATGTTTCTTGCAGCACATGCAAGAAGACGCTTCAGAGGTCAGAGGTGGGAATCAGTTTAAAGTTTAAATGCTCGCCCTTTCCCCTGCTACATGGAAGCTTTACTAATCCGACTTTTTTGTCGGTGTCTTGGATCTTTTAATTTTGAGGATTTTCGAGGCATGTGTTTTCCACCTTCTAAACCTTTTTGGTTACCTACCACATCCCATCATGAAATCCATTGTTCCATATCACAGTCTATTTTCAACATATATATATATATACATTAGAATTTGATGGAGTGATTCTTTTTTGACAAATTAATTTATTACGTATGAAACAATATCATATGGGATAGTTTGGTTATTTTCCAAGGTTTTGGACGGAACAAGCTGAGAAAAACAGCTCTCCTGCACACCTTCAGTTTTAATGTCTCCAAAGGCCTGATCTTGAACAACTCAAAGGATTGAGACGAATTTGCGTCACCCTTAGAAATCTGGAATTATTTGGATATACCTGGTGATTTATTTAAACATTCAGAACAATTAATCCATGTTTAAATCATCTTAAAGATCATCTTAATGATTAATCATATGGATTAAACCAGTATTAAATCAGATCATCCAAATGAATCCAATCTTAATCCAGTATCTAAGGTAAATTGAAAGATACACCAGACGAAGGTGGAGATCATCCCAAATGGGGTCAGGACTTGGTTTTGAAAAAAAACCTGGTTAGTAAATTCCCTAGGTCAAAGTGGGTTTTCTATGGTTTAACTAAAGTTAAATGGCCATGGCTATTAGTTATAACTGGTTAAAGTAATGGGATTATACATTCTATAAATGGAGTTTTCTTAGTACTTATAACTGATAAAGGGCCATAAGGGCCATAACTGTAGATAAATGGGTGAAGGAACTATGGTTACGAACCATTTTTATGTACCAAGTGGAATGATCCTCCAATTTGGTTTGAAACAACTCCATTAACTATATAGACTATAGGCATACTGGCAATATATATATAATATAATAATGATATTATTATATCTTATATTTATTACATAATATCGCTGCCATACTGGCAATACTGATATATCACATATACAAAAAAACGGAGTAACATCTTCACCGACTTTGTTATTTCGTAAAGGCTTGGCCCACGAACAACGTAGATGATGCCTTCGACTCGACTCGCAGGCCACCCATGCACAAGTCGAAGCATTCGCACGCCAAGCCTCCAAGTTGTACTACCTTCGGACCTCTTGGAACGAGTCTCGCCCAGCCGTTGGGCGTGTTGGGCGTGGCTTTGGCTCGCGGTTGTTTGTTCATGGGAATGCCATATATGGGAATTATCATTCTTACGTATTCTTACTGTGTGCATATATATATATATATATAAATATATATATATATATACATATAAATATATATATACATATATATATACATATATACATATATATATATAGTCATTAGTGTTATTATTGTTGTTTGAATGTGTGGGAATCCATCTACCATGGCAATCATCCAAACACCCCCATGAAACACCCCCATTCTACGGTCCTAAATATGTGATTTCGTCCCCTTCCCCCCCAAAAAAACCTTGCTTCTGGGTGGTGTTTAGTATAAACGGAGGGATGGGCGGGATGGGATTGGTTTCTTTTGAGAAACTGCAGCCCAGATGGACACATGAACAACCTGAGATAGTCTCGCATTCCCATGTCTTGGTCTAGTAGTACCCCCCCCACATGAGACATAGACATGTACCCTCTGGTAAACGTTTACATAACTATGGAAAATCACCATTTTTAATGGGAAAACTCACTATTATAAATGGCCATTTTCAATAGCCATGTTAGTTTACCAGAGGGTAATTTAGGCCACCGTTTTACAAAGGGATTGTCCTTTCCTATTTTTTTGTACCTTCAGGCAATGAAACGTGGCAAATGAAAAGCCACCAAATTTACTCTGATCAATTTCCCAGCTATCAACTTCCATTTAGTTCGGGGATTAATCGGGATTTGCCATTTGTTTCCTTTATTTTCCCATCTGTTCCAATATGTTCCCATGATTTTCCTATGATTTTCCTGATGTTCCTATATTTTCCCATGATTTTCCTATGATTTTCCCATCTTTTCCAATATGTTCCCATGATTTTCCTATGATTTTCCTAGATGTTCCTATATTTTCCCATGATTTTCCTATGATTTTCCCATCTTTTCCAATATGTTCCCATGATTTTCCTATGATTTTCCTAGATGTTCCTATATGTTCCCATGATTTTCCTATGATTTTCCCATCTTTTCCAATATGTTCCCATGATTTTCCTATGATTTTCCTAGATGTTCCTATATTTTCCTATGATTTTTCTATGATTTTCCCATCTTTTCCAATATGTTCCCATGATTTTCCTATGATTTTCCTAGATGTTCCTATATTTTCCCATGATTTTCCTATGATTTTCCCATCTTTTCCAATATGTTCCCATGATTTTCCTATGATTTTCCTAGATGTTCCTATATGTTCCCATGATTTTCCTATGATTTTCCCATCTTTTCCAATATGTTCCCATGATTTTCCTATGATTTTCCTAGATGTTCCTATATTTTCCTATGATTTTTCTATGATTTTCCCATCTTTTCCAATATGTTCCCATGATTTTCCTATGATTTTCCTAGATGTTCCTATATTTTCCCATGATTTTCCTATGATTTTCCTAGATGTTCCTATATTTTCCCATGATTTTCCTATGATTTTCCTAGATGTTCCTATATTTTCCCATGATTTTCCTATGATTTTCCTAGATGTTCCCATATTTTCCTCTGTTGTCCCATGATTTTCCCCGGGTTTTCCTATGGGATCTCTTACAGCCCAGGACCTGCCCAAGGGTGGCCAATGTGGCCGGCGACCTGCAGGAAATCGTTCGAAACAACACGTTACCCACCATTCGAGAAGGGGACTTCAATCCTTCATTGTGGTGATACTTAGATGGGCCATGGAGTTAGGTAACTAGTTAGTAAATGGATTATAATTGGGATATAGGGGGTTATATCCCCAGTTACTAACCATTTAGCTAATCCCATGGCCTATCTAAGTACAATGGGAATGGCAGATGAAACGATGGTGATTTCAATAGATTGTAAAAGGGGATTTACAATAGTGATACAATGAGAATTACATAGGGAATCGCTATGGATTTACAATAGTTGGATTTCTGCCATCCGATAGTGATTACAATAGTGATTCCAATAGTGATACAATACACTAGTTTGAATGGCAGATGAAACGGTTGGATTTACAATAGTGATTTCAACTATACAATAGTGACATTCCAACTATACAATGGGAATATGTCCAGGGGAATGTGATGATGATGATGATGATGATGATGATGATGATTTTTCCAGAATATATGGGATGGCATCCTTCCCATTGACGAACTCATATTTTTCAAGATGGTTATTGCACCACCCACCAGTAATGATGATATACATATATATATGTATATATATGATATATGATATATGATGGTATACTCATATTATACTCATATTTCACTCATATTATACTCATAAGACAGCAACATAAATTCAAACCCATAGGATCCATGGTGCTGATATATATGGTAACATGGATCCCATCAATATACCCCAAATGTTGGCATATATACCAGCACCATGGATCCTATGGGTAAAGGAGAATGTCACTATTTTATAGTTGGAACATCCACCATAAAAACGCTCTGGTAAACGTTTACATAACTATGGAAAGCCACCATTGTTTGTTGGTAACAATCTGGTTGGTGGTTTGGAACATGAATTTTATTGTTCATAATATACGGGATAGTCCTTCCCATTGACTTTCATATTTTTGAAGATGGTTAAAACCACCAACCAGTAATGATGATATATATATGATGGTATACTCATATTATACTCACAACATTTTGAGAAGTTGCCATGATTACTATTTTGGTGTTTTCCTTTTTTCAAAGTCATCTTTCGGTGAGTTTTACTATTTGACAATGTGAGTACGGTGACACCCAAAAACGCTCCGCAGGACAAGCCGGTCCCCAATCAGCACGAGCCTCGGGCTGGCCTGGGGCGGATCAGCATGCTGTATCATTGCTTTATGGCAACTTTATGGCAACTTTATGGGTGATCATGGTGATGATGGTGATGATGGTGATCATGGTCATAAAAAAGGTCATACAGGTGGCATAGTTGGAAGTAAGTTTATTACTACAGGTGGCATAGTTTGCTGTTTATCATGCCTTTTACTTTTGCTACATGTTTATCATCAATTGTAGGTCTCGTCGGACACGTCGGTCGCAGGTCTCATGCCACCTTTGGAAAGGCTCGTGGAGACTACGCGGAAGACCCGGGGGATTACCTCAAGAAGACGCTCAACTGGAACGGATGGGGCCCGGATGGGGTCCGGATGGGGCCCGGATGGGGGTTGTGGTGAAGCTTCGCCGAAAACCAACATCTACAGACCTGGTGATACCTTGTGGTTTCTCAAGTTATTGGGCCACCCGCAACTAGGTCCAGCTAAGGTTCTAACAAGTCCAGCAACTCACCAACGCTCCCCCAAGGTGTGCCAAGAGCGGCGGCAAGGCGCAGCGGCGCAGCATGGTTGAGCCTTTGGTCCCCAAACATGGCTGGAACATGCTGGAACATCCACCATAAAAACGCTCTGGTAAACGTTTACATAACTATGCAAAACCACCATTGTTTATTGATGTTTATTGGTAACTATCTGCTTGGTGGTTTGGACGTTTTTTATTTTTCAATATATTGGGAATAGCAACCCTAACTGATTAATATTCTTCAGAGGGCTTGAAACCACCAACCAGCTATAAATGGCCATGTTCAATCGCAAACTGCAAACGTTTACCAGAGGGTAGCTGGATGTTCCCATCACCAAAGCTATCGAGGATTTTGGATCGCCATCTTTGACTATTGCTAGTGGCTGATGCTAGTGGCTGATCTTGGATTTTCTCCGTGGGGAATCCACTACTTGGGGAATCTATAGGTAATATTAATATGTTTTATTTTTGGGTGGTTCCTTAAGCAAAAAACCCATGTGATGTCTTCATTTATCTTCAACGATGTTTGGGATGATGGAATCATCCAGCGAATTTAGGTATATAAATAATTTATAAATATATAAACAATATTGATTGTATATGTTTGGTCAACTAGTGAGACGATTGAATTACGATTAATTAAGATCATGCAAAAATGCAACATGTGTGTTTCCAGTTGTTGTAGTTTGCCTAGACGTTTGATGTGTATTCAAATGGATTGCGTGTTTGAGCTTTGCATAACCTCACCCTTTTTTACAGATGTTATGGTTTTCTATAGTTCCATTTAGATTGTAATGTAGCAAACCCAATCATAATCAGACCGTTTGAGGATGGTAATATCCATCCATTTTTGGTGATATTGCGGTTTGTCGTTGGCCAAACCGCGCAGGTGTTGACGTTGGCTCAACTGAAGCGCGAACATCCAGAGGCATGCTGAGGATTTTTGTTGACGAATTTTGCCAACCGATGGAAAAAACAGCATCAAATTCCTAGATTGAATTCGTGAGCGAAAATCATCGAAGTTTTGCAATAAAAAACAGGTTAAACGGTTAAACCCAAATGTTGCAAACAAATTGCCAGAACTGGGGGTTTTAACTCATGTTTACCCCTTATTTTTTGCCGTCACAATCAATAGATCTGGCAGTTGTTTGCTCACAAAACCCCAGATGGTTCTCATAAAACCCGGAGAAATTGCTGGATAAAACCTGCCAGATCTCCTGGTCACAGGTTTTAGCGCCCAAAGAGCTGAAGCCGCAGACGCGCGTGGGGCCACCCACCAAGGCAGGGAACCTGGTGCCGGTGGAACGCGGCGGCGACAATTTGAAAAACGGAGGAAATATAGGGAACCTATAGGAAAATATAGGGAACATATAGGAAAATATATGGGAAAGATATAGGGAAAACAATGGGAACACATCGGAAAAGATCTGGAAATCATGAGACAACTATGGGAAATGCCGCTTGGAATGCCGCTTGATGGAGGTTTTCAAGGGGAACATCTCCCAGTTCCACATTGGTTCAACCCAGCGATGATGGTCTCTCACCTGGTAGCGGATGGGGCAGATATGTGCATATACCAAGTAACTATTGTTTCTGGTTGGTGGTTTCCAACATTTATTTTCCATCATTAAAGGGATATATATATATACATAATCCTTCCCAAACTGACGAACTCCATCATTTTTCAAGATGGTTAAAACTAACCACCAGCCAGGATAATTATGATTTACCTATCTATAGTGAGATTTACCCATCAAAAATCATGATTTTCCAGTTCGCAAACTGTTAGTTTACCACCACCAGCCAGGTTTGTTGTTTTGCTTGATCCTGCCATGAAGTTCTACTTAGATGGGCCATGGAGTTAGTTAACTAGTTAGTAAGTGGATTATAATTGGGATATAGGGGGTTATATCCCCAGTTACTAACCATGAATCGCTAATCCCATGGCCTATCTAAGTATAGTTCCATTTGTTTTTTGTGCGATCGCATCATTTTTTTTCATATCGGACTCCCGTGGATCGAGTGGAGCACGTCCGATCCCACGAGTCACATTCCGCATCAAATCATCAAAATTCCCAGAAGAAAACATATCAAAAAATCAGTTATAACATACAAAATGCCCATCCAAAATACCAAACATTAGTTATAATGATCAATAAATCAGTTTGATGTTTTTTTTTTTTCAAAATACCAACATCCAAAAAGTATCCAGTAGTGTGGGTAAAACATGGTAAAACAGTGCCATGAACCATCCTTCAGTCATCATCATTTTAATAGGTGGTATGTTTACCATTCCGAATATTCCCAAATGGTTGGTTTATGACATTGTTCTTCCCACATTTGTGGATATTAGTCAACTGAATATCCAGTGATGAATGTGATTTCTGGATTTAATATCCATTAATATCCACATATATATAAGTAGATAGATAGATAGATAGATAGATAGACAGATAGATAGACAGATAGATAGACAGATAGATAGATATAAGTAGATATATATAAGTAGATAGATATAAGTAGATAGATATAAGTAGATAGGTAGATAGATAGATAGATAGAAAGGTAGATAGATAGATAGATAGATAGACATAAGTAGACAGATAGAAGTATATAGATAGAAGTAGATAGATAGATAGATAGATAGATAAATAGATAGATATAAGTAGATAGATAGAAGTATATAGATAGAAGTAGATAGATAGATAGATAGATATATATGTGTGTGTGGATGGTCATTTAATATCCATTAACATCCATTAACCAGTTATAACCCAGGGATGTTCCAATGATCCTTGCCATGCACCAGGAGGAGAGGCCGGTGATGAACCTGGTCACTTCCAAGCTGCCCGGCCAAAAGGATGACCAACATTCAACTATGTAATTTGATTTACATGTATATATATATATATACATATATATACATATATATATATATACATATATATATACATATGTGTGCATAATTAGCTAATTGAACTAATCTAATAGAATCCAAGCATCTCTCTCCATGTTTTCCTTGAGATTTGCCGAGCATGGGCAGCTTCGTCGAGGAATTTCATCGTGGCCAATGCTGTGGAGGTGATCTTGGCAGCGCCCAAGAAGTCACTGGGCAGATTCTGTTTGCACCGTTGGGAAAGGCTGTTTAGGGAAACCATGGGTGAACTATGGGTTACATATGATTATATATGTTTATATATGGTTATATTTTATATTTGAATAGATAAAAATAAAGCTATACCTTTGTATGTACAGAATATGCAGATGTTTAAACATGTAAAAAGTGTCTAACATATATGCTAAAATGGGAAGTGAAGAAGTATCCATCCCGCTATGAACATGAGACATTGACATGTCCTACATGTCTTGGCTCATAGAAATTTTGCTGGGACAAGTCTCCACAAGTCCCCAGCAACTCCCCAGGATACCCAGCTTGACGGATTCCTTCGGACCAGGTTGCCCCAAGGTTCCAGAGACTACCTGAAGAAGGAGGAGACTGGGTAGAAATGGCTACCGGCTACCTGATGGCATTTTGAGATTGAGCACAGCAAAATTGGCCCAGATATACATATATAGGTTATATATATATATATTATATAGGTTATATATTGGTTATATATATATAGGTTATATATATATATATAGTATGGCACTCAACTAGCCCAGATTCTCTACAGTTACTGAGATTTTGGGTACTAGACATGTCCAAACATGTCCAAACAGCGAAATAAGTTTTGAGTTTAGTGAGCCCCAGAGGTTTTGACAGGATCCAGAAGCATTCCCGCATTCTTCCTGGCTTCCCCAATGTTCCCCAGCTTTCAATCTTTGGTCCATGGGGAGCAACACTGGCAACCTTAGGTCTGGATGTTTCGAATCCTGAATGTCTTTTCGTTTCAAGATCCCATCGATGTGTCTCGACCTCGTTTCCAGACTTCTAAGACATGTGAATGATTTTTGTCAGCCGCATTCACATGCATTCACCTCCAGGGCTTTCCCGCTGCCAGTTCTCTCAAACAGTCAGATCAACACGGTCGTAGTTTGTTTCGCAATTTCCTTCTTCAGCTGACGATGACGTCTTTCCGATGCTGGAGTATTATCTTGATGTCCGCGGCCGTTGCAGCCGTTCGAGAGGAGTCAGGATACTCAGTCTTCATCCATCTTCCACATCTGGAAGTTTGGACCCAGTTTGGAAGTTAGTTATTGGACTGCAAGAGAAATAGTGAACTTCATGAACTTCATGCCACCAAAGCAACATAATTGATCCATAGCATCAAGTACCACATGAATCAATATTGAAACCCCAGGTGCGTCCCAATAATCCCATCACCCCAACAGGTGCTGTGCGCCGACTTCGGCCGGCCCAGATAGCCCCATGGCTATCACCATAGATGTATTATAGCCTATATAGCATCTATCTACAAGCGTCTATAAGCATTGTAATAGCTTGTAACAACTACATTTTGTAACAAACAACACTTGATATAAGATATAGTTCAGTTACCCTCTGGTTATGACTAACATAACCATGGTATAGATGGCCCATAGAAATAGATGCTTTACCTATTATATAAAAATTGTGTTTTTCCATGGCTATGTTAAATAACCAGATGGTATAAATTAATAGCTAAACCTCCATTTGTTAAGAGATTGTCCATTGCCATGTGTGATTGCCAGAGGGTTTAGTACTTTATAGTTCATTACAATAATTAATGCATAGATTGTTATTAGATTAACCCAATGATGATTTAAGATTCATTACCCGCTTTGGAGCCCATGAGGTCCAAAATCGCTTTGGACTTGGAGAGTGACGAATACCTTGATGAGGCAGTGAGCAGTGGCTACGGCTTAGCTAAACCTCCGTTGGCTGATGGTTCTTGTCATTTTTTGGTGCTTTTAACATCAGTTAAGCATCAACATATGGGGATACAAGTGGATATAATATATATATATATAATATATGGGTAAATTATAACGACCTCACTGTTCTCCCTCACTGGGAATGATGGTTAGTAAGGGAAATCATCCCAATATGGCCGAACTATTCAGGTTAGTGAAATATTATCATGTACCGTGTACCCAGATATATGTATAACTAGTGAATGATGGTTGGTTGATGATTACATGATATATTATATGGGATTCGACTGCCCCACATATTGGGCACCTTCCGAACGGGGAATCCTGTTCGGACAACGTACCAGTACGTTTAGGGATACACCCTTTGCAGTTATGGCCATTTATTAGTTATAACTGGTTGCAAATGGGATTATACATTCTTTAAATGGGGTCATAAGTACTTATAACTGGAAAAAACGCCATAACTGTGGCCATGGAACAGTTTGCGAAGTGGAAGATAGTCTGGTTATAGCTGGTTTACCACTTGCAAAGGGTGCTTTTCCAGCTCGCAAATTGTTTAAATTACTAGAGGGTAGAGCCCATAATATCCCAGTATATGTTGTACCTCTCATTGATATGTCCCCATAAGATTGATATAGGATGCTACAGGTAGTGAATGTTCACTTTCAGACGGATTGGCTAAAGAAAACTGGATGTGACTGGGATATACTCCAAGATTTTCCAACATGTTCCACTCAGCCTCAGACTGCAGGGATTTTCGCATTGCCATAGCATAATCATCCCAACACGGGCTCCACAAGATCCCACGGGCTTTTGAAAAATCAACCTGGATCTGCCTTAAAAAAATCCACATTCCTCAACTCTCCTTATTTCTCAAAAAAATCTCTGGAACATCAACTTGGTGCAAAGGATTCAACCCTTGAGATTCCCATGACCCTTTTGATGCATGAAATTTCCCACAGTTTCCACCTGTTTTTTGTGAAAAATATGTCCAGGAGATGAAGTTAGTGCCTGCGCGGATCAGCAAAGCCATCCGTCGCACCATGCGTTTGTCAAAGGCGAGAGGATGGCAGGGGCTGTTGGCGTTCACCATTTGGGCATATTTGGGTCGAAAAATCCCAACTATTGATGGGTTCGGTTAGAACATGTTAGAACAGTGAACTAGTGTGAAAATTGGTGATGCACTGCTATCCTCGTAGATATCCAGCCAATGTTGATCACATCACAGGGGTGGCATGTCGCAGCTGTGAACTTTGTCGAATGTGGCACCCAAATGCATCAAAGAATCTCAAATACACCCCAAGTTGAACATGTGGGGATATGAAAGCCGGTATTTATATTTTTGAACTGTATATGTGAAGCCTATATACACTATATATTGGCATATTGTAAATCATACCCTCTGGTGAACTAACATAGCAATGGAAAATCACCATTTTCAATGGGAAAATCCACTATAAATGGCCATGTTCAATTGCTATGTTAGTTCACCAGAGGGTAACATATATAACCCCCCGGCGTTATGTCCATCATGTAAACCCCCATGTTGCTGCCTGCTGGCCTTGACTGGCCTTGCCTCAGGAAGCTACAGCTAAGGCAGAGGCCAAGAAGCAAAACATGACGGCTGAGAAGGAAGCCGCCGAGAAGAAGGTGCCAGTTGGAGATCCATCACACTTATTCCCACTTAGGATCCATGGCATCCATAGTTGAGGATATCCATATATAACCCATATAATCCCATTAATCTACAAGTGCGGGGAAAAGCCATTTACCAAGTGGGATGCGGCAAGAGGGGAAAAAATTGGATGATTTCTGGAGAAACCGCTGGCGAAAAAAAACAGACTCAACATGCTCAAGCAACAAAAAAACAATGGTATAATGCGGGGATAGTCAATGGGAAAATGGTATCATAAATGGAGTGTGAAGGTTTTTGTAGCTGCTAATGAGGGATATCAATTAATGTCAACCCTGGATTAATAAACTCCTAGGCTGTTTAATTGGGTGGATACCATTTATGTATCATATTGTGACTATCTGGAGGGTACCCCCACAATTAATAAACCATGGTTTCTTAATCCGGAGTTGACATTAACCACTATTCCTCATTATTAATAGTTATTAACCATCACTAACCATTAATAAACCATTAATAAACCATTCTTAATCCGGAGTTGAGATTATATTCCATGATAATAATGAGTTAAGCAGCAACACATGGGATGGATGATCATTCGGATGAATCATTTCGCAATCGTCGCGAAGTCACTGAAATTATGTCTGATGTAGGGGGCAAGTATCCCCAAATAACCGCTTTTTTGTAGGTTGTTGTTATAGTGATTATAGTGAGCCCACATAAAAAAAAAAAAATAATAATAATAATAACCAATAATAACTGATAACAAGCCCAATAATAGCGGTTAATTGTTGTTATTGTTTATTTGTTATTGTGATAAACAACTCACATCACCCAATGATCAAGGCCCAAGAGTTAAGTTCATCAACATGATTACAGTAGTGCACCCCACTTAGAAGTGGGGTACGTAGGGGGGTCCAGTTATTTTTGAAGTGAACTTACCCACGTACTACTTAATCCTCCCCATGATGAAGAACCTAACTATTTGCCCACTGACTGGTGGTTCATATCCGATTCATTCCCTTTCATTACCAATGATTGGGAACACAATTAAAACATTACATTCCGTCTATATTCTATTCCATATCCCAATGATTAATACCAATAATATCCCATTCTATTCCACTTCCCAATGATTGCCAATGGTCAATTAGCCAAAATGGAATATTCATATTGGGAAATGGAATTGAATATAAAGCCATTTAATTCACATAAATTCACACATTATGGTTTTATATTTGTAGTTGATAATCAATCATTACAGTAATTGGATATATAAAACTATAAACCCATTTAATGACCATTTGGTAATTTAACGTAGCTATTGCAAATGGCACCTACTAATGGTTAAATTACCGAACTTAAAGATGGTGATTTTGCATAGAAAAATGTTAGTTTACCAGAGGGTAAATCCCATTAGATCACCATTAGATCACCATTAAACCACCATAAAATCAACATAAAATCACCATAAAATCACCATAAAATTCTATTCATCCAAAAAAAATGGTCAAAATCACACCACCGTGGTGCCAACAACGTGCGTTGGAACTTAGGCGGCCGAAGCCGGGCAGCGCAGCGACGACAGCGATGCGGCCGCCAAAGCGGCGGCCACGAAGAGGTAGCCGCAGTCATATGGGAAGAAGAGGGCTACAATATATTAGGCAGTACAATCCATAGAAATAGTGGATTTTCCCATTGAAAATAGTGATTTTACAAAGTTATGTTAGTTTACCAGAGGGTATTAGGCAGTACTTAGATGGGCCATGGAGTTAGTTAACTAATTAGTAAATGGATTATCATTGGGATATAGGGGGTTATATCCCCAGTTACGAACCATTTAGCTAATCCCATGGCCCATCTAAGAACCATTTAGCTGGTAATTTAACAGTTTGCTATTGAAAATTGCCATAGAAATAGTGGATTTTCCCATTGAAAATAGTGGATCTTTCCATAGTTATGGTTGCATCTGGGTAATTATATGGTGGGCCCCCAAAGGATAGCTCAGTTGGTGGGTTTATAACTCCAATAACCATAGCTGGTTGGTGGTTTTAAACATTTTTTGTTTTTCCATATGTTGGGAAGAATCATCCCAACTGACTAATATTTTTCAGAGGGGTTGAAACCACCAATCAGTTGGGCAGTACAATCCCATGTGCCTTCTAGTAAACATACAAGAAACTATTGAAAATGGCCATAGAAATAGTGGATTTACCCATTAGCATGGTGATTTTCCATAGTTATGTACATGTTTACCGGAGGGTAATTTGTCATATAGCCATCAACCAAGCATCATTCACTAGTTACATCTAGTTACTGTATATCCACTTGTTTCCCCACACTGTGGATGGTTGCGAAATCTTGCACCAGTTGATAGATGGCAAACATCCTATTATTTATAGGGTTTCAACCAAGGTGGTGCAGGATTTCGCAACCATCCACAGTAGGGGAATAAGATATTTTCACGCATCCCCGTTAGTCTTTGATGTTCCTATGATATCCCAAAATGATATTCCTATGTTATGGTGACTTAATGGGAAATCATCTAGAAGTTGGTGAACATAACTCTAATAACGATGGTTCATGGTACTTATAACTACGTATATTTAATGGGGGTTTATATCACTTCCCGTCTGGCAAACCGTTCGAAAATTGAGGCTTTACCAAAAACAATGGGGATTTATAGGGACAGAATGGGATAGAATTACCCTCTGGAAAGCTAACATAGTTATCAATGGCCATTTCAGGAACCTAAATTGGAGGTACCTACCATATATAAGGCCTATGTAAGGGAATATCCCGACAAAATATTGCCTTATATGGTACAGTACCTCCATTTTAGGATCCTGAAATTCCCATTGAAATTATATAAGCTTTTCTATGCCGGCCAGCAACGTTTGACTACCAGAGTGTAATTTGGCTGGCGATCGGTTTCAAATATGTGAAACACATTTCTATAACAGCTATGGAAGAAACATGTTTAATAGCTAGCTAAATCATCGAAGTAAATTGGCCGTCCATTTTAGTTTGCAAAGTGTTAAATTAATTGCCGGAGTGTAATTGAACCCCATTAGATCCCATTATATTTACCAATTTATAGATGATTTCCCGGCAAACTATCTATGTGTTTTATCTTCGACTCTGGGAGGAAGATTCCAAACTGTTCACATGATTTTTTCCCCCATCGCTGAATGAAGGCGTCCCGGACAGCAATGCTGTTATGAATTAACTCGAAGCCAATATGGAGGTTTCCTAAAGTGGGCTTAACCCAAATATCATTTTTGCTATTGAAACCCACGGTGACTTAGGGATCCACCATGCTAAGAAACCGCCAATATATATATATGTATATAAATACAGATGGAGAGATACATACATACATACATACATACATACATACATACATACATACATACATACATACATACATACATACATACATACATACATACATACATACATACATACATACATACATACATACATACATACATACATACATACATACATACATACATACATACATACATACATACATACATACATACATACATACATACATACATACATACATACATATATGATTTATATATATATATATATTGGGAATATGTCGTGGCCAAAGGGGACGATATCATGGTGGTATTTTTTGGCATGTTGAAAAAGTCAATGAAATGCAATCTAGCCGGTGGATATGCAGATGGGACAAGACCTATAATTCACCATGTGAATGCAGGGATGCACATCCACCTGTACTTGATGTGAAAGAGGAACAGAACAATCAGGGCATCAGAGTTTTTGTCCATAGCCATACGTTGCGAGATCCATATTGCATTTGCATGATTCAAATTGATCATAACTATCTATCCTCATATGACTTTAGATTATTGATCTTGATATTTATCGTGATAATATTTCACTGTACTTCATGGTTATCCATCACTTTTATTCATTTTTCAATGGCCATTTCAGGAACCTAAATTGGAATATCCCCACAAAATATGGCCTATATGGTACAGTAATGTACAGTACCTCCATTTTAGGATCCTGGAATTCCCATTGAATTTTGAAAGGGCATCGAGTGACTGTGCTCAGATGTGCTCGTCCGGGGCTCCAGGAAATCAGCGGAGGAAAAGATGAAAGCTGCGTCGAAGGCTGGATGTGGAAGCCGGCTTAATAACGGGTTAATACTGGGTTAGTCAAGTGTAACCAAACTGGTTCTCTGGTAAACTAACATAACTATGGAAAATCACCCTGTTTTGTAGCTAAACCATCCATAAATCGGTATTTTCAAGAGCTATGTTAAATTGCCAGAGCGTATGTTGTGTGATAAATTACCAGGTTGGGTATATCAATGTTGTCAACCACACCGGAGCCCAACTATTGATGTCAAACAAGCGGCTGGTTTGATGATGGAAAATGACAATGGAGGTCTGTGGTCTGAAAATGCCAGCAGCACATTGGAGAATCCAATGCTTTCCGGTAACTCAACAGTTTGCGAACTGGAAAAATGATGAAAAAATGCCCGTTCACTTCAAAATGCTAGTAACCTATGACTAAAAAACACATTCAACATAAAAACCATTTAGTAACCTATACCATCTGGTTATTTAACATAGCCATGGAAAATCACCATTTTTAATAGGTAAACCATCTATTTCTATGGGCCGGGCCATTTTCCATGGCTATGCTAAATAACCAGAGGGTAAATCCCATTAGACCACCATTAAACCACCATAAAATCACAAATTTCCATATGTTAGTCATTAAATAACCAGAGGCAAAAAGAAACAGCAAAAATAGCAATTTGCTGATGAACATCCCATGTTTCCTGGTGAAAAAAACCATCAATCGCTTCCCGGGGATGACTGACAGGGCAGGGCTGTTTAAATTTGGATAACCAGGGCTGTGTTAATGTTGAATATTTTCACATGATTTGTTAATGTACAATCATCCGATGAATGATTGTGAATATGTTTAGTTGTGTTTCAAAAAAACTGGATTGGTGAAAACTATCAACCACAAAACGTATGTTAACGTGGCAGGTGCAGGTGCCATTGTAAGTATTTGGCGAGTACCACTAGTTTGGGGAATTAGGACCAATATTGGTAACCCATTTGAATCCTAGGTTGAAGGTTTACATGGGTCCCTGGGTTGTCTCCAACCTTGGATGATAGATGGCTGGCACCATTGACCCATTGGCACAACAATTTTGAACTCATCGTTAAGTCCACATTTGTTTGGAAGGCTAGTGTAGAAATCATCCTGCTGGGAGGATTGCTACATGACATTTAGATTTAAGTCATGGTGTTGTAGGCAGATTTATGTCACAATCTGTTCATAAGCCATGTGGTGAAACAGGTGAAAACCTCAGGGAGAATTTGTGTTTCTGTGGGTAAATATAAACCCATGGATGAGGATAAATCGTGACTGCTTGGTAATTACAATTGCCACATGATTTCCCTAGGTTTTTGGATATCTCGCAAAGGGATTGATTAAAGGCGAATTCACTGGACCTCTACATTTTGGGGGGAAACCAAACATCATGGTTTCCTGTCATGTAAATGTTGACGATGACATTTTTAGATGATTTGCCTTGATATAGCCATTAAATCCCATTAAATCAGCCTTTTTTGTTGTTGATCCACCTCGCACACCACTCGAATTTCCGACCCGTCAAGCCCACCAAGGCCATGGAGAGCAACAATGAAGCGCAAACCGCGTGGAAAGCCGCCACTGCCAAGCTGGAGGCAACACGGCGATGGCGCAGAAATGCTGTTGATGTGTGATATGACATGACAATTATGGAAAAATGTACTCTAAGACCCTATATACACATACATGCACTGGATTGTGTTATATTCTATTGCGTGCCATTGTTAAGTAGTGTACAAATTGGGAACGAAAGAGCTCAGGAAGCCGCAAAATATTTACTTCCAGTATGAAGCAAGTTAGGTTCTTTATATATAATCATGCAATAATAATCAATAATAGCAACACTACCCTCCTGTAATCATACCCTAATGTCGGGAATAACAGTAATTAGTAATAGTTATACTTAAATAACTTATGACAATAATTACCCAAATAACAGTAATTAATTATAATAATAACATTATTGTTTTCCATGTCGGCAATCATTACCCTCCTGTCATTTTACTATGGCAGTGAACAATGCTTTTCCATAGGTTCCGGTCAAGTGGAGAAGATGAAAACAGAAGGCTTCCATTTGAAGATTGAAATTGCAAGCCAGCTGATTTTGGACATGTTATATATGTATATATTGTATATTATATTATATATATATACACTAAAATATTTATTTTATATGTTAATATATGTTTATGCAACATTTGTATTACATATTATATATATATCATGTATGTAAATCTTATTTTTTAAAAAAAAACATACACATTTATGTGTCGATAGAATGTGTACTTGGACACTATTGGAACCGTCGTTTTTCGATGATTTTTAAGAGGTTTGAAAGTTGAGGGCGTCATCATTGAATCAGTGGGCAGCCTCAAAAATCTGAGATCGAAACTCAACCAGATGGAGTTGGAAGATGTTGTTGCTGGATACACTCCAAGCATCTTTAGATATCATGGAACATCCACAATGACAGTAAAATGGTTGGTGGTTTGGAACATGTTTTATTTTTCCATATATTGGGAATAGTAACCCCAACTGACGAACTCATATTTTTCGGAGGGGTAGGTATACCACCAACCAGTGTATCGTTTCCCCAGGGCTTCCTTCTCCATCGCCTTTTGTTAGTGAACCCCAGAGTCCCAGGGTAGCAAGTGGTTCACTTGCCGCAGGAGATGGAGACCAAGTACAAAGACCAAGAAGATCAGTGGCGACCTCAGTATGGCGGTTTTTTTTCACCTGAGAACACGTTCTGAGATGACATCAACATGAAAATGCGGTTTCCCCCCATGAAATATAGGTGGTTTCTGTAGATTATCCATTATTCTTTGAACCAATCCAATGAATTTTCGGTATCAATGTGGGCAGAAAATGCTTGGTCGCCGTGTTTTGTTTGTTGAGTCCTGCGGAATCCAATATATCTACCAGATTTGGATGGGAAAACTTGCTTCGATTTTCCCAAGCCCATCCACATTGATCCCAACATCTGTGGCGGGTTAAGGTACGAAAAGCTTTCCGAGAAGGTCAAAAAGGAGAGATCGTCGGAGAGTAGTGGCACGGATCGTGGTTCAACCATCCTGAAACGGGGATATAGAGCCAATATTATCTTGGGAAACCGCCCTTTGAGCCATGGTTTAATGTGGGATCTAGTCATTCTTTGAACACATTGGTGGTAAATGTTAGGGGGGAGATGACTCAGGTTTCCCTACCAATTATTGGGTGAAATATGAGAAGCCAGGGTACACCATGTTCAGACAACCAGACTTTACTCTTGAATGTCTGGAGCGGACTAGATCAGATAGGTAAAACATATATACTAACAATAACTGACAAATTACCTAGTAACTTATGTAAAACATCAGTGTTACATACATAGTTAGATAGCAAACCAGGTAAACATCAGGCAACTTACCAACAAGAACTGATTACGTACTGAGTCCAAACCACCTGTGACAAATTTGACAAAGCTGGTCCATTTGGAATCCCAGCCATATAACTTCACCATTGCACATGTTAAATTTGCTATATATATATATATACATATTATGTATATATCATCCGATATCTTAGGATATCCAATGTGGTATGTTTTAAGTTGATTAGATATTAGAGATCATTTCAATGCATCATATCTATCTATCTATCTATCTATCTATCCCCTTCCATCCCCTTCCAACATATCAGAGATGATGTTTGCTTAAATCCTTTATGTTTGACCCATTTGCGGAGGAGATTGCAGCCCTGCTGAATGAGAAGTTGAAAGCGGCCAAAGCGTTCGTCAGCTGCAGAAATCCCATGGAAATCCTGGAAAAAACATCGGTAACCATCGAAATCATGGGCAAAAAATGACAAACCATGGGACATGTTACCCGGCCTGGTAAACGTTTACATAACTGTGGAAAGATCCACCATGCTATTAATGGGTAAATCAACTATTTCTATGACCATTTTCAATAGCTATGTTAAATTACCAGGGGTAAGGGGAACAAACTCATGAAATCTACAAGAAGTTGCATGCTTTGAATGGCCATTGACTTTCTGAATGGACGTGCCGCTTCCACTAAGGTTGCAGGCTGCTGAGGAAGAGAAGATGACACTTGGCGATTTCGTACATGAAATGCATTCCCCGACCCGTAAAATGCCATGCAAATAGTGAATGCTTTGGACCCGGGGTTGGGTACCAATTGAGTTTGACATGTTTTTTTTGATACCCGTATGTCCTTATCCAATTGATGGGGCAAATGATGGAGCATAGAACAACATCATAAATCAGTGGTTTAAGTTATCATAAAGTCAACCCAATGGAGGGGTCTCCACGAAGATAGAAGATCGGAATCCAAGATTTCCATACGGTGGATGGGCCAGCGAAATGTTGCACCAGTTGAGGACGGTGCAGGATGGGGCCCCCCAGTTATAAGTTGGTTTATAAACCATTATAACCCCCATTAACTAGTTCGCTATATCTACCATAAACCATAGAATTCAACCACTTATAAACCAACTGAACGCTATCGACTGGGGGCCCCACCCTGTGGTAAACATACCATCCAGGGATGCAGGGGATGCAGGATTTCGCTGGCCCATCCACAGTCCAACTATGTCCAACTTGCTGCTACAGCTATAGATAGTTACTAAGATTACCAATAGAAAAACTGTAGCAGCCCAATCCCAATAGAAACTAATAGCTAAGTTAGGGATTGATAGTGTTACCAATAGAAAAAAACAAATCCCTAATATAGAAATATTGGGTTAACTATCTATAGCTATTGTTACATCTATTGTTAATGTGGCAACGCCAATAGAAACCCCAATCCCTGAGATAGACAATACCATCCCCAACTGGGAGTTGTTGGTGGCCAGGGTGAATCCCGTTGCATTTCGAGCCATTCTTGTCACTTCTTCGCACCTATTGATATATATATATATATTCATCATGATTAATCTGGTAAATCACCATAAGATCACCATAAGATCAGCATAAGATCATCATAAAATCACCATAAAAATCAGGTGCTTCTGGGTTTTCCCAGGTGATGTCACCATCCAGGTGCCCTGCCCCAGGAAACAAAGCAACGTGGCCGAGAAGCTGAAAGCGGAAGCCACGGCCAAGGCTAAACGTGGAGGGGGAAAATCATGATGCCATGGGATGATTGGGGGAAACTGATGGAAAGATGGTTGAAACCACCAGTATATATATATATATATATACCCTAGCCTTCCAAAGGCTATACTCAATTTAGTTTTTGTATAAAAGACTAAACTTAATATAGCCTTTCGCGGGTCATGCCGGTCACGGCCGGTCACGGTCATGTCATGCTCATCTTGTAGATTGCAGACGGTCCAAATTTTAACAAATCTTGATTCCCAAGAATCAAAGGGTCTTTGAACCATCAAACCCTTGCCCACAAGAGCTCACTTTTCAAGCGCCAATGCTTGCTCACATCAAAGCGTTCTGCGTAGCGTTGCGACATCATAGTCGCTTTCGAAGCCGGTAACTTTCATTCAGCCTGGGCGACACTAATTCTCAACTAATGATAGACTAATTCATCACCGCAACAGGGATAGACATGGTGCTGCCAGGTTGTATAGCCCCCAAAATCAACCATGATGCTTCATACTGGGATTTTTTGACGATGATATTTTTTTTCGGTGGTAAATCCCTCACTTCGTAAGCTTTGCTTTTTTCCTCTTGCAAACTAACATGGCACATCCACCATGTGTAGCTTCTTTCCCTGGGGTGTCCCCATGGCTTCCCATGTTTGATTAACAGTATGTTTACCCTACCTAACCCCAAGCCCAAACAGGTGACCATTTCGAATTTCAAGTGGAATGGTTATTTGGTAATCTTGGTTAATTAATATTGGTTACCCTCTGGAAAAATTAACTTGATGACCCTGAACATAGCCTAGTTTTAATGGAAACTAGTCTTCCAACCCCTATCTTCCAGGGTCTATGTTGATTTACCAGAGGGTAATTCCACTAAACCTAACCATATGGTTTGTTCCACTTAACTTCCATTGGTTCCATTGGGTAATAATATTGGTGAATGGAATATGCCAATCATAGAATTGGATGATGGGGAAATTTACAGGAAAGCCCTATATTTCATGGTAAAAACCCATGGGTTTCCGGTTAAGATTTTCCCAAGAAAACCAATCCAGTGATTCATGGTTATAAGCCCCAATAACTATGGTTATAAGTACCATAAACCATAGTGAAATTGGAGTTATGTTCACCAACTTAGCTATCTATAGGCGCCATGGCCAGGGGGGAATTGCCACGGACGCGATGGAGAAGGCTGAACAGGCACAGGAAGAGGTTCTGGAGGCCGTTCCTTGGAAGCATATCATGGGGACTTTTAAAGCATATCATGGGGAATATGGAACATAAAGGAACATAGTATATCTATACGTATAGGTATAAATATATACATATATAATTATATACATATGTATTTATATTTATATCTATGTATGGCAATTCTCCAAAAAAAATGAAAAGTTGGCAAACTCTGACTAGATTAAATGAATTATTTTCCTTCTTTTTTTTGGTTGTTATGATATATCTAGATAGATAGATAGATAGATAGACAGACAGACAGATAGATAGATAGATAGTCTCCATGATCTTATGATCTTATATCTCGAGAACGTAGAGTTTTTCATGTTGGTTTATAGCCCCTTGTGAATTGGATTATGTAAGATATGTAAGGTCGCCAGGCACACGGAAGATGGTCAGATTTCAACATATTTCAACGTGCAATGAGCAACATCTAAAGTACGGTGCATTGTTTCTGTATCTAATTCCTGATTCGGTTAATGATTCTCACGTAGTTCATTACAATATTCAACAACGCCTGCTCCCTGATATGTTATCAGGAATAGGGAGCTGAACTGAGCAAATGCCCTGCCGGCTATTGGTAGGGCAGAAAGGAACCATCAAAAAAGTATGGATATTGACTGGAACTAATACCCCCAAGAAAAAACCAGGACGAAACCTGATAGGGAAAATTGAAAGTAACCCCCTCAAATATACATAATACACACATACATCATTACACACATGCATTTCGAGCTAGATATAGATGTATATTTCAATCATGTCAAGAGAAAACTCCCCATTCAGTTCCATGTTTTTAGCTTGGGGATTTACATGCAATCGCTTAGTTTGACATAGATGAATTCCCTGTGCCCAAAACATCTCCCCATCCTCATGAGATTCCGCATGACATTCCCATGAAAATCAGGTTACTTTGCTTCAAAAAGTGCAGCTAAATCATGTTGAATCAGTTAAATCCTTCCAAATCCCATGAAAATCACCATAGGTTCAGACAGTCCAGTCTTCATGTGCCCCCCGTTTTCTTTCATGACCATTGGAGATCCATATTGGAAGATATTCCAATCTTCCCATGATGCCATCCACTTGGGGCTCCTATGGCTTATGAATGATATAAACCACGGATCCAGGCGTGGGGGGCCACATCCAAGATCATCCAAGCATTTCATGATTTAATATTCCCATGACATGTTCCATTCACATATATTCACATGACATTCATGTGATATTCATATGACATTCCCCCCAAAAAAAACATCCAGGGTTGGTATTCATATGGTTACCACCATTATTATAATCATATTCCATATGACATTCCTATGGAACATCCCAAACATCCCATCCCAAAACCATTCCCACAAAGTGGGGCCCCCTAGATAGCTAAGTTGGTGAACATAACTCCAATAACTATGGTTTATGGTACCTACAACTATAGTTAATGGGGTTTATAAACCATCTAACATCACTGGGGGGCCCCACATTGTAGTAGTTATATCCCACTGATTTAGGAATTCTTGTGGGCTATATCTTGGTTATCTTGCTATATCTCAAGGTATATGCCAGGTCAAAGGACAAACTAGATTTTCCCTTAACCAAATCCATGACATTCGCCGGTGATCTTCGCCGCGCCAAGGAGAAGAACGCGGCGAAGCTGAAGACGGCCGCCGAGGAGGCGCAGGCCGAGTACCTGGAGGCCAACGCCAAGGCCGAGCGATCCGAGCAGTTCCTTGGGTGCTTAGTGGTTTGGGACCCGTGGTTCCACCACCAAAAAAGGCCCCAATTGATGGAAAAACATAGGAAAAACATGGGTTTTACCGGGTAAACATGGGAAAAACATGGGGAAAACCTAGGAAAAACCATAGGACTAGGACGAAGATGCCCAGATTTGTAAGTCATTGGAGTGGTTTTCGTGGGAAAACTTTAACCGGAAGCCATGGCTTTTGCAATGACATGTAGGGGGTTCCGGTTAAGATTTTCCCTTACACCAACCCATTGAATAAGGAAAAACATAGGTAAAAGTCATAGTAAACTGCAACTGTTGATCTTAGATTTTGAGATTTATAGCTAGATTTGTTGGAACACTTTGGGTCTAAAGCCAAGAAACACCACCTTTCTTGGGTACTCGTCTGTCTTTAAAGGCCCCAAATGGTGAATTAAGGTGAATCGGCTAGCTATGGTTTAATCAGTGGGCTTGCCAAGTGGATGAGTCTAAACATTGGGGTTAACAAAGCCTTAGTTTGTTGACATATGGAGTTACTATTCTTTCTTTAAAGTAGCAGTTGATTACTTAGAAAGGGTTACAGTGTTAGGAATGCTCGTTCGTCAAGCAAAGTTGATTGATCGAGGGATGAGCATTGTACGGCGGAGACTGTGGGTTTGAGAAGATGGTTGCAAAACTTGGGCGAACTATTTTTCAATAGAAACAATGACAATTGCTGGGGCTTTTGGGTTTCTAGCCTGATGTGGCTATAACATGCTACAACTACTATAGGGATAGAAACACAGGGGACATTCTGGTTCAACTTAGTTAAACTGGGCTTTTGGGCGGAGTCCGTTCTTGTTGTGTATCTCTTTTGGGGCGGGGGTGACGATAGCCAGTGTTGCGTTCAATCATGGGGATGGTTCTGCAGGGTGGAACTATCCATACTATTCCTGGTTGGTGGTTTCAAACATGGCTTTTATTTTCCATATAATATATGGGATGTCATCCGAAAAAACCATGGTTTCCCATCCAGATTCCCTTTTCAGGTTGGTGCAAATTGATAGGTTTTTGTCTTCAGATATTCCAAATTGGATGTAGTAAAATGACCATCCCAAGAACGGGCACTTCACCGGCGATCAAACATGGCTGGAAAATCCACCATGTATAGGTCATATTTCCAAACTCTAAACCTCCATTGGGTTCGGGGATTTGCCATATGTTTTCCTATAATCCTATAGTTCTTTATGAATTTCCCATTTTTGTCGGGATTTCCCCATGTGATTGCCATGTGAATGGACATCCACAGACGGACTCGATCGGCTCCCAGCGGTTTGGCCGAGGTTATTTTTGGATGCCAAGTCTGACCTTGACCGCAAGACCGAGGTGGCTGCTCTTATTAAGGACGGATATGATGGGAAAGAAATGACTGGAAAAAATGGTGCGAAATTAGTCGATATACGCACTATAGTAATTTTAGATATTTTAGGGAATATAGTGTATACACTATATTCCCTAAAATATCTAAAATTACTATATGTTGTAGTTATATCCCACTGATTTAGTAATTCTTGTGGGCTATATCTTGCTATATCTCAAGGTATACGCCAGGTCTAAGGACAAACATCTCTGCATGGCTGTCTTCGTAGCTTCAGGGATCCAGAGAGATTCCAGCGGATAGCACACAGTTGCCCATGTGAATGGATCAAAATGGATCTTAAAACTCAAACCAGTCATACCATTTCTGTGGACATCCAGATATTTCATGGATATTTGCCAGCTCTTTTTGGGGTGTTTACATTAGGCAACAGGGTTTTGATGATTTTTGATGCATACCCCAGATGGGGGCCTCATAGCAGGTCATATTCTTAGTCTCCAAGACAAACCCCCAGTTGTCAGCAATCTTGCCTCCGCATTTCTGTTACCCTCTGGTAAAGTTAACATAGACCCTGGCAGATAGGGGTTGGAAGAATCGTTTCCATTAAAAATTGGTGATTTTCATTGATTTTCAGGGTCTATGTTTATTTACCAGAAGATAGTTCAACCTGTGATTTTGTTGTTGATCATCACCCCTTGAACATTGGTAAGCGTGATATGGTGATAGTGTTCCCCTGTCATTGATCATACCCACTACTTGTTGCTGTATCTTATATATGTGTTATTATGTGTTTATATGAATTATGAATTGTAATATATTCCTGATTCTTGCTGATTACAGTCCATTCCTGTTGCTTCACCACGTGATAATACTATATGACCCATATCCAGTTGTCAGGGATCATTCGGACCATACCTGGCAGTACAGGACGTGCGCGAAGGTGTGCAGGGCTTCTATGATGCCATGGACAAGAGTAGTAAGAGCCGCTTGGCGGCGGATCAGAGATCAGAGTGGAATCACAAGCAAATTGCGGGATGAAACATCGCCACTAATATGGCTTGTGGCATGCACATGCATGCTATATCATGCTATGTATATATATTATATATATTATATATGTTATATATATATATGTGTGCGTCTGTACATGTATATAGATATGTGTGTATGTTATCTATGTATTGTTCAACCAGATCCGCGAGAATTGACAGAGCAATGATATGATAGAGCAGGATAGGGCGTAGATATGATTTGCTGGCAATGGCAGGCGAGAACTCCATTTGTCACTGTTGTTTCTCATCGGCCTTTCTCTGGGATGTTCTTTTGCTCATTACAATCATTACGAACAAAACACATGCGATTTTGGGGCAACTAAGACGTCAGATGATTTTCCTGCTTGGAAAACCGTACGGGATGGAAGGACCATAGCATGTAGAACGTTTCTGGACCTTTTAAAGTTTTAGATGAATCATCAGCAACTTGATGTTTTAATCAGGTGAGCAACTTGCAGCAAGTGTCAAGTCTCGAGCTCTGTTGGAAAATTCTTGGTTTGTCCAACGTGATCCTGAAATCGCAGCAAGGAAAATTGATGCATTTGCCCTTCCACCTAAGGATTTCCGTCTTTTCCAATGTACTCCCGAAGATGCTAATCTACACCAATCCTTTCCTCAAAACATAACCGCCCACTGTTGATTCAAACTATCTCTAAGTTGAAAAGTGGGTTGCAAAATCCATCCCCAAATGGTCGATTATTGAGTTTTATTGGGTGAAGGCACCATGCACTAGACCATGGGTTACCCATCGAAACATGCAATTTTACGCCATAATTATCCATGATGATCATAGTAATCCATAATTATTTAATATTATGTATAGTGATTTTACATGATTTTACCCATTTTCCTAGGTAAAAACAGGGGGTTCATAGTCTCTGTGGATTCCAATTGGTTCTATTGCTTCCGCCAGGCATGGAGAAGATCTACGACGAGAGCGAAGGGAAGGCGGACGCCAAGCCGGCGCACGAGGTCATGCGCACGAACCCGGATGTCAAGGCAGCCTTGGTACCTCGGTAGTCCACGTGGGTCTTGTGGTTGATCCAAGTTGGGACAAAAAAGCCTACTTGGTGGCTCATCCCACTTAGTAAGTGGGTTATAACCCCAGTTATAAATGGGATAAGTAGGGTTAATCCACTGAAATCACTGGGGTTACAACCCACTTACGATTCGTGGGATGAGCCACCAAGTACCCTCTGGTAAATTAACACAACTATGGAAAGATCCACCAGGCTATTCATGGGTAAATCCACGAACTTTCAATGGCCATGGCTTCAATGTCGCAAACTCTTAGTCACTACCAGAGGGTAAATCATAAAAATCTTAGATGATGTACCATGATTTAGCTTTTAAATCTGGATTAAACCTGGTGATTTTTCCATAGTTATCCTAGATTTCCAGTTCGGTTAACAGAATGCTCCGTTTTTCCATGGTGGTGCAATGGTAATTTAGGATAACTATGCTATTGTTTTTATGGTAATCCATAAATGACCGTTCAAGATCTTTCTTTCAGAAAAAACGCAATGCAGCATGCCCCGTTTTTGAACACACCCATGTGGTGGTGCACGGGGGTAGGATCTTTGGGATGCGCTTGTGCTGGGTTGCAAACGAAAATACCCAGGGGCCAGTTGGTGAAAATTGGTGGTAAAAAGTAGATCGTTTCCCATAGATCTTCCCTTCAACAAATCCATTGAACCATTAAAATATCCATGAAGTCCATGAAATGGTGAATCTATCATTTTAATGGTGAACCCATGGTGAATCATTAAAATAACCATTAAAATATCCATTGAAACATCCACAATTTCCTGATGCTGAATCTATCATTTTTCATGGTGAATCCACCATTTTTGCAGGGTGAATCCATGGTGAATCCATGGCTAACCCACCAAGGTCGCCTATAACGAGATGGTCCTCACCTTCCGCCGGCTCCATGTGACGTCCAAGGACACGTTTCGTACGCAAAAAAAGGATGAACATGATTGGATTGTATCAATATATGTATGCATATTATGTTTTTACATATGTATTTATATGTATTTATATATATATTTATATATATATATGAATTACTATTACATATTTTTGTTCAGTTATAGGTTTTTCTTGTTCATGTGTACTATTATAATATATATATATACGCATATATTGGTGGGATTATTGATGTGTCCATTTTGTTTGGCGGTTGCTCTGCGTGACTGAGATGTGTCGTGTCGGGATCAAGTCCATTGGCTCGTTGTTTGAAGGATTACCCTCTGGAAAACATACAAAAAACTATTGAAATGGCCCATTTATAGTGGAATTACCCATTAATAGCATGGTGATTTTCCATAGTTATGTTAAATTACCAGAGGGTAGGTTTTGACAGGCTTGTTTTTTTCAAGTTTCCATCCATCCATATTTATTGTACAGTATGTCATTATTATACTGATGGTCAATGGATGTGAATGGTTAAGTAAACATTACTACTCGTAACAACTATATATTCATCACTAAGATGTTACTATTACTATTCCAAGCACTTTTACTGATGGTCAATGGATCTTAATGGTTGGTGGTGTCATGTTTTGATACTCATTTCTACCTGGCATGACCAACCACTACATCATTGGGCAATTCGCTTGTTCCGGTCAACCCTATCCATTTGTTTCTCATTGGATTGGGGAAACTTACAGGAAATCCCATAGGAAATCCCAATTTTCATCCATTTGTTTGTTGTGGCCCTGTGTTCCTTGCGGATCTTTGGGCTGGTGGTACAGTCATTGGTGGAGCCTCAAAAAGCGTCACAGGACTTTTACACCTATGTGGCCGCAACTTGGCGGAACAAAAATCTCTGTCTCAACCCAGCACCAAACGTGGCAATGGGAAATCCACCTAATTACTTATAAATTGTGGTTTAGACATGTTTCAACAGAAAAAGCATCTCTAAATGGTGGATTTTCTATTGCCACGTTTGATTGCCGGCTGGTAATTACACTTGAATATGGAAAAGTACAGGTATCAAGTATCAACAAGTCGAGTTTTCAAGTGCCTGCCCTCATAACCATGGAAGCTTGCTGTGCAAGTTCGTCATGTGTTGATGTCGCCCCTTCTTGATTTCCGTTTTGGAGACGCTGGGTGAAAGTTATGGGATGTTATGGTGTGGAACCCTAAAATCAAGTGTTTTTGAATGTTGTTTCAATAAGCTACCAGCAGAAGTTTTTCCACTTGAAGTCACATTTTTTGTTGTTTTTCGAAGTGTTCCACAAAACCAAGCCAAATCTTGGGCCGTTTGGACATTGATTGGGGTATATGACCCCAATCCCAAGTATTGTACGTATGTGTCACCGGTGTTGATTCAACGATTCCCTTGAAAAGCAAGGCTGCTGGAACATTCCATTTGATCATCAACTTGGATAGCCAAGAAAAAACGCATGTGTTACCATCTGGTTATTTAACATAGCCATGGAAAATCACCATTTTGATAGGTAAACCATCTATAAATAGGCCATTTTCAATAGCTATGTTAGTTTACCAGAGGGTAGCCAAGAAAAAAACGCATTTGTTAAAAGAAACAGGGTGGCCTCTTTACCAGTTTTCTGAACTAAACAATCTCCACTAGATGATAAAAATCGACCTTCCATGGGCCATTGGCCGTGGTGAAGTGTTAAATTACCAGAGGGTATACCATCTGGTTGTTTAACATAGCTATTGAAAATGGCCATTTATAATGGATTTAACCATTAACAATGGTGATTTTCCATAGTTACGTTGGTTTACCAGAGGGTATAGATGGAAAATACCTCAGTTATAGATAACTTTCATCGATTTTCCCAGTTACAAACCTCAGTTTACTTTGCGGATTTCCCATCAAAACATACCGAGAAAAAAAAAGCAGCGCATGGTACATCGGCTTTAGCTAGAGCTAGCAATATCTACCACAAAAATCCATAAAACCGTTTACTATGACTTATAACTTATAACAGTATTACAAATTATACAGTTATACACCAATCATATTGGCCATATAACTATACAGTATAGTTATACACCAATCATAACTATATACATAGTTATAAATCTATCCAGTTATACACTATACACCAATCATAATAGTCATAACTATAGTTATAGATCCAGCAATGGCCCAGCAGTTCACCAGCGCTCGCTGGAGGACAGCTTGCCGGAGATCCACGACAACGCCGAAGCGGCCATCCAGTTGCAGTGCGACCCCACCGAGGATCGATACGATCGACCCCTCGGGATGTCACGGCGTCGACCTGGGTTTCTCACCATGGTTGAAGCATGGTTGAACTAATGTATCAGTAGAATCCTCTCATTTCATTGGGATTATATATACATATATATATATATATCTCACTGTTGGTTATATCAACCACGGTTATATCAACTGATCAACTGTTGGTTAGCAACTGTTATCAACTGTTGTTTGGATTATTTGGATTCTTGGAACAGGGGTGTAAAAAAAGGAGCCACTGCTCAATTGGCGGAATATGAGTTCATAGATTTCCCGACCATGGGTTATAGTGTGGATGGTTGGGATATGCTGCACCAGTTGATGGGCAAAATCCCGTTATAATATGTTATAATCCCATGATTTACATTTAGTTTACCGTGTTTCATGGGAATGCCAATGTTTACGACTCTGACATTCCAGCGAGTAGACGGGCATGTTTCTTGGGATATCTTGGGATCATTTGAAGTACCCTCTGGTAAACATAACTGATGGGAAAGATCCACCTAATTTTTAATGGGAAAATCCACGAACTTTCTATGATCATTTTCAATAGCTATGTAAACGTTTACCAGTGGATTTTCATAACTCCGGTTGATGATCCTTTTCCAATCCTTTTCGCCAACACAAAACCAGCTCCACCAGCTCTTTTTCACATCCTCAGCGCAGGAGCTGGAGAGAAAGGCCAAGGAAACGAAGAACATGGACGAGTGGCGTCAAAAGTGTGGCAGCGCCGTTTGGAAGGACCCGCCATGGCGCTGTGACAAAATGGCGCTGTGTAGATTTCAACCTCCTGATAGATAAGACAACTTGGTTTCCAACTCAATGAACTTGGGTTTCAATAGGGTTTAAGAATGTTTAAGGTGCTTGATTATCCAATCACGTCAGTTTTGTTTTCATTTTTTGGGGTCCCAGCTTGGTTTCCCCGTGTTTTTTTTCAACTTTCGCACCATGTCAACGAGTTCGTGCAGCGTTCGTCCAGGACTTGAAATTGGAACAACAGCGCTTTCCCCACCTTGCGAATAAGCAGGTGGATGCACATGGGTCGCCGGGTCGCCCCTCAATGCACTTGGGATATGTTTGTTTAAGGGCTTTCAATTTCATGAACAGTGGCTCTATTCTCCATCTCTTCATGTTTGCTCAGCAACTAAAATTTCAGTTTCCCTGAACTTTGATTTAGAACTTCGGGGGCACGTTAAGATTATCATGATGTTCACTGATTTTACCCTTTGGATCCCTATGGCTTCAAACACCTTATGAGACCGTACGTTTTTTTTTTTCCGGTCCAAACACCTTCTCAGAAGATAGTATAAGATAGTTATTTTGAGAAGTAGGGTTACCCTCCGCTAATTAAACATGGCAATGGAGCATCACCCATGCATCAATTGTAATCATTTATAAATATTAATATAGTTGATTTTCTTATGAACCCCGATTCAAATTAGGATTTTGAGTTGCCACGTTTGATTTTGAGAGGGTAGATGATGTTGTTTACCGTGTCACTGACGCCAGGTCAATCCAGAGACGGTGGTGTCTCGGAGGGCGCTGGATGTTGGGTGTCAATGATCGTCAATCACCCAACCCACAACCAGCCAGCAATCTGGCCAGGTAACATCAGCTGGAAATTCTCCCCTAGGTTTTCGACTTGAAATGATATTTCAATGATATTTCATATGGCTTTCTCATGGTTTTCCATGGTTTTCAATGAATTTCCATGGTTTACCATATGGTGTTCCCATGGTTTTCCCGAACATCGGAATATTTCGGGACTTAGCTCTGATTTCCCTTCTGGCTCTGCCAGAAGGGTGCCCGCGCCGCCCATGTTGTTCGATCCCTAGGTCAAAGAGACCTAGGCTTTTCGAAAGGCGACGAGGCGGACCTTTGGGGCATCGTATCACAGGATGCCGCACTTTGTGATGACTTGGTTTTGTGGTTTGAAATGCGCTTTAGATGTTGTCAACTTGATCCAAATTGATTCTTTTCAGGGCTTGAAAGCTTGAAACCACCAGTGATAGCTTGACACAGAAGAATTGGCGGAACTTGATGGCTGGTAAGACATGAGAGAACCCCGTCCACAAACTGTGGCTTTGTGACCCAAAGTCTTTGGATGCGCTGCCACATATTACCCCTTATTTGATGGATTTTCCAGGATTTTCCCCTGCCACACTGCCAATCACTGCCATCATTTGCTGCTTTCAGTCCAAACTCTGTCATGTCGGGTACCCCATGAGCTCATCCATTGCTCCGCAGGAGTGTCACAGAGCTATGAACGGTTGCACGGTCGCTGCGCGGTTGCTGCACGGTTGCTGTGTCGCAATGCCAAGCGGCACGCAATCCCCAGCGACGGAAGCTGGAACAGTTGCAGTATGGCATTGAACAAAATCTGGTGCTCGCTGGGGTGGCTGAAGGGAAACCAAAAAGAAACCAAAGGGCGATGGTACCAGCCGAATATGGAGAACTGATAGATAATTACATACAGTTTTGTATGATACTGGAGATTTTCCGTCGAAATCAGTTGTGGGACATTGTTCAAGATGCTTGGTGTTGTGGGCGTCAGCGTCTCAATAAAAATGGATCGTATCCATATGTATCCATTATCCTTCATGGTAACCACCTCTTTTTATGTCACAACCATGGCATTTCCTCATGTCTTGCCCCATTTTTGACAGCTACCAGGGACCTCAATCTACTGACCCTGAGAATTTTTGTCACGTCCAGCTCTCCAGGATTATGGCAAGGTGCCAAAGTACCTCTCCCACATCAAGAAGGACCAGCAATGCAGGTGTCACAGGAAATGTTCATAAATCTACCCAGATTGGGGATGAAAAAAAATCCGCAGATTTATGGATGGGATGAAATTATCATTGGATTCATTGGTTTTACCACATGCATTTGGTTCTCTTGAACCTTTTCTCATCGTATTTCCACATGTTTCCACTGGGTGATGTTTTGCAAACCGGATTCCCTTCGCCTCAGCAGGACATTGATGCAGAGTACTCCTACATCCGCGCGTTCGCATCGCAGATTTTGAACTCTGCATGGATCGCCGTAAAAGCGGTGGAAGAATATACAACGCATGCATTGTCATAGCCCATCAGCAGGTCTACTGAGTCTACTCTGGAAGAATAATTTAACACAATCTAATAATTATTTAATATATGCGCTGAAGAATGGCCCGCTGATATATAGAAAAGGGTGATGTTCTGTGGCCAACTGTTACCAGAGGGTAAAACCTCGTCACGACAAATGAGCTGCAACGAATTGAATCTCGACATTCCCAATCTCTTGAGGTTGCAGGAGGCACGTGAACAAGAAGAAGCTGCACGTATGAGGCAGCGAACCGTGGTTTCGCCCACATGCTTGAAGAGTGATTTTTAAATCTAATTATTATTTTAATCCTTCAATGGGGGGGAACTAGAATAAATATTCTTTATTGTGCGTTTATCATGATTTATCGGCATTATTGTTCGAATTCCAGCTATGCAGTGCTATACAATGCTATACATGATTCTACAGGCGCTTCTAGGTTGCACTATTTTCACGAACAGGCTTGAATTTGTTATCATCATTATTGACACTGTTGGTATGAAGATGTTGATATGATGTTGCAATCATCTCATATCACTATAGACTATACAGTAGTTATACTGTTATACGGCCTGCATGCACTGTATATGCATGCTAATGATTCGGATGGCGTTGAAGTATAATATACCCACCCGAAAGATGTCTCCCCAAAAATCCCTCAGGCCGCTGGAGGAGGAGGAACGAAAGGATCTCATCGAAGGATTGAAGACCAAGTGGGAACAGGCGCGGCGGTAGCATGCGGTAAGCTGTGGCACCTGAATTCAGGTGTAAACTTGGATGATTCAGTTGACTCCCATTTTTTGCTGAGATGTTGATTTTAAGTTTGACCCTGGATGACCCTGGTAGAAGATTTTCCACAGAAGGGATCCGATGGATCTGACTGTTTAAGAGTTTTTTACCCGCCAGGTGAATACTGCCTACCAGGATCCTTGGATGCAAGCCGATGCGCACCTTGAAGGATCAACTGTTAATTTATGTGGATTTTCCCAGCTCGTACCTCCATGTAGTTGGGGGATTTCCCATATGTGTCATATAGTTTCCCTTGTTTTTCCCATATGTCTCCCATATGTGTCCTATGATTTTCCTATATTTTTTCCATGGTTTTCCCATGGTTTTCCTATTTTCCCAGGGTTTCAACACGGATTTCCTCATTGTTTGGGGCTCATTTTTTTCCCATGGAGTGCCAAAAAGCATCCACCATCCCTCCCATCCCGCGTCGCAAGGCGGGTACGCACATCACCAAGTTGGACACCATGGGGAAGATGAAGCGCAAGGTGAAATCTGCGGGATGCGGAATGCGGGAATGATTTTCTGTTGTAGTGATATTCTATCATTGGATAGTTAACCATAGTTATAATGTGTATATATATTATGTATGTTTTTTATCGATAATAAATTACTATTACGAGATTTTCTAGATGTTCTTTGAATTGATAGTTAACCATATTTCTATCATGGATTACTAACTATGATGGGGTTATCATGTGAACCATTATGGATTTGTATGAGAGTTTCCATAGTCATGACCGTAGCTGGATGGTTTATTTCATGGAAAATCCATCTATAAATAGGATGATTTAGGGGTACCCCCATTTTGGGAAACCGGAATATGTTTGATGGGCCGAGGATGATACCCACTGGAAGTTCCATATATGGATATAACAATTGTAACACATGGATAAACACATTGTAAACAACAATTAATAACTACCCTCTGGTAAACTAACATAACTATGAGAAATCACCATTTTCAATGAGAAAACTCACTATTTCTATGACCATGTTCAATAGTTTTTTGTATGTTTACCAGAGGGTAATTGCTAAATTTCCTGTAGGTTCGAAGGGCAACAAGCGGTCAACAGTGGCATGGAAAGCCTCAGATTTCATGAGAAAATCCCATGGTTTCCGGTTAAGATTTTCCACTTAAAACCAATCCATTGGCTGGTGGAATATGAAGTTCCTGGCCCAAAATAAGAGCTGGGACAATGCCAGGGCTGGGAAGTGACTGAGATAGGCCGCAGTTCCTATTTCAGCCTTAAGTTTAAGGCTCCAATATATTCCTTTAAATTAGATTAAATTATGTTGATTATATATGATGATTATATCTCACTATACCCCCATAAGGTCGACTATTCCACGAATCGTTTGATAAAATCCATTGTTTCCTGGAAGGTTCATTATATTATGTGTGATATTCCCATCGGTTTTACCAATGGAGTTGGTTTAAATATTATTAATCACATATAATCACGGTAGTTTATCGTTGCTTTATGGATTGTAAATTACATTCCCAGAAACCAACCCGTTATGAATTCATGTTCAATGGGTCTACCGGTAATTGGGCCATGGGATTAGCTAAATGGTTAGTAACTGGGGATATAACCCCCTATATCCCAATTATAATCCATTTACTAACTAGTTAACTAACTCCATGGCCCATCTAAGTACCGGTAATTTTATGAAAAACTTGCAGCCACAGACTGGGCCAGGTCAAAATATTTATTTTTTCATTTTTTTATCATTTTGGTTATCATTGCATTCATCATTTTTTTTATCATTTATTTTATCATCTTCATTTTTTTTATCATTTGTTTTATCATGTTTTTATCATTTTTTATCATTTTTTTTATCATTTGTTTTCTCATTTTTTTTATCATTTTTTTAATCATTTTTTAAATCATTTTTCATCATTTTTTCTTCCAGTGGTGCAAAAATTTTCCAAGAAATGGAAAAGTACAATTTTCCTCGAGTTTTTATCATTTTTTTATCATTTTTTTATCATTTTTGCTTCCAGTGGTGGAACTGATGAAAAATGATAAAAAATGAAAAAAAATGAAAAAAAAAATGAAAAAAACTCGAGGAAAATTGTAATTTTCCATTTCTTGCAAAATTTTTGCACCACTGGAAGCAAAAATGATGAAAAATGATAAAAAAATGAAAAAAAAATGAAAAAAACTCGAGGAAAATTGCAATTTTTCATTTTTTGGAAAATTGCAATTTTCCTCGTTTTTTTTCATTTTTTTATCATTTTTTTTTTCATTTTTTTATCATTTTTTATCATTTTTCATCATTTTTTATCATTTTTCATCAGTTCCACCACTGGAAGCAAAAATGATAAAAAAAAGATAAAAAAATGATAAAAAAAATGAAAAAAAACTCGAGGAAAATTGTAATTTTCCATTTCTTGGAAAATTTTTGCACCACTGGAAGCAAAAATGAAAAAAAAATGAAAAAAAATGAAAAAAAAATGAAAAAAACTCGAGGAAAATTGCAATTTTTCATTTTTTGGAAAATTGCAATTTTCCTCGTTTTTTTTTCATTTTTTTATCATTTTTTTTTCATTTTGTTTATCATGTTTTTTATCATTTTTCATCATTTTTTATCATTTTTCATCAGTTCCACCACTGGAAGCAAAAATGATAAAAAAATGATAAAAAAATGATAAAAACTCGAGGAAAATTGTAATTTTCCATTTCTTGGAAAATTTTTGCACCACTGGAAGAAAAAATGATGAACAATAATTAAAAAAATGATAAAAAAATGATTAAAAAAATGATAAAAAATGATAAAAAAATGATAAAAACATGATAAAACAAATGATAAAAAAAATGAAGATGATAAAATAAATGATAAAAAAAAATGATGAATGCAATGACAACCAAAATGATAAAAAAATGAAAAAATAAATATTTTAAAGATTTCCAATGTGTAGCTGGCTCGGTTCTTCATAACGGTAATTCAACCAACCCATTTTGCGTGATATTAGCTGATCAACATTGCCGGTGAGGAACGCCACGAAGCGGAGCTGTCGCAGATTGAGAAGGACGAAGCCACGAAGCCTGGGAAGCTGCTTCAAACAAACACTGACCGTGGTTTTCCGCTATAAATGGAGGTTTATAATGGTTTGTAGCTGGGAAAGTCATCTAGAAATGAGGGATTCACATGGGATTCACCATCAAAAAACAGAGGTTTTTTTTTAAAGATGTGAACATGATAAGACCATCAAAAATGCTGGATTCACCACGGAAAAAGATATCCCGGTGGGATCTAAGGGTTTCAACCCTTCCAGGACATCGAAAAGCTCAGCAAGAAGCAGATCATCGTGAGTGCGGATGGATGATTTTGGCCACGGCCTGTTGTGTTCCTTGGCGCTCTCCCAAGGGCATTTAAAAAAAAACCTGGATTGGGCTACATCATGTTTGATCAACCTAGCCGCTGGTGATTCAACCAGCTATGGTTCAAATAGCCCATAGACGCCCATCGAATCCATAGAAATAGGGCATTATTTTTTTTTTGTACCATGATTTAGCTGATTTAGCTGTAAGAAAAGCTGGAAAATTCTCGGGGGTCTGGTGATGTTTTTCCCTCGGCAGGTTAGGAAGCCGTTTGAGGACCCCAGGGTCTGGTGACGCTGGGCAATCGGCCCGGCGAGGCGGGATAACTGGAACCAGTGGATGGCCAAACCTATAGGGAAAGAAAAACAAAAAAAACAAGTTATGACTATTTTAGTAGGACCAGGATTCTATTTGTCTATCTTTTATATATTTTCTATCTTTTATATATTTTCTATCTTTTCTATCTTTTGTTTGGGGTTGCCTAATATGCCTCTATATATGGTTATATGCTGTCATATGGCTTTGTTCAGAAGATGAGTCCATTAATGCCCAACCAACCATGGTTATTAGCGGCACCTACCAACTAGCATTTGAGAACGGTCCACAAGCCATGTAATTTCGAAGATATTAGAGGCATATACAAATGGAGTAGGGTTTGAATTCAGGTTTGCATGAAGCTATATGAATCGATTTGGGACAGATACAGCCATGGTATTCCTTGTGGGGACACTTGTTCTATTCCCTATCCAACAGACCCTCGCACTGATTTGCAATGAGAGTTCCCAGCCACTTCACTGGCCATGTTCAACAGAAGCTACAGTAGTAGCAACGATAGATGTTCTTTTCCCACCTGATTGCTTGATAAATAGAAGGATTCCCCCTATTCAACAACCAATAGGTAGGTGATAGCAACTCGTCTACCAAACCGGCCCCTCTATTTTTCCTAAAGGACAATATTGGTGGCAACTGATCAAGTGGAGATGTTTCCGCTGTGTCCTGCACAGGTGCAGCTGGCCGCACCATGTGAGCGAGCAACAGTGCGCAAGCAGCTGGCCACTGGCAGGAAACACGAGCCATCCTGTGGTGTTTCAACTGCATATGCTTTTTACCTGGGCAGGCAATGATGACTGTTGTATCAAGAATCAAAGAGATGTGCCCGACTTGCAGATGTTCATGCAGAAAACCTGTGCGTTTGGAACCTCTCATTGGTTCCAGGCAACTCCACCCCGACCACTTAAAAACATGGCCACACATCTTCATGTACCCGCATGGGCGCATCCTTGCCTAGTGGGGAATGGGCCTTATCCATAAAAGCAAACAAGGAGGATAGCTCTATGTACCGAGGCAGAACATGGCAGAACACCCACTTTTCACCCCATTTCATGGTTTGGCATTTCACCCTAGGAGCTGTTTGTTTATGTTTTTTTTTCCGTGATTCAGCTTCAGAATGTTTCAACATCCTTCAACTTGGCCTTGCGGCCTTGAGTTTCTTGGAAAAACGTGGCTTGCCGACACCTCATCTCCAGCCTCTGGGTGACACCTCGGTGCTGGGAGTCCTCGGCTGGAAGATGGTCCAGCTATGTTCAGCTCCAGCAGACCAGCAGGTTGAACGTTTACTGCGATCATTTCATCCACATTTTGTCAAGAAGAGTTGTAGTGTTATATAAGGTATATATAAGGTATATATCACAATGTCTTCAGTTCTTAAGAGAAGGAGTTTCTTCAAGGTAGCATGCTTGTCTCAGGTCACAAGCCTAGAGATACCCTCCGGTAATTTAACATAGCTATGGAAAATTGCCATAGAAATCGTGGATTTACCTATTAAAAATGGTGAATTTCCATAGTTATGTCAGGTCACAATAGAGATAATCGAGTTTAAACTTATTCTCAATCCGACTCCCAACACCACAGCGCTCTGCAGTAGTTCGGTGCATGGGAATCGACATCAGCCGCCCGCCATAGCTGCGCCACGCGACCGTCGGTGGCACAGCTGACCCAATGAGTAGCACCAGATGAACATCCCAACACGGTCGGATGGATTTGCTGTTGGAATTTTGAACGGTTTTTGGGTAAGTTTTGTGGTTCAAATTCAGGGTGACATCTCGAGAAATATGTGAACGACTTCAGAGCGTGAGAGATTTGTTGCAGGTCTGATGGATTTGAGAAGCCATCCTCAGTTGTTTTGGGGCGCCATAACAGTCACGTCTTCCAGGGAGATCCTCTCCTGCTTTCATTGTAGTTTTCAGGGCAGGTTAGGGGTTTTTGAACGATCTTGAAGGCAGCCATGAAACAGCATGGTAAGCCTGCCTTGGTCGGCTAGTTTGGAACTTTCAGTTTAGTTTCATGTTTCTAGCTGTCCCAAGATTGGGATAGATATGGATAGTTCATGATAGATACTAGATGACACTAGTCACTACTTACTAGTTACTAGTCAGCTATCCAGTTTTTGTCATTGAAACATGCGGGAAACCAGCAATGGCGCGCTGATGCTTTCAGGAATTCACAGCGAAGCGAAGTGGCCATGAAAACCTGTGGCCGCTCCAGGTGAGGAGCGTGGCAGATCAAGAATCACCATGGCACATCTCAACATTAGACCGCAGGAGGCACTTGGAAAATCCGGAAAACTCCTCCATGGTATAGAAAAACCATGAAAAACCAACCATAACTGGGACACAATGGCTGGTTGGTGGTTTGGAACATGAATTTTATTTTTTCCATAGATTGGGAATTTCATAATCCCAACTGACGAACTCATATGCTTCAGAGGGGTAGGTATACCGTACCACCAACCAGATTTTAATAGTTAATTATTAACTATAATCATTAACTATCATCAACTATCATCATGAAAGTTATTTTGTTTCCATTCCCAATGGGATATAGCAACATTCCTCAATATTTGGAACATTTTCTATTTTTCCATAGATTGGGAATACTAATCCCAACTGACTTCATATTTTTCATAGGGGTGGCTCAACCACCAACCAGCAATATATTCCAATACTCGATTGGCCCAATGGGCCAAGTTCTGGCAACGCCCGATGGTGCCTTGATTTGAGCTTTCCGAGCGGATAGCTCGGCCTGCCGAGATACTTCTCACACATCATTCTGCAATTTAATGTTCTCAAGATATAAATAGATATAAATATATGAGAGATTTAAACCATATATATATATATATAAATTTTCTTTGCATGCAAGATATTGTTTTTAAAAAAATAGATATATAATGATATATAAACATTATAAACCATATATATATACACACCTTTTGGGGATTGTTTAGGATTGTTTAGCCATGTTTTTTCCCAATGTTTTGGTTGTTTCATCACCAGGACCGGATCTATCCCCACTGCCCCGCCTGGAGATGACTTGGCTTCGATGGCTGGTGGATTTCACCCGAAACACGGACGGAGCCGCATTCTGCGCACTGCGCTGCGCACGCGAAAACGACGTTCCGAAAGCACAAAACGCTGGGAGCTGGTGATCTATGGGTGATCTATGGGAAATCTATGGGAAAATATGGGAAATCTATGGGAAATCTATGGGAAATCTATGGGAAATCTATGGGAAATTAACGGATTCTTAATGGATATTAATGATATTAATGGATATTCATGAGCTAATGGATATCTGGTTGGTGGTTGGAACCATGGAATTTTATGACTTTCCCATCATATTGGGAATGTCATAATCCCAACATATTTTTCAGAGGGGTGGCTCAACCACCAACCAGATCAACCAGGTGATAATGGGTGATAGTTGAGGAGGGAAAGGATGAGAAAGGATGGGAAATGGCTATTTGATGCTATATTTGCATACCAAAACTAGCCCCAAAAATACAAAACAAGGCTATCCAACAGAATTGACATGCATAGGGCTGCAGCTGGACATGAATTTACCACTCCACCGCCCAAATCAAATGATCCCGAAGTCTCCAAGATGGATTTGCCCAATTTGGATTGATTTGGATCAACTTAGGTACACTCCGAGAATCAAATGTGGCAATGGAAAATCCTCCATTTCTACCTGATTGTCCCATTTATTTTTTTCAGACCTCTATTAGATATTCTTATTTCCCATCACCTTCGTTTGTGGATTGTTCCCATAGAAGTTCTCATTCCCATATGCTCCATGTATATCTATCTACAAAACTGGGTGATTTTGTTCGGGTAAATGTTGGTAAATATTCCAGCACCATGTCAACGGCCATTTCAGGAGCCTCAAAATTGGAGGGACCTACCATATATAAGGCCTATTTTTCAGGCCTAAATTTCAGGGAATATCACCAGAAAATATGGCCTTATACTAATACAGTACCCATGACGGATCCATGGTGCTGGTATATATCTGGGTAAATTATAACGACCTCACTACGACCTCACTGCGAATCATGGTTAGTAAGGGAAATCATCCCCAAATGGGCTTAATTCAGGTTAGTGAAATATTATAATTTACCCAGATATATGCTAACATTAATTGGGGGTATATTGATGGGATCCATGGAGCACCATATCTAGCAGCACCGTGAATGGATCCGTCATGGGCTATGGCACAGCCATCGAGGTCAACGACTGTCGGTGGCCGATGTGTCGCTGGCCTGCTCTTTGTGCTCCGCAGTGGAGAAGGTCCGCGCGGCTTTCCGCGCTTTCCGCGGAACGGAAACGCGGAAGGGAAATGGGGAACGAAGTCATTTCAGTGGGAAATCTGGAAAACCAGGTGAACATTTCGGAAAATGATGGGATTAATAGTGATTAATAGTGATGAAAACCAGGTTTTAATAGGAAAACTATGGGGCAATGATGGGATGTGATTCGATTAATGGAATGGATTGGATTAATAGATATCAATCCCAAAGGATCCAATGTATGCAAATATTACCAACATTCGGCAATGTCAGCGATTTTTGCCTACATTCGCATTTATAGGCCAATGTAGGCTTGTATTCCTTACATTCGGCAAATTGGTTTTCCGACAGTTTCCGTTGTTTCCGACAACGTATAACGGCCCAAGTCAAAGCAAAACAAAAATCGCCATGTAGGAAGGTTAGGTGCCAATGTGGCACCAAAGTAGACCCAACCAACAGCAAACATGCTATTCCATACTTCATACCAACAAGGCAAGCGGCAGTCTAGGGCAAAAAAAAATTAAGTGACAGTGGCAGCATTGTTTTGCTGACCCACAATTTCCCTCATTTTGATAGGTGTTCCAAGCTACACAACAGCAAAAATAACAAAGGGATGAACTAAGAATATGATTTGCAAATATTTGCAATATTTCATTGCATTTCATTCATGATACGAATGCATGGGTTGGAACACAGTCTCCAACAATAATATGTTGATATAGATCGATCATTGTACTTTATCATGTGTGCGAGTTGTTGGATGTAAATGTGGGACCTGTTGCAAGTTCAAGCGCAAATGCAATGAATTGGATAAATTGTTGGGCGATCCATTTTGCTATTCAATAGATGCATGGTTTTTTCCCTCGGTTTGCTACCAACCGTTTGCAAGTTTCCTTGGAACATGTTTATGTATGGTTGTGAGGAGGCCAGATTGTTACAGCTATAGCTTTGAAACTTTGAAATTATTTGCGGAGGTTGCAGTATCCTCCGAACTCAGTATCTACCTAGGACCTAGCAAAAAAGTTAGTACAATTTATTAACCTGGAAGCGTTACCCTGATACAGCTTCCGAAGATCAGATTCTCAATGCCCGCCCCAAGACCATGAAGTTCATCATGGAGTGATGTTCTTAAATTTGTTCACACCCGAATATGGACTTATGCAGGAAAAATTCATCAAAATTCAAAAAACAACTAATTTAACCTAATGATTTCAACTTTTTTTTGCTGGTTGATCAAAGGGATGTGGTATGTGCCGACTCGATGCCACCAAAACGACACGGTATCCTTGATCGGCTCACAAAAACATCGCTGCCAACCTCCCTGACCTATGGACACGGCGATTGCAAACAACATCATAGTCTTACAAATGTCTTCTGTCAGGAAAGGTCAAAGTGCTTTAGTGGTCAGTTCTGACCGAAAGCAAACCTGTTCTAATTTTTGCGAATTCAATACCTGTAACTGTAACTCCTCAACTAGAGATGCTGTACATTAGATAAAACATTCAATATGCAGGAAAGTAACCACAAATAAGCGCCAGTTGAAGACACTCTTCATTTCGGAGCGGGTCTCAGGAAGAAAAACACTGCAGCAATTAATTTTGATAGTGCCGAGGCATCCCCGGACTACAATACTGACCGGGCCTCATCTCATCCCCTCCCAATTTTATGCTGATATTTTTCTTTTTCAGGAAGTGTCAGGTTTATGTTATGCCACTTTTGGCCGAAAATATCAGAAAAAGGGGCTGGAAGGGGATATTCCAGTCAACATGTGAAAAGGTTTGGGCCTGAAGATATGGAAATAAAACTGTAGATTTGCCACCAGTGTTCCAGCAAAGCTCCCGGTGTTTGGTCACACTCCCGTCACGCTCCCGTCACGCTCTCGTCACGCTGGTCCGACAAAAATTGGGTATTTTCCTACTAATTTTGCATACATTCGGCATGGTCCGTCACGCTCCCGTCACGGTCTCGTCACGCTCACTTGGGGCAGCGGGCTGCCCAAATTTTCCCGAACACATTGACCAATGCCACACTAAAGAGACACAATGTTCAACATGTTTGTATTTTTTCACTGTCACCGAAAAGAGCACACTTTCAGTGTTCTTGCCCCGTGGGTTGACCATTCAAAAAAAGTTTGAAGGATCCAGCAAGGGCAGAAGCATGCATTTGCATTAACTAATTTCTCTTTCCACCATACATCAGACTATGTAGGAACGTCAAAATTGAATTGCAGAAAGTCGGCGGCTAAGCACCTAAGCGCTTGCGGGAGTGCAAAAAGTTCCAGTACTGCAAGAGTGCAGGAGTACTTTTTAGTTTTCAGCGCGGAGTTGCATTTCGTGACTGGAACTGATTTTGCTGCCGTATGAATTTTCGTCTTGAGTGCCGATCATATTTTGTCTTGGCGCTTGCCTTCTTGCTTTTTGCTCCCACACAATTTATCATGTTCAATTGTTTGGCTTTGCTTTTTTATATTTAATTATTTAGCCAAACGATGCACCCCCCCAAAAAAAAACAACTGTCCAAACAAACTCCAGAATGTTTGACACAGATTTGTGAAACAAAAATGCAAGCATCTGGACAACAGATTAGCATGTTAAATTTCTGTAAGCTTGTTATGGAATGTTATGTTGGGCCATCAGTGACACGTTGCCACCAAAAGCTGACGCGCACATGCACATGTTGCATATTTGTCATGTTTATCCTGTTTGGTTGTATGTTGTTCCAGCAGTGTCCTATTTGTTTGGGTTGGAGGTCAGAATCTAGAGCCAGCAAAAAAATGCATCTGCGAAAACATGTGTGTTCTTATCTATCTTACTGTAAACATCCCTCCCTGACCCAGTATGACGGTAATTACATCCTGTTGTTTTTTGTTGTGCATGTGTGAGTGTGTCTGTGTGTGTTCCACTGTATGCTGTGTTGTTCCATCTTTTGAACATCATAGTGGCCCCCTTGGGTAGGTGAAATAAAGGTGTTTGTTCAATACTCTACAGCAATTTGTTGTTCCTGCGATGGACTTAAAATCGGTTGAAGAACAAGCATGAGCAGAGGCAAATAAATTTGAGATGCAATGATGCCTGCTTTATCTTTGATAACTCATGCTATAGTTCATGATTTATTATGGGTTTAGTCTTGCAGGTTCCGGTCTATTTATTTGGCTTTCCTTCAAGCTCTCAATTGTATACTGTTTTCTGGACTTTGTTTGGGTGATTGTCGTTGAAACTTGTGAATATAATCTTCGATTGGTTCAAGATTGGTGCAGGCCTGCAATATCCAGATGTAGCCGTCTTGTGAATTGTCGCGCCTGCAATATCCAGATGTAGTCTCGTGAATTGTCGTATATAGAACATTATGGAACTATATAAAAAAATGCTCAACTTTGATATTTTATTCCTTAGGACGTCGGTCAAGACTGACCCACCACTTTTTGGCAACATAATTTTGCCCGCAACTGGATAAACTTCTCCTTTCCGATAAACTCCGGCAAAATCACTAGATTCCGACAAAAGTAGGACCTAATTTTATGAATGTAGCCTCCAGGAGCCAACATTCCAATGTTGGCTTCTCAGGCCAACATTGGAATGTATGCAAATATTACCAACATGGATTGTTTGGGAATAGTGATGAATGGAATTAATAACTCACAATTATCGTACGATTATTATATATAAATGGGTCAGTCAAATATTCACCTGGATTTGCGGTTTGTCAATGACTTGGATCATTTGCCATGGGAAATCTACTTGGGGAATCCAAAAACGGAATCCAAGATGACACGGGAATCCTTGAAAGATTCATCCCCGGAAGTCTCAGATCAAAACGGATACATATAATGTGGTTAAAACAATCTCATAAACATTCATAAACCATCCTCCAGTCATCACCATTTTCATAAATAGGTGATATATGTATAAACCATTCCAATTAATATGGCTGGTTTATAACAGTGTTTTAGCCACATTTGTGGATATGAGTCAACTAAATATCCAGTGATGAATGGGATTTATGGATTTAATATCCATTAAATGCAATGGATATCCATTAAACTCCATCAATATCCATTAAACTCCATGGATATCCATTAATTAAAATCCCCACTTTCCAATGAACAATTGATAAAGATGGGATGGTAGCGCCTTCGCGACCCAGCGTTAAGGTGGTCACCATCATATCACGACCAAAGCCTGTTCTCCCGAAGCCTGGAAATGATGGTTACCCTTTGGTAATTTAACATAGCGAATTGGAAAATCACCATTTTTAATGGGAAAATCCAGTATAAATTGCCATTTTCAATTGCTATGTTAGTTTACCAGAGGGTAATGCTAGGGAAATCATCCCCAAATGGCCGAACTATTGGCAGCTGCGGGGGGCTGGCATGACCGAACGGAAGCGTGTGGCCGAACTATTCAGGTTAGTGAACTATGATAATTCACCCAGAATTATTGCATAGTAGTGTGCCATTTAAACAGATGAACTCCGCTAAAAGTCTGGGTTAACATCCCAGAACAAAAATTAAAAAAAACACATTGAAGTGTAGGTTTCCGATCAAATTCTGGGTTAACATCTCAAGTTACAGTTCCTATGCACATATGGGTTACTCTTAACAAAGTCGGGTGCTTCTAAATCCTCTTGCTAAGCATCACTTTTCCTCAAATGATTAGCAATCACCAATAATCACAGCATCATTTTCCCATATTTTCCCATCACTGTCCCATTGAAAAATGGGGATTTACATGGCTCTTTCATGGCCAGCACCGCGTTAACGTCCGGCCTCACTCTGCCTAAGGCCGGACATGAGAAGATCCGACAGTCCCATCCCAGCACTTTGAGGCGGTGCCGAATGGAAGTTTCCGAACAAAAAAAATAGGACTTTCTTATAGACCTTACCCTCTGGTGAACTAACATAGCAATGGAAAATCACCATTCTTAATGGGAAAATCCACTATAAATGTTATTAGCTAATATTAGCTATACCTCGAATTTTTCAGTTGTTCCGATGTTAGGATGTTTTTCAGTGCTGCATGCAAGCGCAGTTTGTCATCACTTCTACCTTTTGACGAATGAGTTTGTTCAAAATTGGAGCAAGTGCGTGGAAGTGTGCTCTGGACGTGTTTGTTCTTTCTTCAGCTTTTTTTCTGGACAATAGTTTGGTCCCGGCTATTTTCGAGAGGGACGTGTTGTTCGGGTCAATTAGATAGTAATTATTTAAACAACAATGCTAGTCAATTGCTAAATCTGGATGTTAATTTTGTTGCTTGAACATGTGTGAAATCATAAGTGAATCACTAAACATAAGCATGGCTGCATATTTGATACGTTCCTAGCATGGTTTCATAATGTTGCGGTGCGAAGAATGTACACATGCTAACTGTTCTACTGAGACCATTGCACGATTCTGGGGCGCCATACCCAAATTCATTTCAAGGTGAGACCCCAGTTATAAGTTGGTAAATAAACCCATGAACTATAGTTAATGATGATAGTTAATGATAGTTAATGGAATTAACTATAGTTATTAGTAATGTTATTATTCATGATAGTTAATAAAAGCATGATAGTTATTAGTAACTATAGTTACACTTACCCTTGTTGCCCCATGGGACCTTAAGTGAACTGCGCTACCTATGCGCGTCGTCGCCATAGGTGGCTCCTCACCAGCCTACACCACATTGACCGCGCCATGGCCAGTCAGGTGTCACCAAGGGATTGAACTGATTTAAAACATGGAGAGGTGGATTTACCCTCTGGTAATTTAACATAGCTATTGAAAATGGTCATTTATAGTGAGTTTTCCCATTAAAAATGGTGATTTTCCATAGTTATGTTAGTTTACCACAGGGTAACACAAGAAACATATTGGGATTTAACATGTTTTAACCAACAAACATGAGGATTTAACTGATGTTTACATGATTTAACCAACAATCATGATTTAACTGATATTTAACTGATGCTGATGCTTACATGGAAATGGTGATTTGACATCATTTGACCATCTACGAATATCATGGGGATGCAACCTATGGTCATTTGGCAATTTCCACCCTTTTTGGATGACCGACAGCGCCCCCAAGTCATGAATAGATCCAATACTATCAACAAGAACCAGTTGAATCAACCTATAGAGTAATAAATAGAATCAGCTAAATGAACAGCCAAAATGGGTTTCCTCTGGAGGTATTTATGATTCTCCAGCCTTTGACAGGCACAGCCGGCCCCCAAAGCTTCCGCCAAGGCCCTGGTTGATAGGGGTAAACTGTGTTTGGGATCTTATGAAAACGTATGCAGTGTGCATTTGCCTCGCTATAATATGGTATATTATCTTAATCGATATGGAACATGTACAATTAGGGATGTGCATTATATGCTGTAACATGCTATCTTATTTTATGATATGGACTTCTTTGATAATATGGTTCCAGGTATATTATGGTTAACATGTGTTCCATTGTGAACATTTCTTATATATCTCCTAAGAAAATTATATAAATATTATAGGTATAGGTATATAATAAATATTTCTAATGGAACACATATTAAACACAATATACCTGGAACCATTATTGTATATTATCAAATATCTCCAGGTATATTATAAATATATCATCCAGGTATATGATATATATGTCTAATGGAACACCTATTTCATAAAACCATTGTTAATATTCCATTTGTAATATTATGTTTAATAGATGTTCTAATGTAACAGTAATATTTTGTGCTTTATAAACATGCATTTTATGTTACAGACATATTTCCAATGGAACACATATTAAACATATTGAATATGTCTAATATATGTCCTAGTAAAATTATATGGACTGTATATACATATATATATATATAATTTTAAGAATAGGTCTATATTGAATATTTCCAATGGAACACCTATTACAATATATATATATATACCCTCTGGTTATTTAACATAGCCATAGAAAATGGCCCATTTATAGATGATTTTCCCGTTAAAACCTCCATTTATAAGGGATTTTCCATGGCTATGTTAAATAACCAGATGGTATATCTTTCGGGATGCCCAGCCGCCAGGCAGCAGAACCTAAGACTGCCAAGGTGCATTGAAACCGGCTAAACATGGCGATATTGGGATTTCATGGGGTAAGAGGGATATAATAAGTTTATATACAAATAAACACATCAGATAAGTTTATTATCAGATATTTGTATATATCTGTTACATAAGTTTATATATATATATAAGTGATGAGAAATCTGACTTGGACCACACATTTGCCACTGAAGGTGCAACAGATTTCTTCTTCTTGGTGTTACCTTCGATTTGATTAATAAACCCCGTTGACGGCTGTTTTTTTATTGGGATACCATTTAAAAAGTCTCAGATGAAATGACTATTGGAGGAGTACTCCAATACCCTCTGGTAATTTAACAGTTTGCTATTGAAAATTGCCATTATATGGATTTTCCCATGAAAAATTGTGATTTTCCATAGTTTTTTGTATGTTTACCAGAGGGTAAACCATTTTTTTCGAAGACAGTCATCGACGGTGTCCAGTGCTTCAGTGACAGGCGCCGGAGCCCAAGGAGCCCAAGGCTGCACCGAAGGCGGCACCGAAGGCGGCAGCGAAGGCCAGGGTGTCAGTGAAATGTTTCCATGTTTTCATGGGAAAACCATAGGAAAAACCATAGGAAAACCGGAAAACCATGGGAAAATGAGGATTTACCCTCTGGTAAACATACAAAAAACTGATGGGACAATCAGCATTTTTAATGGGAAAACTCACTATTTCGACTGCGCCATTTTCAATAGCAAACTGTTAAATTACCAGAGGGTATATCACTTATAGACTTATAGACGTGGTTAGCTGGGAAATTCCTATGATTACCATCTGGTGATTTAACATAGCCATGGAAAGATCCACCATGTTTTCATAGGTAAACCATCTATTTCGATTAGGGCCATGGCTTCCATGGCTATGTTAAATAACCAGAGGGTAGCACTTATAGACTTATAGACTTATAGACTTGGTATTGTGTTGGTGACACGAAATTGTAAAGATCCCAGAAATGAACAAATCTTCATGACTTGGTGAAGACTTGCAATTGATTTTTATTGGGTTAATTGCAATTCCCATGGTGCACGTCCTCATGTATAAGCCATGCGATCATTAACCGAAAGGTTACTGACTTGTCATGATTCTCCACGGCTCCAGTGTCTCCAGTGTTGTGGCCGATTAATAAACCCCTAGGCCCAAACGGCTGTCTAATTGGGAGGGTACCATTTAAGTTAGATGAAATGACTATTGGAGGAGTACCCCCCTAATTGTCATAAACCATGGTTTAGCAAAATCCGGGGTTGACATTAGTCATGATACTCATGAACTATTTGCTGGCCACGTGGGCAACTCTTCTTGTAATATTTACTTGCAGGGAAAACTGCTAGCCCTTGTGGGCATTTCTGGCCGATGGCAACAGCTGGCAACATTTGGCAACCTACAAGTTGGATTCAAGCATCCTGAAACACCAGATTGATCCAGATTGCATAGATATATTTCCTGGTTGATGAAAGTGGTTCAGTGATGTTCAGTGAGGGGTAAGACTTGGGGTATATAATTGTATGCCATGAACGCCCATATGTTGTGTGTTGTTGGAAGGTAAACAAGGTATAGCGAACGCAACGAACACAGGAAGGAGATGAAGCTGGTGCTGAAGGACGCTGGATATTGGATCTATCCAGTCGGAATCCAGTGGTTAGGGGGGAGCGGTTCGACTACCCTCTGGTAAACGAACATAACTATGGAAAATCACCATATTTAATGGGTAAATTAAATCAACTATGGGTAACACTTTTAAATACCTATGTTAGTTTACCACAGGTTATGGGTATCCATACTTCCTATTTGAAATTGGGAGCAAAGGAGTTACGAATTGAGTTTGCCAAGCACATGATCGTGATGGAATGTGGTGGAGGAGCTTCTGATGTTCTTTCCCTTGGTGCCATGTATTGATTTAACCTAGAGCAACGGGGGGATGGTGACCGGATGGTGTGAACCAAGGTGGAGCAGGTGGAAATCCTGGGAGTTTCCCCCAAGGATGATGCACCATGGCACCATGATGCAAGCCATTTGGGCTGGGAGTGCTCAACCGGCTCAAGCACAGGGTCTCTTTACCGCAGATTGATGGATTGCGATTCGTTGGTAGCTTGCTAGCTCAAGGGCTTGATTGATTCCCACAGATCTTATTTCACCATCTCCACTCTCAATCCTCCAACTTCTTCTACTTCTCCTGTTCACTTTGTTCACCACATCTAAAAATTCACCAAAAACATCCACAAACACAAAAAATCGCTGTCCCTCAGATTGCCATATCGCTTTCCATGGCGGGTGACACGGAAGACGAGAGCCAGGCCTTTTGGGAGGCCTACCGTCTGCTGGGCGATTGCTACAAGGCGGACCTGGACCGCCTCCGCGGCCGCCGCCCCAGTGGCGCCGAGGCGGCGGCCGCACCGCCGGTGCACCCGGTGCCGCCCGAAACGCCGGAGGCGCCCAAGACGAAGCTGCGAGGCCTGGGAAGAGAAGCGGTGGATGATGACCTGGCGCGATTGCAGGGACATAAGTTGCAGCAGGTGCTGTTCTCAAGAGCTGGTGACTTGGATGGGAATGGGAGTGGAGTGATTGGACAGTGAACATGTCTTATGGCTGGATTTTGATGGATTTTGGAATGGCACCGGGGCTTAACAAAAACCGTTCAATATTCATGACATTGACAGACTGAGATCAGTTTTAGATGGCTAGGCCATCCAGGGCATGCATCGCCCGCCAAGGTGAGATTGAGAATGCGGCTGTGCACAGTGACAATGAGGAGGAACACGAAGAATTTGATCCGCGAGCCTGTTGGTTGATGGAGCAGTGCCGCAAACTTTGCTTCAGACCCATTTCAGACCCCATGTATTTTTTATTGTTTAGACATGTTTAGACATCTTTGAGACTGTTAGACATGGTGCCGTTGAAAGCAGAATCTCGATCACCCTACACTAGCCAAACAAAAACTATTGCGCACACACACACACTTCCTTCCAACATCTCTGTTTCAAACTATGTTCTTCATTCTTCATTCACATATTCCCGAAAACGGTAGAACAGTCATTTAGAATCATTATTTTCTATGATTTGGTTCTATTAAGTTTGTATAAGTAGGTTACAGTAGGTTGCTATACCGGAGGAACTTCTTCACCAAAAACACTGCAAGGAGCCCTCTGAGCCCCAGCGTTGTCCGACGGAAAAGTATGATGAGTTTGGGCTCTCGGGCGCATGCCATCGAAAACTTCGCGGCAGCGCAGCCGCGGTTCCTGATGTTTTCGCCCTTCAAACCATTCCGGCAGGTCTGGGACATGTCGCTTGGTCCCCACAAACACTCACGAGGAACGCCCAAGAACCCATGACGGATCCATGTAATGTCAACCCTGGATTTAAAAACCCCTACTGTAGATTGTTTAATTGGGAGGGTACCATAAAAAAGTATCATATTATGACTATTGGAGGCGTACCCTTCTAATTGTCATAAACCATGGTTTAGCAAAATCCGGGGTTGACATTATAGCTTATATATACCAGCACCATGGATCCGTCATGGGTAATTTACACCATCCCCAGAGGTTCCAGGTGACCCCCTTAACGGGCCCAATAGATGGTTAACGGGACTGCTTCTTATTGGCTTTGCCACTTTTTTGAAGGTTACCATCTGGCTATGACCAACAGTTTGCCATGGAAAGATTCACCATTTCTAAGTTCGGTAAACCATCTATTTCTATGGGCCATCTATACCATGGCGAACTGTTAAATAACCAGAGGGTAACTTGGTGCCGTGCTGCCAAAACACGTTTTGCTTGTGCTGACTGGGAGCTTGGGGATGACCCTGCAATTTCCTTTGCTGAACGTATCCTACTATAATATATGGAGTATAATATCTGGTTGGTGGTTTCAAACATGTTTTATTTTCCATAATATATGGGATAATCACCAACCACATATTCAAGCTATATATGATGTTGGGCGTTTCTGTGGACACAAATTTGGCCAATTTTGGCCCAAAACGCCCATGGCCCATGTGAGGCTGGGCGTCCTGTGTATCACCCTGGAACTGATCCTGAACCCACTCCATTCCTTCGTCGAACTCTGGCCTCATGGACGTCTGGGCGCACTGGCCGTCATCGAGGTGGAAATTGGCACGAAAGCCGTTGGCAACAATGGAACTTAACAAAAAGGACATGACGAAAAAGACACACATAGACATAGAAGATTCAATGGAACCAAAGGAGTTCTTCGATTTTTCCACATTCTCCAACATCTTAGATCTAAATTTCGTTGATTCCCAGCCTGCGGGAAATCCAGGTCGTGCTGCTGTCCTTCTGGAACCTGGATATCCTGATAACGCTACGGACGGCGGTGTTTTCCAATGGAAACCTGGACTTCAGGCGATGGCCCGGGATGACTGGGATGGATGACTTTCTTTTAACGTTTGTTGTTGTCATCATGGAATGTCCTGAACTGAGATTTAGATTTATAAGTTTAGATCAGATTAATTAGATCGTTTCAAGCCACTGAAGTTAGTTGTTTTTTTTTCCATGTTGTGTACTGTATATTTGATTATTTTTGTGTATGCTCTTCACGTATTGATTTTCAAACCGAACCTGGTGACACACTATGACACACTGCCAGGCAAGCAAGAATCTTTCGGAGATATGCCGAAGGCTGGCTGCTGTTCGATCTGTGCCTTGGGAGTATGAAGTCGTGTGGGCGAAGCGGCAGTGAAGAGAGTGGACGGGAGGAGATTAAAACACCAAGCAAACACAGTAATGTGGGTTAAGAAAAAATATAGCACTTATTTGGGAATGGTTTATATCAGCTATTTATGGTGATTTGGGGTTTGTCGTGCTCGTGTTTTTTCCCACTGTACATTCATTTCACAAAAAGATAAAAGAAGATCGAAACTCCTCCATCCCAGCCCTTCTTGAGTCTTACTGCAAACCGCGTGAGGGACTGACATCACCGGAGTTTTTTTTCGAGGGTTTTTGATGAATGGAAACCCATAGGTCACCAGGGAGTTGAGGAATCATTGTCAGAAATGATCTGGGTTTGGAGGGGGAACCGCATCCATTTCTTACTTCATTCGTTGATTGTTGAGGATCTGGCCCACCCAACAATAGCACTCCCAACTGTATGTTGTCTAAGATCCAAACGATCCTGCAATATTCCATTGTACATAATTTTGTACATTATATACTACATATCCTTACATTAATATATATATATATATTATGATATCTTATATATTGTAGTTTATTTATACTATATCCCATAGGATCCATATATGCTATATATGGTAACATTCACCATCAATATACCCCAAATGTTAGCATATATACCAGCACCATGGATCCTATGGGTATGACTTCCAAGCCTCGCTATGCCTTGCTGTCGAGGATCTACGTGATCTTCGGCTGGGTCATCATCGCCGCCGAGCAGCCCTTCCTTCGTTTGCTGCAGATCGCTCTGCGTTTGCTGCGCTTGGCACGGCTGAATCGCGTGCTGGGGCAGATCGAAGGCCGGATTTGGTGGAAGCCACGGGCCATCGAAATTGTTGATCTATTCTGATCTATGATGATCTGGTTGGTGGTTTGGAACATTTCTTGTTTTCCCCAACCAGATTGGGGATGATGATCCAATCTGACTGTCATATTCTTCGAGGGAGTTGAAACCACCAATTAGTGATTCATGATGGTTCATGATGATCTATGATGATCCTATTAACAAAAAGGTGATGTTCCAGTTCACGGAACGTTTTTTTTTACCGTGAAGTATCCCACTGAAACTTAGGGGCCTGAGGACAAAACCTGCAATTTGGTGAAGCAAAGATGGGGAGTGAAGCTAATTGAAGCTACAACACCATAAGCGGATTTTAAATTCGATGCAGTTCCCATAAGAGGATGGTAGTTCCATGGTTACCCTTGTGGTTAACCACCTGGAGATGGTAGTTCATGGTGGCCTGGTGCGACCTGGGAGCCTCAAAGCTTAACGGTTAAAACCAAAGGCCAGTTGATGTCCGATGTCTTGGTGGCGAAGTTCAACATCTCCACACTCTCCGTGCAGATCCTGCCACTGAAGCCAGCGTTTTAGGCCTTTGTTTTGTTCGGGCCAAGGATTTCTGGATTTCATGGGGGGTATGACAATAGTTGAGGCTTTGGATGGTTTATGATGGTTTATGATATTTTATGATGGCTTATGGCTTATCAAATCTTATCAATTATAGTTATTGGTGGATGTTGCTGGTTAATCAGCTACTTGTATTTCCCTGATTCCACAAAAAACCAAGGGTTTGATTAAAGGGGTCTCGGTTGAAATTTCCATGACTCGCTTCATCAGCCCTTTCAGACCGGGTAGACAAATAAGCCCGGGCCCAGAATCACGTTGGTTCATAAGAAAAAAATGAAGTTAATTCCCATGAGTTGTTGGTTAAATTCCCATGTTCCATCATTCCAAACCAACTTCGCTAACATTAATCATTGCTAAATCCATTTTTGTGGTGGGTGAGTGAAGTCACTTTGTTCCATCAATTTTCAAGGCAAAATCAGTGCAATCCTAATTTTTAAGGTTCATCATCACCATTTGCCGCATTTCTTGGTAAAACCAGTCAAATCCTAATTTTCAGGTTGATCATCACATTCATCACCGTTTTCCATGATTTTTAATGGCAAAATTATGTTTAAAAAAACATGAAATTCCAGCTGTTTCCATCGTTTTTTCGTGGCCATCGCTGGGTAGCCCAGGTTGATCCTCCACGCCATGGGCTGTGCCTGGTACTTCGTGGGCAGCGCCGATGGCGGTTGGGTTTCGAGATCTGGTGTGGACAGGGGGCCGCTGATGCACCGCTACGCCACGTGCCTTGGCAAAATGACCTTCCAGGATCAAGCATTCTATGGCAATATCAATGGGAATATCATGGGAATATGGGAATTCCCCAGTTATACTGGTTGGTGGTTTGGAACATGAATTTTATTTTTCCATATATTGGGAATGTCATCATCCCAACTGACTTTCATATTTTTCAGAGGGATTGAAACCACCAACCAGTATAAGTTGGTTAACAAAAGCCCCAGTAACTATAAGTTGGTAATATATGGGAATATGGGAATATCATGGGAATACTTGGTGGCGAACTACCCACGAATCGTAAGTGGGTTATAACCCCAGTTAAGTTATAAGTGGATTAACCCTACTTATCCCATTTATAACTGGGGTTATAACCCACTTACTAAGTGGGATGAGCCACCAAGTATGGGAATATCTCCATAGTTTTGATGGCTAAAAACCCTTTACACTGGTAATTTAAGAGTTTGCGACATAGAACATGGCCATAGAAATAGTTGATTTACCTATGAAAAAATGTGATTTTCCATAGTTATGTTAGTTTACCAGAGGGTAGCCTCCTTTTATTTAGAGTTGACCATGCCTGAAAATCGCCATCTTTTAGTGGGCACCAATCTTCCAACCCCTATTTGGCAGCGTCTATGTTAATTTACTGGAGGGTATAACACTTTATAATAGTAATATTGGTAGATAGGAGCTGAACATGTAAATATTTGCATATATAGTTATTGTAAATACATGGGTAGTGACTTGGATATAGATATAGACAGATCTAGTACAGTTAGTTGCTGAGGTTCTGTTACTGCTATATAGTTGCTCATTGGATTCTTCCAGCATTTTTGGCAATTTATGCTATTGAGTACAGGTACTGCCTGACTTCATGGGCATGGTTGATAATTTGATAGTCATGGCAGTTTTGTCCCATCATTCAATGGATTGGCTTAAGGGAAAATATTCAGGAAACCCCCATATTGAATGGTAAAAAAAAAACAATGGTTTTTCAGGAAACCCCAAAATTTAATGGTAAAACCCATGGTTTTTCAGGAAACCACATTTTTTTTAATGGTAAAAACCATGGTTTCCGGTGAAGATTTTCCCAAAATCCAATCCAATCATGGCTGTCATGGCTGTCAGGTCGTTGTATTGGATGTTCTGCCAGATGGGGTTCGGGTTGTCCGAAATCGTGGCGGCCACCGAACTGGAAGTGATCTTTGGACTGACGGCCTCCATCGCAGGGCTGGCCATCTTCTCCTTCTTCCTTGGGACACGAGGGGTCTGAATCCATGTGGTACGTTGTTGGAGAAAATCTGGGGGACTGAAACTGAAACTGTTCTCAGAGTCGACTTTAGTACCATTTATGGATATATCAATGGATGATCATATGTAGGATATGTCATCTTTATGATATAATAATATATAATCATCCCTAAAGATGTACCAATTATCCATAAATATCCATAAATGATATTGATAATTGGTACATCTTTCGGGATGTAGAACCTCCAAGTTGGTGGAGGTTCTGGTTCTGCCATATCAATGGATGATCTCTCGGCCAACCATTCGTCACTATCGGAAGAGATCCACCGTTCATTACCGAATAATAAACCTCAGGCATTATATAGCAAGTGTCATAGCAGCTTTTCAACCCCATTCAAATCTGTTCAACATTATATCTCGAAAATCAACTTTGAATCAACTTTAAAACCATGTTCACATCCATTAATACCATTAAAAAAAAGAAACAAACAACATATTTTGAACATTAACTGTTAACATCTTCAACTCAACATCCCTAAAGCATAAAATTCAAAATTCCATGAAAAATCTATGAAACATCGATGATAGTCATCCCCATCTTTCAGCACTTGGATCTCTTTCTCCATGGCACCAGGACCATCACTTCCAACAGCGCCTTGTTGGGAAAGGCGCAGGAAGAGCATCGCCAGCAGTTCCGGAAGCTGCGACGCTATCTGACCTATTTCCAGGTGCGTGCTGGACATGGGGAAATGGTGAGGACCCATATTAGGTAATGTTAAAGTAATCTTAATAGTAAACCTGTTGAATAATTAAGTTTCATGAATATATATATATAGTGAACATAAATAGTTAGTAACTGAGTTAATGTTAAAGTAATTTCAATAGTAAACCTGTTGGAAAATTAAGATTAATGAATATATATATATATAGTGAACATAAATAGTTAGTAACTGAGTTAATGTTAAAGTAATTTTAATAGTAAACCTGTTGGAAAATCAAGATTAATGAATATATAGTGAACATAACTAGTTAGTAACTGAGTTAATGTTAAAGTAATTTCAATAGTAAACCTGTTGGAAAATTAAGATTAATGAATATATATATAGTGAACATAAATAGTTAGTAACTGAGTTAATGTTAAAGTAATCTTAATAGTAAACCTGTTGGAAAATCAAGATTAATGAATATATAGTGAACATAAATAGTTAGTAACTGAGTTAATGTTAAAGTAATTTTAATAGTAAACCTGTTGGAAAATTAAGATTAATGAATATATAGTGAACATAAATAGTTAGTAACTGAGTTAATGTTAAAGTAATTTTAATAGTAAACCTGTTGGAAAATTAAGATTAATGAATATATAGTGAACATAAATAGTTAGTAACTGAGTTAATGTTAAAGTAATTTTAATAGTAAACCTGTTGGAAAATTAAGATTAATGAATATATAGTGAACATAAATAGTTAGTAACTGAGTTAATGTTAAAGTAATTTTAATAGTAAACCTGTTGGAAAAAATAAGATTAATGAATATATAGTGAACATAAATAGTTAGTAACTGAGTTAAAGCAATCTTAATAGTAAACCTGTTGGAAGATTAAGATTAATGAATATATAGTGAACATAAATAGTTAGTAACTGAGTTAATGTTAAAGTAATTTTAATAGTAAACCTGTTGGAAATTTAAGATGAATGAATGTATAGTGAACATAAATAGTTAGTAACTGAGTTAATGTTAAAGTAATCTTAATAGTAAACCTGTTGGAAATTTAAGATGAATGAATGTATAGTGAACATAAATAGTTAGTAACTGAGTTAATGTTAAAGTAATCTTAATAGTAAACCTGTTGGAAAATTAAGATTAATGAATATATATATAGTGAACATAAATAGTTAGTAACTGAGTTAATGTTAAAGTAATCTTAATAGTAAACCTGTTGGAAAATCAAGATTAATGAATATATAGTGAACATAAATAGTTAGTAACTGAGTTAATGTTAAAGTAATTTTAATAGTAAACCTGTTGGAAAATTAAGATTAATGAATATATATATATAGTGAACATAACTAGTTAGTAACTGAGTTAATGTTAAAGTAATCTTAATAGTAACTTTGGTAAACTAGTTCATGTTGATGGTAATTTAATAGTAAAGCTGGTGGAATATTGATTAACTATAGTTAACATAAATAGTAACATGAATCTTGCTCAGAAATAGTAACTATAGTAACTATAGTTAACACTATCCGGGGAAATGCTTTGAAATTAGATGAATTTTTGATCATGGCCAGCCAGTCACTTTCTGTCACATCTTTGATGATGGGTCAGATTCTGTGGAATCCCCCGTAGCTGGCCATATAATAATAGTTATTTTCAGCTTACCCTCTGGTAAACTAACAAAAAACGATTGAACATCATAATTTTTAGTGGAAAAAAATCAACTATTTAACTATGGTCATTTTCAATAGCTATGTTGGCTTACCAGAGGGTAGTGAATTATGACCACCCAACATGTGAACGTTCACTCTTAATATGAGTCAATATTATATACATCATGAACATTCCTATTGTCCACTAATTGACACATGATGGGAAATTGGCCATTAATGTTAGTTGTCATTGTTTTTGTCACTGGTAGTTTTGATTAATGGTGTTAAGAGACGTCAACAGTGATAGTATATAATTGTGTTCTCAAATAATCAGCGTTTGGGATAATATAAGTCAACATATTTTTAAACAATGGTTAGTAATATCAATGTGAAATGGAATATCAGATTTACTGGTATTGTGATATGAAGTGTAAGCACAAAGAATATCATCAAAGGAAGTTTAGGGGGAGAAACTTCCGTGTTACGGACTTTTAGAATGTCAGGGAAAGAGTTAGTCAAAGAAAGAGTTAGTGAGGGAAAGAGTTAGTCAAAGAAAGAGTTAGTCAAAGAAAAAGTTAGTCAAAGAAAGAGTTAGTGAGGGAAAGAGTTAGTCAAAGAAAGAGTTAGTCAAAGAAAGAGTTAGTCAAAGAAAGAGTTAGCAAAGAAAGAGTTCGTCAGGGAAAGAGTTAGTCAAAGAAAGAGTTAGTCAAAGAAAGAGTTAGTCAGGGAAAGAGTTAGTCAAAGAAAGAGTTAGTGAGGGAAAGAGTTAGTCAAAGAAAGAGTTAGTTAGTCAGGGAAAGAGTTAGTCAAAGAAAGAGTTAGTGAGGGAAAGAGTTAGTCAAAGAAAGAGTTAGCAAAGAAACAGAGTTAGTCAAAGAAAGAGTTAGTGAGGGAAAGAGTTAGTCAAAGAAAGAGTTAGCAAAGAAACAGTTAGTCAGGGAAAGAGTTAGTCAAAGAAAGAGTAGTAGTGAGGGAAAGAGCTATTCAAAGAAAGAGATAGCAAAGAAACAGTTAGTCACAGAAAGAGTTAGTCAAAGAAAGAGTTCGTCAAAGAAACAGTTAGTCAGGGAAAGAGTTAGTCAAAGAAAGAGTTAGTGAGGGAAAGAGTTAGTCAAAGAAAGAGTTAGCAAAGAAAGAGTTAGTCAAAGAAAGAGTTAGTGAGGGAAAGAGTTAGTCAGTTAGAGGGAAAGAGTTAGTCAAAGAAAGAGTTAGTCGAGGGAAAGAGTTAGTCAAAGAAAGAGTTAGTGAGGGAAAGAGTTAGTCAAAGAAAGAGTTAGCAAAGAAACAGTTAGTCAGGGAAAGAGTTAGTCAAAGAAAGAGTTAGTCAGGATATATGAGGTAGTCAAAGAAAGAGTTAGTCAGGATATATGAGGTAGTCAAAGAAAGAGTTCGCAAAGAAAGAGTTCAGTCAAAGAAACAGTTAGTCAGGGAAAGAGTTAGTCAAAGAAAGAGTTAGTGAGGGAAAGAGTTAGTCAAAGAAAGAGTTAGTGAGGGAAAGAGTTATTCAAAGAAAGAGTTAGCAAAGAAACAGTTAGTCACAGAAAGAGTTAGCAAAGAAAGAGTTCGTCAGGGAAAGAGTTAGTCAAAGAAAGAGTTAGTCAAAGAAACGGTTAGTCAGGGAAAGAGTTAGTCAAAGAAAGAGTTAGTGAGGGAAAGAGTTAGTCACAGAAAGATTTAGCAAAGAAATTGTTCCCTCACTGTAAATGGGATTGCAAGTGGTGCTGGTGGAGGAGTTGCCGATGGAGTTTTGGAGGAAGTCTGGCACGAAATGCGTTTTTGAGAGATAGCAGATGCACGAAACCCTATGTTTTTCCATACAAAGTCCGTCCCCGAACCTCGATGATCTACCTCTGCGGTGCGACGGGTGCGAGACGGTCTCGTGTGTGGTCGGATCATGGGCGGATATTCTCGGATCATGGTCGGATCGGTTCCGCATTGTAAATGGGGTTTCAACTGTGTTTCGTGCATGTGTGGTCGACAGAATTCCATTGTGATTTGCAACTGTAGGATCGTTCCCGCAATGTAAATGGGATTGCAAGTGGTGCTGGTGGATGAGTTGCAGATGGAATTCCATTGTGATTTGCAACTGTAGGATCGTTCCCGCAATGCAAATGGCATTGCAAGTGCTGCTGGTGGAGGAGTTGCCGATGGAATTCCATTGTGATTTGCAAGTCTAGGATCGTTCCCTCCCTGTAAATGGTTGCGTCAAGGTTCCTCGTGCTGTGGCTGCATTGGTAATACTATTGTCTTTTGCAGCTGGACTTCGTAAATCGTATTGGAGTGGCTGCATGAAGGCTGCCACAGATTTTCTTCATTTTGGCGCTAGTGAATTTCCTTCTAAAAATTCTTTTAAAAAGTGCTTCAAAATCGTCTTTTTTTCGCTCTGGCATCGAGATCCGGTTTTGGAGCTACAATTTCCGACGCCGTTGCGCGTAGTTCTATTGTGTTTTGGAACTCAATCTCTGCAGATCGCATTGTAATGGCTGCGTCAAGGTTGCTGCGTGCTGTGGCTGCATTGGTAATACTATTGTCTTTTGCAGCTGGATCTCGTAAATCGTATTGGAGTGGCTGCATGAAGGCTGCGACATGGATTTGTTAGCAGATTTTCTCCATTTTGGCGCTAGTGTTTTTCCTTCTAAAATTCCTTTTAAAAAGTGCTTCAAAATCGTCTTTTTTTCGCTCTGGCGTTGAGATCCGCTTTTGGAGCTACAATTTCCGACGCCGTTGCGCGTAGTTCTATTGTGTTTTGGAACTCAATCTCTGCAGATCGCAATGTAATGGCTGCGTCAAGGTTGCTGCGTGCTGTGGCTGCATTCGTAATACTATTGTCTTTTGCAGCTGGATCTCGGAAATCGTCTTGGAGTGGCTGCATGAAGGCTGCGACATGGATTTGTTAGCAGATTTTCTCCATTTTGGCGCTAGTGATTTTCCTTCTAAAAATCCTTTTAAAAAGTGCTTCAAAATCGTCTTTTTAAGCTCTGGCGTCGAGATCCGGTTTTGGAGCTACAATTTCCGACGCTGTTGTGCGTAGTTCTGTTGTGTTTTGCAACTCAGTCTCTGCAGATCGCATTGTAATGGCTGCGTCAAGGTTGCTTCGTGCTGTGGCTGCATTTGTAATACTATTGTCTTTTGCAGCTGGATCTCGTAAATCGTATTGGAGTGGCTGCATGGAGGCTGCGACAGTGATTTGTCAGCAGATTTTCTCCATTTTGTCGCATTAGTGTTTTTTTGTTCCACGTAGGTTTAGAGCAGTGTGAAGTGTGGGGCGTAAAGAGTGCAGTGTGAAGTGTGAAGTGTGAAGGAAGCAGTGGGAAGTGAAAAGTGTGAAGTGTGGAGTGTGAAGTTTCAGTTTGGAGTGCGAAGAGCGCAGTGTGAAGTGTGAAGTGTGAGGTTTGGAGTGTGAAGGAAGCAGTGAGAAGTGTGAAGTGTGGACTGTGAAGTGTGAAGTGTGAGGGAAGTGTGGAGTGGGAAGTGCGAAGTGAGAAGTGTGAAGTGTGAAGTTTGGAGTGTGAAGTTTGGAGTGGGAAGGAAGCAGTGAGAAGTGAGAAGTGTGAAGTGTGGACTGTGAAGTTTGGAGTGTGAAGGAAGCAGTGAGAAGTGAGAAGTTTGGAGTGTGAAGGAAGCAGTGAGAAGAGAGAAGTGTGAAGTGAGAAGTGTGAAGTGTGGACTGTGCAGTGTGGAGTGCGAAGAGCGCAGTGTGAAGTGTGAAGTGTGAAGTGTGAGGTTTGGAGTGTGAAAGGAGCAGTGAGAAGTGTGAAGTGTGGACTGTGAAGTGTGAAGTGTGAGTGAAGTGTGGAGTGTGAAGTGCGAAGTGAGAAGTGTGAAGTTTGGAGTGTGAAGGTTGGAGTGGGAAGGAAGCAGTGAGAAGTGAGAAGTGTGAAGTGTTGACTGTGAAGTGTGGAGTGTGAAGTGCGAAGTGAGAAGTGTGAAGTTTGGAGTGTGAAGGAAGCAGTGAGAAGTGAGAAGTGTGAAGTGAGAAGTGTGAAGTGTGGACTGTGAAGTGTGGACTGTGAAGTGCGAAGTGTGAAGTGTGAAGTTTGGAGTGTGAAGGACGCAGTGAGAAGTGAGAAGTGTGAAATGTTGAGTGTGAAGTGTGAAGTGCGAAGTGAGAAGTGTGGACTGTGAAGTGAGAAGTGTGAAGTGTGGACTGTGAAGTGAGAAGTGTGAAGTTTGGAGTGTGAAGGACGCAGTGAGAAGTAAAAAGTGTGAAATGTTGAGTGTGAAGTGTGAAGTGTGAAGTGCGAAGTGAGAAGTGTGGACTGTGAAGTGTGAAGTGTGAAGTGTGGACTGTGAAGTGTGAAGTGTGAAGTGTGGACTGTGAAGTGTGAAGTGTGCAGTGTGAAGTGTGAAGTGTGAAGTGTGAAGTGTGAAGTGTGAGGTTTGGAGTGTGAAGGAAGCAGTGAGAAGTGAGAAGTGAGAAGTGTGGAGTGTGAAGTGTGGAGTGTGAAGTTTGAAGTTTGGAGTGCGAAGAGTGCAGTGTGCAGTGTGAGGTGTGGAGTGTCGAGGGAAGGACACGGTCGGGACAGGTTGTCTTTGAACTATAGGTTATTTATGTTTGGGAAACTTCCGCCGCCGGCTTGCCCGGGTCTATGTTATACAATGAGATTGTTAGCTACTCCTAAGAATGTAACTACAACATCGTACACACATATAGCAGTGGTGAGATGTTTTGGTAGTGGATTTGTGAATTGCTTTTGTTTGGCTTATGTTGGACATTTATTGATTTGGCGCATTTCCAGATGGACAAACGGACTTGGCTGAGATGGCAATTAGGGCGGCTGTCCGGATGCCAGACTTGGCGAAAGTCAAGCATCAACACGCAAGGCTCGACGCAGACCGGTTGAGAAAAACGTTGCTTCCTAAGATACAATAATACATCTAAATTAAGTCATTCTTTCAATCCAGATTATTCCGGAGAAGAGTTCGGAGACTCTGTAGATAATGACTCACTAATACTCATCCAGCAATAGTTTATTACTATACTCACTGTAATACTCACTAATACTAATCATTATTTAATGACTCACTCATACTCACAAGACCTTTGTGCATCCAGCAATCCATTGGCTCCCGCAGGTGGATGCGGATTTGAGCGAACGTGTGACCCACTTCCTGGAACGGGCAGCCTGGTGACCGGTGAGCCCGATAGCTGAGTCTGGTGACGTTTTACCAACTGGAAAACCATAGGAAAACCATAGGAAAACCATAGGAAAATGGAGGTTTACCCTCTATAGTAAACTAACATACGGAAAATCACCACCTTTAAGTTCGGTAAATCAACTATTTCTATGGGCCATGACTTCGCAACATGTTAGATGATCGGAGGGTAGATGATATTAGATCTGGTTGGTGGTTTGGAATATTTTTTCCCATAATATATGGAATAATCCTTCCCATTGACTTTCATATTTTTCAAGATGGTTGGAACCACCAACCAGAGATGATAGATTGGGGAATGTGGAGGACCCAGTTCTTTGAAGACACCTCATCGTGACACTTTTCTTGAACCAGGCTGCATAGGCCATATGATCCATGATGCACCTATATGTTGCTAACGTTGAGGTGAAAGGTGAAACGGACTCATGTAAATCACCCTGATCCAAATGAACCATGGATTGTACTGTCTGATAGTATGCTACATCATGCCACAGTACCAACTAATGAGAATTCTGCGTCATGCATAGTATGAGGTCGGATCAATTATGGGCAGGTGTAAATATATGTGTAATATCCTATATAGGTATATATATCTTCATAGATGTTAGATATTCTACAAAACCATGATATAAATTATATATATATACATTTGAAAACCCATATATGCTGACACTACATTCATACATCTACATTATATATATATATATACCAGGCTTCTACACAGATGACTTCTCTGATCACCACTTCTTAAGGCCTACGTCTTAGACCGCGAGGGTCGCCCGGAGTCTGAAGTTCCCTTGCTGGCGCTGCTGTCCAAGCCCATGCAACGCGAGTTGCGCTTCGCCCGCTACGAGGGCTGCTTGCGGGAGATCGGCTTCTCGCGGTACTTGTCGCATTGCACCTGGGTAATACGACAAAAACCATGGTTTTTAGCCATCAAAACTATGGGGATATTCCCATCCCATAGGATCCATGGTGCTGCTATATATGGTAACATGGATCCCATCAATATACCCCAGTCATGTTAGCATTTTTCTACCAGCACCATGGATCCGTCATGGGTTATAGTTCAGTGGGGTTAGAGCTGGAGGATTGCGGATTCATGGAATATCCTGGAGATTATTGGAATATATTGGAATTTCATGGAATTTCCTAATGGGATATAAGAAGTATAAGAAGCAATTAAGACGTATTTTTGACTGTGATTTTGTGGGAGTGTTTCAAGATCGGTTTCTTGGTTTCTTTATTCGTTTTCCTTTGTTTCTTTCATGATCTTCCACCACTGCCTGGGTTGGTAGTGACCTTAAGCAAAAACTTTGTGGCCGCCCATCCCAGGCGGCCACGGACCAGCTGAGCTGTTAGCTTTGCGCCATTTGGCCACCCATGCGATTTCTCAGAGCACCTTGGCTGCGAAGGACGCAGTCTTCGAGGCTGGCTCTGTGGCCTACGATGCGCATTTCCTGGCGCATGGGAGTTTCGAGTACGTGCTGAACATGTCGCAGAGGGTGGAGCATCAGCGATGGGTCAGTGAAACTTGGGATAGCGATTTTTTGTTTGATGTTGTTTGGATGGTTGGGGTTTTGAGTGCTGTTTTGGATGTTTTAGGTAAGATGATGCCAAACTAATGGAGAATTTGTGGGTTTTGTTTGGTGCGATTTAAGTTTTTTTTGGTCATTAGTGCCATTAAGAGTGTGTGATTTACGACTCCACTTCTGTTGTTGTTTTTACTGTCATTTGTGCATTTGAGCCCAGCCCCAAAATCAAAGACCTTCAACCATTCCAGTTTGGGACATCAGGAAATGACCCTGTGGACACCTTGGCTGCACTTGGGTGACTTGACCACCAGCGAAGACAGCGGCGTGGTGAGTTTGAGCGCCAACAACTTCTTCGACTGCATGCGAAGGTGGTGGAACTTGTTTGAGATGGCGCAGGCCTATGCCAGAGACTCGCTGTGGTCATGATGCAGGTGTCGCTTTTTGTTGGGGTCTTTGTTTGGGGAGAGGGTTATTGAAATTTGGTTGGAAGTGATTGGTATAGTGACAAACCATACCACATTTTGCCCTGCGGCCTGTGTGTTTCTTTCATATGACGCTCTTAAAAATGGTGCATCATTTGTGGGTTGATGACTACCAAAAAGCACATAACACACCAAGTACCAGTATGTACACTATCCAAGTATCATTTACACCTTCGGATCATTTTGCCCAATGATTCCCTCATCCCATCCCCCAACCTCCCAACCTCCCAACCTCCCAACCTCCCAACCCCACCCAACTAACCTCCCGACCCCCACCAAGGAGAGTATGTCAAGAGCATGAGCAGCTTCGCCGCCGTCACGGACCTCTGGCAGGGCGTAGTGCTGGCGGACGAGCATCGACCTTCGCTGCGGTCCTCCGGAAGTTTCCAGGTGCTGGGGCGTCTCGGAGGGCCTAAGAAGGCCTGGTGACGCTGGGTGGATAGTTCTTGGAGATCGGGACGTGTCATCATCATTCAACATCGGGATGTGCAATATGTTTAATAGTATGATTATGTATGATTAGATGATATTGGCTGATTTTGGGATGTAAATCGGATTTGGAACTGACTGCAGAGAGATCAGTGACACATATTGACACCCGCTCATTGTACCACTCAGCAACGCCTTGTCACAGGATGAATGAGTGGAGAAATGTTTTTGTTATCCCTACATTACCCTCTGGTAAACTAACATAACTATGGAAAATCACCATTTTTAATGGGAACATCCACTATAAATGGCCATTTTCAATAGCTATGTTAGTTCACAAGAGGGTATTACCGTCCAAGATTGGAAGTATTTGATCTTCACTCTTCATCCACTTATCCGTAGAATGTTTCGAGCCCCGAGCAGTTTCACCGGTTTTAGTCGGCATTTGGTCGTGCTGCTGAACTGAGTATCAGTGTGGCACGATGCCCGAGTTGTGTTCCGCGTGTTTGCCCAATTCGTTTGGTCAAAAGGAGGCGGGTACGCCACAAGGATTGGCATTGTTTCGGTGGGCCAGTAGGATCAGTTGATTTGGCTTGACCGTTGCTTATGGAATCCAGGGGGGATTGTTTTGAAGATATCAATGAAGACAGTTGTTTAATTATACTACCATAAATGAAATACATTGAAATATGGAATTGTAATTAGCATGTTAGTACAGCAATAACAAACCACCCATATATTGATGGTTTAAACAACCCATTTATGGTAAAATTGCGGGATGGTTTACGATTGCTTTACCCACATTGTTTGATTTGTCTGATCTGATAGTCCTGCTAGCTTTACTCATTTTTACTCTATTGCTTGCTTGGCCTCCAACTCCGCACTTTTGTCTCAGGAGGCTCCAGCAAGAAGGAAGAGAAGAGAAAAGCAAAGGAGGCGGAAAAGAAGGCAAGAACCAACCTCAGCCACAAGGGTTCTACCATGTTCTACCCTCTGTTTTTAATCGGTAAATCATATATAAAACTATTATAACACTATATGTATATATACACCTCTGGTAGTTTTAATATAGGTATAATTATAAATCATTAATAATCATATATAAATGACAATGAGCCATGTCCAATAACTGAAGTGTTTGGTCCCTGCCATGTTTGATGGAACTTTCAACTGCTGGTGGCTTCCACGAGTTGGACCTTGGCATTTTGTCCTCGTTCCAGGGGCCTGGCAGCGTGTCCGTTTTCGACAGGCCAAGGAGGAGGAGAAAAAGAGAAAAGAGGAGGCACGCCGCTATAGGAAAACCATAGGAAAATGGTGATTTAACCACTAGGAAACTGGTGATTTTATGGTGGTTGAATAGTGATCTAATGGGATTTACCCTCTGGTAAAGACTGTTACAGTTTGCGACATAGACGTCATGGCCCATAGAAAGTTCGTTGATTTACCGAACAAAAATAGATGGTGATTTTCCAGTTCGCAAACTGTTAACGTTTACCAGAGGGGATCTTTTTATACTACGTTCCTCCAGGATTCCACGTGAGTGCTTGAGGAAAACACACATCTGGTTGGTGGTTTGGAACATGTTTTTATTTTCCATAATATATGGGATAATCCTTCCCATTGACTAATATTTTTCAAGATGGTTAAACATGTTAAAACCACCAACCAGACATTTTCACACAGAAACACACATTAAAACCGCCAGATGTGGAAGTGACCCTTCATCAAACATGCTTTCCTGGCCAAGGAAGCGCTCGCCGCGAAGAACGCCAAGCCTGGCGACCCAGTTCAACGGCCAGAACATGCCAGAACGCTTCAGTTGGGGGCTTGTGATTTTGTATCAAGCAATCTATTGGGAATGATGATGAAAACTATATGGAAAAACCATGCTTTTATTGGAATTATAGCGCTATATTGGGAATATTCCAGTAAAAAACATTGTTTTTCCCATATTTTCCCCATATTTTCCGACGGTTTTTGCCATGCCCAGGTTTGCGGGTCCAAATCTGGACTTCAAAAACTTTCAGGAGCGGCTGAGCAGAGTCGGTTGCTAGCTGCTACCCTAGATTTTCCCATAGAACTTAAACATATACCCTTTGGCTATTTAACATAGCCATGGAAAATGGCCCATAGAAATAGAGGTTTACCTATTACAAATGGTGATTTTCCATGGCTATGTTAAATAACCAGATGGTATATTGATATGATTTATCATACAATATTACGTGCAATTAGATAGCATTATTGACTTTTATGATTTGTTTATTGAAATTGGATGGCCTGAGTGTGTTGTGTGTTTCCAAACTCTAAAGCTGTTTTTCCAGGATCCTTGTAACTCTTCGTTGGCTTCAGTCATAGTTCAAGATGCCAATTTGATTTGGACCAAACTCCACTTGCGTAGATGTACCCCTACTGTACCAGATATACATAGCATTATTGGTTGCAGCTACTGATAGCTGTTCGGGCAACTCGGCCCCATGCGATTAGAGACCCACTGCTGGCGCGCAGCCTCTTCCATGCAAGGGAATATGATTTTTTTGGAATATTGGAATATTGGGATGCCCCAAGATATCATTCTATTGTGGTAAACTCAACAGTAAACCACCTCCAATAGAGGTGTATGAAAATGGGTGTACCTCAAAGATGATGTTTACTATGACCCCCCACCTGGTTGGTTCAATGGGATTGCTGCACTGGATTTACCACATCAATCATCAATATCCTGTGCTGGTTGGTGGTTTGGAACCATGGAATTTCATGACTTTCCATATATTGGGAAGAATAACCCCAACTGACGAACTCATATCTTTCAGAGGGCTTGAAACCACCAACCAGTGTAGATTGGTGGGTAAACGATGGTATCTTTGAACAACTCCACATGGAGAGGAGCATGCTTTCGGAAACGTCTTCATTCAGAGCCAGTGCCACACAGGTGCCACGGGCTTCAGCCAATCCCCAGCCTTTTGCCCAGCCCTGTTTCGGAGGATAGTCCCCAAAGTCAAATGATTGATTGTAGAATTTGTTGGAAACATATGGGTATACTTACTCAACGTATATGGATATTTACTCAACATAATTATTTGAAGCAATGGGCCCGCAAGTTTGGTCTTTCTTTGGCTGGACATTCGGCAGCCACCGAAGTCACCTTTTGGCGCATCACACTTGAGGAATCCCTGTTTCAAAAAGGCAGGGAACTAGCAAACAGATTGGGAACAGCCGGTTGGTTGCACAGAAATGGCATGTTTATGGCGTTTTGATTTTACTCAATCAGCATGTCCAGTCTTCATGGCTTCAGCTCGCAGATCGACAATGGACGAATGTGGGTGCGCTGAAGCCAGAGATGAAGGACACGACACGGCAGTTCTCATCCTGGAAAGGGGACCCAAGAATCACAAGACACAAGAATGGATTGCAAACCACCTGGATTTCTAAATTTGTGTTTTTTTTGGTTTGTCTCCCCAATGGGAAATCCACTTTTTTGGGGGAATCTATAGAGAATATGGAGAATATGATATGTTTTGTATGTTTTATTTGATTGGGTTTCCTAAATCCAATATTAACAGCCACTGTTCAGGTTTAACAACTTTTCTGGGGGATCAAACTATAACAAAAAACATCAGTTTTTTCTAGAACGTGATGTGCCAAAAAATAGTTTCTACCATGTTTCACTGCTTATTACCACTCAATGTATTTTGTCCTCAGGTTGGGCATCAGCACTTGAAGGTATCGGTATTACCCTCCGGTAATCGAATTTGGCAATGAACATCCACCATTTATAGATGATTTTTGCATCAGAACCTCCATCTATAAAATGTTCAATTGCAAGCTTTGATTACCGGAGGGTATCAACATGTATCAACCAGCATTCCATGAAAATCCTATTCATATTCCATTGTGATATAGCTATTGTACCACTGTTTAAGGGGTACCCCTGTGGGAGCTATGCTTCATCAATGCCCTGTTTCTCCAGGATTCAATGGTGTGGATCCGCGCCAGGGTTTCTTCAGCCCAGGGAGAAAGGGAGAAATGGCGGATGTGTTTGCTGAAAATCCCACCGGAAACAATGGGAAAATCATAGGAAAATATGGGAAATCCGCTGTAAATGGAGGTTTCATGAGAATTAAATCTATATAATAATTTTTGGGATTCTCCAGTGCCTTCTTTACAGGAGGGTGGGTTGACTCTCGCATCGTGATTTCAGTAGATTTAACCCTAGACTCAGATGTGTAATTGAGCTCTTTCAGGGCTTCGCAAAATTTGTTTTGGCTTTCAGAGCCAGGGGTCGGCGGCAGTACTATGTGTATGATTATGTGTGTTTCATTAGATGGTACAATGGGGGCCTCCTCAGCTATGTGTTTTTTTTTGTTTGTAATGTTATATCATAGACCCTAGCAACATTGGAGTCGTAAACAAAAGCCCCACATTGTATATATAGTATAGACATTCCCATGTGACAATCTTGTTGTTCCACACATGTCTTCAACAACCAAACCATAGACCTGTATCTGCCAACCACCTGCCAACCCTAGGTGCACAACACCCGCAAGCAGGGCAACAAGCTTTGCTTTCTCACCTTACGTCAGGTGTGATCGATGTTGGGGCAATGGGACCACAGAATTCGGCGGTCAAAGTCCAGATTCCATGCCACAACTTGTAGAAGTGGCAGGCGCATGCAGTTTCATGTTTGACCGCATCGACATGTCTTGTTGTTGGCAACATCTAAGTCAAATCTTCAACTGGTGGTCCAAACGGATTCTAACAATGGCCCTTTCATCCAAGCTCACACAATACACGAATTCACGGGTACCACAATAGTGTTGGATTACGATAACTTCAAAGTTTTTGGCCAGTAGCCTGATACAATCGGTGTTGCTATTCTACTCATGCACTACATAAGCAATTACAAATTATAATCGTAGACATTTGCACAGTTCCGTATCTATATAGATAGGATAATCTATCCATATCTCATATGACATTGTAATGAACATTCCAGTGCAACGGCCAGGATGTGGCCACGGTGCAGGCCGTCACTTTCGGACAGGACGGCTGTTGAGAGGTGCTTGAAAGGTGGTTTGGTGAGGCAAGGGGTCAACGTGGATCAATTGTATAATCAATGCTGACGCATTTCGTTTCTGTTTTGTTGGTGGCTCGGTCGCCCTGTAAATGCGCAGTTTTACGAAACCCATAGGCACGGATGTTTTTTTCTGCATATTTCCTCACGTATGTTATTATATGTCATTATGTTGGTGTTTGGGGTGGGGCAATAACCTTCACACTTCTACGTTTCAAAATTTTCAAAGGATGGATTTCCTGAGACATTTGGAAGGTTTGTAACAATATCCACCTTGCCTGTGATCATAAGATAGCCACGCCCAGGAGTTCAGACGGACTGCCATATCTGTAGCTACGACTCAACGACACCATTCAAATGGCAGTAACTTTTTAATTACCATGAAAATTGCTAAAAGATGTGGGCCAACTGTTCACTACAAACATCTAGAATTATAATACTACCAATACTATCTATAAACATTTGTTTACAAGTAAAGATAGGTATGATAAACTATAACAATATACAATAATAGGTTATTAAACCATAGTGAACCTATGTGTTTAAAGCCATTATAAAACCATCCATTCACATAGCTCCCACCTTCAAACCTCCTCGCGTCCAGGACATCGCCGGCTTCTCCGGGACCCTGCCTGATGAGTCGGTGGTGGATGTCTTTGGCAAGGCCCGGCACAAAGGGGGGCCTGGGGAATATCACAAAGGGCAGCTTATGCTGCCTCCGGTGGCAATGGAAAATCCATGAACATCCTCTAGAAATGGAGGGATATAATGTATATATATATGATATATATATGATATATATATGATATATATATATGATATAGATATATATATATATGATATATATATATATATGTATTATATATGATATATATGTATTATATATATATGGATTCCACTAAAGATTGGTCATGTTCAGGGTCTATCTTAATTTACCAGAGAGTAACATGATTTAACTTTATCATTACCTTCAAGGTGGTGCCCCCAAGATGGCTAAGTTGGTTTATAATTCCAAGAACTAGGACTTGTCTTTATTTTTTTTAAATATCTATAGTTAATAAAAATAGGATGATCAATTTATAACTGCGGGGGACACCACCTTGTTCTACAGATATAAAATGACCATATCCCACAGGCGCCACTTTCCAGCCCAGCCGCAGGTGGCTTGTCCAGAGGCGCCCATCGTGTCATGCACGGTGCAAAACGTGGCACGGACCTTGGAGAAAGGCGACAGCGGAACACGACAAAACGTTACCATAGCAATGTACCCTCCATGGTTATGATTATAATGGGGATATAATGGGAAATGTTGGGAATATTTGGAAAATATGGATTATAGCCCAATTGAAATATAATATACTATGGTTTTATAGGGGGAATCTCCATGGTTTTTTTTCATGTGTTCCCTAAATATAACTAGCCATAGAATATCCATGGTTTATGGTGTTAATAACCAATTCTATGGTTTATTGGGGGAATAGCCTTTAGTAAACTAACAGTTTGCTATTGAAAATGACCATTTATGGTTGATTTACCTAGTAAACATGGTGATTTTCCATAGTTATGTTAGTTTACCAGAGGGTATCAAGCTCTACAGACTCTACTTAAGATGGAGATCATCATTGGGAATCAAAGTATTGGAAGGAAGAAACCCTAGTAATTTTATTGTTTTCCTTGGATTCAGAAACAATCAAGGGCAGTTCTTAGTCCATGGTCATATTCATTTTGTTTGAGGAACATTGGCAGGAAAACCGCACAAAACAACAATGGAATGGAAAAGAACAATTCAACAAAATCATGCGTTACTTTTTGTTGCCTTACATCCAGGAATCGCCTTGGGGTTCTCAACCAAGGAACTTTCTGTTGAGAAGATCTTCTGCGTTGGCCGGTCGCAGGCTGCTTGCATTCAGGTGACATATCCAAGCTACAAATGGTTTAGATCGCTTTTTGCAAACCACATTTTATGATGACATAAAATCCATACTATTCACCATTATTGACCACCATTATTGACCACCATTATTAGCATAGTAACCTTAGGTGAAATATAATCATATTGCTCAATATAATCATATCTAATCCTATCAAGCATTATTGACCACCATTGGCCCTTATTAACCATGTGCTATAGTTTGTATGTGATTTCTCATGACGGGATCTGGCTTCAAGTTGGCAGGCCTTGCCATTGCGCCTGGCAGACGCATCCAGAAGTGAGGCCACCATTTTTCGGGGCTCTCTCCGAGGCTTTCACTTGGAACATCTTGGACCCACTCCTATGGTAGTGCCACAAGACATTTGCACAAAACGGTATGCCATGCTATGCCCACATTCTCACCTCGTTAAAATAGAGAACACACTGCCAGATTTATCATCATTTTCCTGGTGCTTCACCATTCCGTCCCTTTGTCATTCATTTCAATGGATTGGTTTCAGGGAAACTGTTTAACCGGAAAGCCCCATATTGATTGGGAAAATCTTTGGTTTTTCTGTAGATTTTCCCTTAAACCAATCCATTGATAATTCCATTCATTCAATGGGAATTCCAGGATCCTAAAATGGAGGTACGTTAGTACCATATGTTTGGCCATATTTTGCTGGGATAGTCCCTTACATAGGCCTGAAAAATAGGCCTTATGTACCTCCAAAATAAGTGGCGATCCAACTCCGCCCAGGCGGAGTTGGAGAAAGATCCAGCGTTGCTTGGAAAGAATTGATGGTGAAAAATGGTTCAATGGATGGTTTTGATTTATAATCACTGCCAATAATGGGTAAGAATGGATACTTTCATTTTTTTGATATATATATATATATAGACAAATTAAGATATGTATTGTGTTTCAACCATGCTTGGGATGATTGGTTGAGACGACTGATCTTTTTTGGGATGGCCTAAAACCACCTCTCGCAGTAGGGATCCAGCAGGACGCCATTTGTAGATGTCAACATGCCCTTGATAGATCAGACCCTACTTAGATGGGCCATGGAGTTAGTTAACTAGTCATTTAGGGGGCTGATGGCCTATAATGGATTATAATTGGGATGGGCCATAGTCCATGGAGTTAGTTAACTTAAATGGATTATTTCATTGTTTTTTTTTGGGGGGGGGGTAACAAATCCCCAGTTACTAGCCATGAATCGCTAATCCCAGGGCCCCTCTAAGTACCTGCTGGATGCAGCTTTTTATGAAATTCCAAGCCAGACCATCAGAAATCATTAGAATGTCGATGCATTGTGGAAGAGAGATCGTTTTCTCACATTCTTCCAGCATTGTCCCACACTTTCCCAGGTGTTCCACATTTTTCCCAAATTTTCTGGCATGTTTCCCACATTTTTCGCTTCATCCAAGCATCCTATGAGTGCGCCGTGCGTTGCCCACGAACAAACTCAGGTTGCCCACGGTGGGTCAGGACGTCCGCTTGGACAACCGCATCATCGACCTGCGAACGGCGCGGGACAGTGCTTCAATGGATCCTGGGATTGGGATTTATATAATATAATGTATATATAATGTCAACCCTGGATTAATAAACCCCAAACGGCTGTTTAATTGGGAAAGTACCATTTAAGTATCACATCATGACTATTGGGATGTTCAAAGGATTACTCCATAGATGTTCTTTTCCCATTGGTTGGTTGATTCATAGAGGGTTTTGTTTACCCCTTTGACAACAAGTAAATGATGATTGATGGTATACCAAATCGGCCCCTCTATTTTTACCAAAAGGACATTATTGAGGATTACCCTTTGGTAATCTAACACAGTAATTAGAAGTATAGTATGATGATGAGACTAAATTGTTTAATGGCAAATCAAACCAATGAACATCATAATATAGATGGTGTATTTTTGCATGTGTAGCCTTTACTAGTCTAATAGTTTGCTATGGAAAATGACCCATTTAGTTTGGTTTACCTATTAGACAACATGTGGTACCGTGTGGTATTCCATTGCTATGTTACCAGAGGGTAGATCACTCAGAAACAAAATGGGCAAGTTCCATCTGAGCAGGTGGCGAACCAAGCCATCTTTCGTCTCCAGTGGGGTCCCCAAGGGTCGGGAACATTTGGGGATGATGGAAGCCCTGAGGATAGGTCTAAAAATGGGGGATAGCTAGCATTTCAATGGAAAGCATGATGTTTACCCTCTGGTTATTTAACGGAGCAAACTGGAACATCACCATTTTGAAAAAATGTAAATCAACATAAAACATCGATAACTATAGTAACTATATGAGATTTGCCGGAGATATCTTAACCAGATAGAAACTGATTAACATGCGTGTGCCTCCAAGAAATGGCAGTGTGTTCTTCATGGCATATATGGATGAGTCACAGCTGAACCATCAGGTTTCAGGGCACCCTTTTTTCACACAAACCCATGCCGGGAGTGCCAGAAGATGGTGTAAGATGCCTTCACTTTGGTTGACGGATGGCATCCATGACGTTTCAGGGGGGAGAGTGCTTGGAACGATGTTGTGGGAAACATCAAACCCAATTCCAAAAGATATATGGCCCCTTTTTTATTCCTTGCCGCCATGGGCACCCAGCAATTGTATGGCGTCGGTGTCCAGAGGTCTGGAGTGTGCATGCTCTTCCGGGAGTTTTTGCTGCAGAACGATTTCCAGGTGCAGTGGGTTGATCAGATTCTTCCAGGCTGCAGCTGCAAACGTGCAGATATTGATGTGACTGTCCATGTCGGCCCTGGTTTTAGGGTCGGTAGTATAGCTGTTCAAGAAAAGGTAGAAGGGTATATCAAAACCATGGTGTAGGATACAGATTCTTATTATAGCTGGTTGGTGGTTTGGAACATTTTTTCCAGAATATATGGGATGTCATCCTTCCCATTGACTTTCATATTGTTCAAGATGGTTAAAACCACCAACCAGTATAGTTTCTGCCATTGATTCCTCAGCAGGATGGTTGAAACCACCAACCAGTATAGGTACTCGTAGATTATGGTAAATTGATGGTTTGCAGTGCTGGTGTTGATCCGTTTGGTTGGCCCTGCATTTGCCATAGGAGATCCACACTCCCAAGCTCATCGGTGGCGCATCTGAGGGAGGTGTTTGAAAGCTCAGTTGCATGGCAATCGCGGCAAGGTATTGCTGTAGATTCTAAATGGTATTGGCTGTTATTCACTTTGCTTGTTAGTGGATGATGATGATGATGATGATGATGATGATTCTGGTGATGATGGTGGGAGATGCTGAGCTACACCCATTGGTGCAACGAACATTGCCTCCATGGCTGCAGCTGGCTCGCTTCTTATCAACACAGCTGTGTTATCGTGTTATCACCTGAAATGTTGACAAACAAATGGATCACACCCCACACATCCCCACCCCACAGAAGTATCATCAAGTATCGAAGCACAAGGCCAGAACCAACTAAGAATGAAGATGAGTTTGAGTTGTCACTATTTGATATGATTTGCTACTCTTACCATTCCACACATCTCCACATCATGACCATTTCCAACCAGCGCTGTGGCATTTACTGTTAAGAATATCCACGTGGAATCATAACGGTTTTCACGTTGGCAGCCCACCTGACGCCATGTCCATTCATGATGGGTCGACCATACAGGTGCGCCGGGTGCGTGGTGATCAAACCTGCAGATACCCAAGTGTAGAACTAACCCACAGATACTCCACAACAAAATGTCCAACGCCTGTGTTCATTGCATCGATTTGATAATTTTATTATATTTCTACTCAGCTTGGTTATTGAATGTTATTGAACTTGATGTCGATTCCTGGTGTTTGAAGTTCGTGAAGTCCATCAGGTGCTGTCGCGGCGCCATTTTGGGCCTGGCTTCACTGGGATAGCTTTGTTTCAGCAACCCATTTCAGGTGCGGCGGCGGAGTTAGGGATCCATGTATCGATCCAGCACTCTGCTTGGAAGAATCGCCAGAACCAGAAGGTGAAGGATATTGAAAATATTAATGCATGAAACATATTTCATTCACTTTGATGTTCATTGGCTAAAATCATGATAATTAGTACGTATAAACAACAACAGGTTTTCTTTTAATCCAAATGCGACATATGGAGGGGGATAGTCAGATTGTGGAAGCTTCAAAAGATCCAAAATCATTCAAAATCCAGTTCAGTAGATTAAATTATATCCAACTATTTGGTGCAGCACACCCTCCCTCAAAAAGCCTTTTCATACAGTTATCCCGACCACGTTTACTTCAGGTGTCTCAGCCTTGATGGTGATTTTACAAGTTATACTTAACTCAAGTCTCCATACCCCTCATGAAGTGCTGGTTGGCGGTTTGGAACATGTTTTATTTTTCCATAGATTGGGAATAATGATCCCAACTGACGAACTCATATTTTTCAGAGGGGTAGGTCAACCACCAACCAGAGTGTTTTTGCTTGTGCGGCCAAGGATACTTCTTTCCGAAAAGGATTCATCCACAAAACTGGAGATCTTATCCAGATCACATCGTCACATCTCCTGGGGATAGGTTTGTTTTTTTTTCCCACATGTGTGTGTTTCACAAACAACTGACTTCTACCTTCAACTCACAATGTGCATCCCAGTCTTATGGTTATCTGGAGATGATTCTTTTGACACATCACGGTGGACAAATCATATTTTTGTTTATCAAGAATCACATTGTTTTTCCTTGAAATGATGCATGTTTATCGATATTTCATACCCGCCATGATTTTGACTCAAAAAATTGGTCACTTACCCTTTAAGACTTTGGTAATCAAAGCTGAGAATCGAAAAATCCCCGAAGTAAACAGACGTCTCAACGGGAAACTAGAATATGGGGATATTATGGAGATGTAGTGGATAATCTGGTGCCAAGAATGGATGTCATAACTCCATATTATGGCTTGTTCTCGCCATGTTTGATATAACATATGGAGATGAGTCCACTAATCATCCACTAATTATCTCCAGAAGATAATCGTCCACTAATATATGGATATATATATAATTATATATATACATGGTAATATTGTCCAATAGTCATCCATATATTAGTCATCCATATATATATATATAATTATATATAATTATATATATATATTAGTCAGTAACTAGTCATCCATATATCATATATATAAATATATATAATCATCCAATAATCTCAGAGACCACTCCCGTCCATCCAACCCAGGTGCTGGGCCTTGGGCCCGACGCCAGCGAGCCCGAGGTGCGCAGCGCCTTCCGGCGTCTGGCGAAGGCGCCGCTGATTTTTTTTGGATGGGAAAACGGATGGAAACATGTGGGAAAACGGATGGAAAAATGTGGGAAATCGTTCGAAAAAATATTCTTGATAAATGATTCGAAAATCCTGGGATTTCTTGGAGAACTGATGAAAAACCGGTGGTTGGAGTTGGTGTTGGGCAGTATCCCGATTATTTTTTAAAAGGTGGTTGGGGCTGATTGAATACTGTTCAAAGTGAGAAGGCTTGGTTTGGGGTGAAACCTGTGCCACCTCTCAGTGTTGTTTGCAAGATGCAACAAACCACTTTTGATAGCATGGTTATGATTTATCTAATGGCGGCTAGCGGCTAGCAGCGGCTAGCATTATATCTTGCGTTAATCTCTATTAATTTATCATATGAGAGGTCCCGTAAAATTAGGGCACCCAAAAAAGCCCAAAACTATGGTTTACATGACACAATTGAGATCATTTAGGGGTTCCCCCATTTGCAGCCCCCATATCGATGGCAATTCAAGGACCCTGAAATAGAGGTACTGCACCATATAAAGCCATAAACATTGAGCATTATATCCCCTTACAAAACCAAAATACATAGGGTACCTCAACAAAAGAAATTATGAGGTAGCATCTGGTTATTTAACAGTTTGCCATGGTAAGATCCACCATTTTTAATAGGTAAACCATCTATTTCTATGGGCCATCTATACCATGGCTATGTTAAATAACCAGAGGGTAGCTCCAATGAATGGTCCGTTTAATATTGGTCAATAGGCCTTGCATCCCAATGCTGAAGCTGACTCTCCTGTCCTTACCGAGCCAGGTATCCCACCCAGACGTGGCAACGGGCAACGCCCAGCGCTTTCGACAAATTCTGTGGGCTGCGGAGGAGCCGCTTCCGGAAGTCACCGGGAGATAGCTGGGAATGGGGAACACTGGGGGGGATTCATGATGGGTATCATGGGATCATATAATATTATGAATATGTTTTAAATATGTTATTAATATATCATCATACCAATTTTCCTGGCAATTGGGTGCTTCACATGTCTTTTGCCACTTAAACTTGCCATAGTTACCCTCGCATTGTATGGTTGATCACCATTTTTGAGCCACTTAAGATGTCCCCCTCCCTTTGTTTGGACAGACTCAATGGTGCGGATGAGAGAATCAACCATTGGATGCCTGAGAAACTTTTTGGGTGGAACATGGCCAAAATAAAAGCACCATCTACTGTTTCAGAAGTATTGGCAAGCTTGGGTTTGTTTGTGATATCTCAACATGTTAAATCCGATTTGAGGGTGAACTTTTGATCCTTTGATGTTGAGATAGGCCACTAGAGAAGGTCCCACGCTGGTCTTCTGGGACCTAGCCAACATCAATGCCATGCGTCGGTGAATTTTGCTCAAGCCGGATTTGAGGCCGTCATGATACCATGGCAGCTGCCGGGCAATCAGTGGCTCAGCCAGCCACCAAGCTATTGATCTTGACACTAGTGACTGTCAACTGGGAAAGTCTGCGGTGCTGGACTTGTTTGCGATTTGTGGAGATGATGTCCCAACATCGGCAGTACCATCAAATGCTGCAGCGTTGCGAAGATTGGCTGAAGGATCCATTTGCGGATGAAGACGCGGAAGACTTTGACTTTGAAGCTGGATCGCTGTTTCAAACGGCTTTGCATGGAAATCACATATTCCCAAAATTGCATTGATTAATGTGCTGAAACATACCAAGATAAAGATAGATGAAGTAGTGAACTAGTTATCGTGCTTGTTGATGTTTGGTCTTCACGGGGGCGCCAGGGTTCCCAGTTCCCAGTCACAAATAACACTGTTATTCGATATTGTTTGTCTCCCATAAGTGAAGCAAGTGACCTCAATATTTCAACGACATTTCTGCGGCCAGCCGCCAGGAAGGGTTCTTAGAAGAAGTGGCCAACTACGTTGAGTCCAATATGTCCAGTGATGCGGACAAGGTCTTACAAACTCGAGTCGCAGCTGGGCTTTGTTGGTCCCCCTTTAAACACCCTTAAACAACGGCAAACTAATGGGAAAATATGGAAAATGCAGGAAAATATGGGAAAATCATGGAACATCTCTGTAAATGGGGGTTTTAATCGGGACAATCATCGAACTAAATGGTGGATTGCCCATTGCCACGTTTGACTAATTGCATTGCTTGCAGTAAATGGGGCAATAAGGCTTTGTACCATCCTGCCTTGATATTTCAGGGTATCAGATTGGCCATGACATGCTCTGGACCTGGAGCCTTTTGATTCGAAGCTGCTTGGGGTGTTGTGAACATCACCCGAAATTAGAACTGGTGAATTCTAGCTAGATGACCCCCTTTCCAGGTGGGAAGTAGTCACCACCTCATGGTGACTGCAGGTGACTGTGACGACCTTGTACAATGTGCAGTTGGCTGAGATGGACTTGGCACATGCCGCCAGGGATTTCAGTGATGCTGTGGAAGTTTCCCTGCGATGTAGCGAGGCTCATGAGAACCTCGGAGCTTCAAACGCTGCCGCGGTGGGGGTGGAAAAGGATGGCCATACAGAGATTCTGTCCGAGTCCATGGCAATGTTGTTTTGGGAAATAGCTAACTTGGCCATGGATGAAATAGTCAAGCTACATAAACCCATATAAATCCATATAAATTTAGTTCGTTGCCAAGACTTTGTTTTCTGCAGAGTCTTGCAGCTACAAACTTCCCAGTTGCTCCATCCACTGGACCGATTTTTCATAGCCATAGAATGTATACCATAGCCATTCTCAGCAGCCCTTGAGGAGCCCGTTGCTGTTGCTGCTGCGTGCCTATTCCACCCTGAAACTGGCCTCGTTGGGGAACTTTGACTTCTACGCTGAAGGTTTCAGGGCCATCGCGCGAGCTTTGCCGAAGTTGGAGGAGACTTGGCAGTGGAGATGTGCCATGTGCCATGTGCCATGAGCTTCCCATGGTGTTGGCTTGTCCAAAAATAGGGAGGGAGGCCCCCAAAGTTGCAAATCTTTAATTGGAGAAAGCCATGATTTTGTTGTAATTCACCCATGGGTTTAGAGCATTTTTCGACAAAAACCATCTTTCCAAGGACTTGTCCCAGAGGCACCCATAATATGCTATTTATAGGCACCAACTGGAGTGTATCAAGGGGCTTGTGACAGTTGACAATGCTTTCTCCTATCCTAAGGAGAGATCCTGGAGGAGGGCCTATCATGTGCCCATTGCGAATGGAAAGAACCTGTTTCTCAGCTGATTTTCCCAAGAATCCTGCAGCAGTTCTCAGGGCAGTCTAGGACTCAAATGTGATCTTTAGATTTGAAATAGAAACACCTGGTTTTACGCATATGCTATGCATTTTCTGATGGAAAGTGGAAACCGTTCATTCTTTTTTTTGGACATACATGTGACCTTCAGCCTTTATGATTGATCTTGTGGAAGACAACTTTCAGACCCAGCCACAAACAGCCCCCAACTGGCCCCACAGATGCGCTCATTGAGGTTTCAGCCTTGGGAAGTCTCCTCATTGCTTTGCTTGGTCAACGTTTTTGATGATGTCCCCCAGTCCCAAAAGTCCCAAAAGTCCTACAGAATTGGAATGAGAATTGAATGAGACCATAGTTATCCATAGTTCATTCCCAGGAACGAACCTCAGATATGAAATGACCTTTGATTACCATTTGGGAGGTTGGCCTGCCATGTCATGGAGCTACGTCTCGAAGCACTGAAGCTATTTCACTGCGTTCCAAACATCATGCATAGTTCATACGTAGCAGCATTAACCTTAGTTCTTTTCGTATATCTGAGATAAAGATACCTAAAGATAGGACAGAGCGTTTTTTTCTGAGATTGTTTGTTTTGCCTTTAGTTTTTCAAGTGTCCATTCCTCAAGGTCTTTCTTTTCTTCATGAAGTCTGATTGGCCCGTCCATGGCTTGCTCAGCTGGCGTCGTGGCACTGCTGTAGCAAGCTTCAAAGAACTGGAATGGGGGGGGCATTCAGGTGCCGCAAACGGGCGGGGAACCGGTGGCAGGTGGCAGCTGCAACTGGATGGCTAACGCCTATGTGAAGGGATATGCAGTTTCAATACCATCTTTGTTTGCAATAGAAAGACGCGACTCATCTTAAATCCACGTTTTCTCTGGTTAAAATCCAACTTTCTCCGACTTAAATCCAATTTTCCATCTCTAAAATCGCATTTTCTTGGAAATCCCGATTTTCCCCCCCAGTTTCATCACCACTTTCACGACATTCGCCCAATCCTCAGCCCCAGGTGCCACCTTGTTTTTGGACGTTCTCCGCCAGCCTTGCCGCGGGATGATGGCCCGGCAGGCCCCCACCGACCTGGGTGCAGTGGAATGGCAGGAGGTCATCCAGCAGTTGGAGTCGGAAGGGGCGGAGGATCCACGTGGCAACTTGAGAGATGCTGGGACTTGGGATTTCATGGGAAAATATTAGGGAAACATGTGGGAAAAGTAGGGAAATCCACAATAAATGGGGGTTTTGGGATGATTTCGCCGCGGAAAACCAGGGAAAATACTAGGATCAATGATGGAGGTTTTAGGGAAAACTATGGGAACGTGATATAAAATGATGGGATTAATAGTGATTAATGGAATAATTACTGTAACTGTCACAATTATGATGATTATTATATGATTATTATATGATTATTATATGATTATTATATGATTATTATATGATTATTATATGATTATTATATGATTATTATATGGTTATTATATGATTATTCTATGAGTAATGGGACAGTCAAAATCAACTAACAACTATTCACCTGGATTTGCGGTTTGTCGATGACTTGGCTTATGTGCCCCAATGGATCCTAAGAAAATCAACTATTTGGGGAACGGGTATGGAGAAGAAGATGTTTATGTTCTTGCGGGGGTTGCTTAAGCCTTAAGCACATCCAAGTTTTAGCAGTGAGAATGGGGTTAAAGCACCAATTTTGCTTGATCAGGGTCCGATACGATGATATGTTAGGTTTAGTGTGACCAAAAATTGGGATGAAAAACTAGATATACATATGTATATATATATATTGTATTATATATATATATATGTGTGTGTGTGTGGCGATTGGATGTCATTGATGTGGCTTAGTTTAAGGGCCAGGGGCTGGCAAAGTTAGGTCACTTTCGGTATTTATCGTTGGCTTTGATGGCCTTAAGATCTATACCCAACTTGGAATTTCACCAGCCACCAAAGGAAGTGTTGGCCGCTACCGCTGGCAGCAGTTTGGACTATGTTCCGGAGCCGGTCGAGAAATGGCATGCAACAGAACGCTGGGAGATAGATCGGCCGCAGGGGGAGATTGCCATGTCGTTAGTGAATTTCAACAACCGCTTAGTGTGGCTTGTGCTGATTTAGCACTTGAGCAATCTTTGGTATGGGCAGACTTAGTAAACCCTCAAGAGATCTCAAGAGGCAACCATGACCAGTTTACAATTTTTGGGGGATGCATCCAGTCCGATTTGATAATTTCTTGGATTGTGGGTTTTAAGCCTCTCATGTTTGTTGTTTGACCCCCGCCTTGACGAGGCCATCTACATAATTCCTTTGACTTGAACTGCAGGTGTTTGTTTTTTGCCATTAAAAAACTGTTCTCGACCTTGGCCCTGACTAGTGTTGAGCCTTGTCCACAAAGCCCTGCCTAGCAAAATGCCCCAATTCATCATCCGTATGCAAAAAGCACTTCACGTATGGTTACCTTCAATTCTTTCAAAATCATGTGCAGGTGTTTTTGGATGGTTTTGGGATGTTCTTGAGATCTTCAGATGTTTCCCTTTTTTTTGACCATGTCTTAGTTGCAACTGCCAAATCTTTCACCCAGGCGCTTGTTGGATCAGATCCGCACCGAAAACGCCCTGCCGGGCGCCGACCGCCCAGTGCCCTGCTCCCTGCTGCAAGACGTCCGGGCGAAGCTGCGCACGGCCGCGGGGTTTCAGACGGCCTTCGTGCAGGGCTCCAGTTCCAGGGGGACCTCGGTGGATGACATGGGCGGCTTGGCGCCTTGGAAATGATGTAGCTAGGTGGTGCTCTCAGTGCTAGCCCTTGGATCACCACACACACACACATATATATATATAAATAGATTATATTGATAGATATTGCTATAACTGGCTATAAACATATTTGTGGGGGGATGAATATGAACATCTATTTTCTACAGCTATTTGTGTGCGGACAAAATGATACCAGGATGCACCAGGGTTTTAACCCTTATCCATTTCTGGTCTTTCCACTTGCCATCAAGGATTGGGGTCAGGACTGCGCCAGCGACATCGATTTTGTGCTTCTCTTCACCACACCAGATCCGGCGGATCCTTCACCCGATGCCTTCAAGGAACTGTGGAAGACGACGGAGGAACAGCTGGCTGGTTGGGACATGGATCCAGGTGTTCCGGTGACACTGAGTCGGGGAAGGTTCGGCTTGGTGGCATCTCTGTCCGAAGATTTGCAAATTGAGGTGAGCTGTGGTGAAACTGCTTTGGGCCCTTTTTTTGCGGAAGTTTTCTTTTTCACATTTCATGGTCTACTGGCTGATGTTTCCAAATGCCAACTGATTTTATGTGCATACTATGTTCCTATGTTCTGGCTTGTTCAAGAGTTCACCATCCAACATATATCTCCCAAAACATCACCAGCCCCTGCCTCAGGTGGACCTGATCCCAGCCATTTCAGATCCCCAAGGTGGCCATTGGATCTTGGATTCGGTGTCTGGAAAGGTCATCCACAACAATCCCAAAGCCCTGGCTGAGTTCATGGATCGGCAACTTGGAGAAGGGTCATGGTGGTGTTTTTTGGATGTAAAATTGCCTTGGGATCCGAAAGAAGCTATTGGAAAATGAATGACATATGATATGGGAAGAACTCTAGGCTCAGCTTTAAGCTTTTTTCAGGCGTGTCAGGTTAGTCCGCAAGTCATGATGTAACACATTGCATAGTCCAAATCAAGTTCCATTCTCGAAACCTTTTTCTTTACTGCCAGCCGTCATCCCGAGGAAGGTGGCAACTTGTTTTGGTTGGGCTGACCTGGTCGTCCTCTGCAAGTTTTGGAACAAGCGCCGGCGAGTCGCTGTGAATGGGCGGATGAAATCGCCCTTCACATCTCTTCATGTGGAAGTTGCCCTCACTACCCTGGAGGCAGATGGAATATGATGGAATATAAAAACCGTGCTGTCCATTGGTCAGATGCATTCAGATGTTTTAAGGATTTTATGTTTGATAGAGGTTAGCCTCGATCATACTATGGTCGTTGACGTAGAGATAGTTAATGGCAAAATCTTGTTCACAACGCTTGGGGTCTTGCCAGTGAACCGCACAGCCTTTGCGATGTCTGCAACCTTGAGCTGAGTGAACCAAGATCTTTTTGTCCTATGCCTCATCATCAGTCTTGAAAATTCAAGGACAAGTCATCACCATCCATGTCCAACCCAATTTTTCCATGTGTTTTCTGAGGATTTTCGCCATCCCCAAACCCCGTTTCAGGCCCCGTTGCCGCCCCGTTTGGACGCCGCCTTCCACCTGGCCCTCCGCGCCCTCCACGCGCAGCGCGACGCCTCGCCGGCGCCGTGGACGGGGCGCCCGGTGGCGGAGTACCTGGCGGAGGACGCGAAGCGGCGCCATGGGGCCGTGGAGCAACTGGAGAAGGCCATTGGTGTCGTGGAGGACTACTCTGTGATGATTTGGGGGCTTGGAGTGGGTATAAGCGATGAAAATAACTGTGAAGATTGTTATAATTTGGTTTTTGTACACCAAATTTTTTGGCGGAAGTTGAGGTGGAAAGGACCTAAAGCTGCTGGTATTTATGCCATGTCCAAAAAACACAGATGATTCATGCAAGAAAAATTGGTGTTCGATCATTCGATCTCCGAAAGTTGAGGATAGAAGCTGGTTTGAATGGAAGTGGTGGGGATGTTTATTGTTTTAAACATATGTCAGAACCAATGGAATAATGTGCCATTGATTCCCCGAAATTGCAAGGAGGTGCCTTAAGCCTTAAACAAAACAGATTAGATATATTAGAAACCGGGCACGTAATCCGCAAGCAGCTGGAATGAGTCCCAAGCCAAGTGGTCAACCATGCGCTGCATCCCATGCAGGACGTACTGAGAAAACCACGATCGGCGCCACAAACAGAGGCATTGGTGGAACTCTTTCAGCTCACAGATGAAGAAGTGTCCAAGTTTTTCTGACCATAAAGCCAGGGAAAAAAATCAACCGTTCTGCAGTTGGTGCATGGTTGGGTGTGAGGTGTTGCTTTCTCTAAAAAAATGAACAGCTATATAAATCTATATAACACATCAGTCACTTGTGGCAAGTGAGTGACTATAATGTTGGAATGGCTTCATGCGTGCCTTGGGCAGTTTGGATTTCTGATAGAAGTTGTTCCAATGGCATTGGGGAAGCATTAAGCATCAGAACTTACTTAAGAGACATCACAAGCAGTTGCGACATGTAATGCCCTCCCCTGAGTAGTGAATATTGGCGAAAATACCTCTTTTAGGATTGGATCGATTCATTTGGGATCCCTTTATTGGGGTACTAAATCTTATGAGAAAGAGATCAGTGATTAGTTCCCATAAAAGATCCATGTGGATTCGTACAGTTGGAACACCATAGCATCTTGCACAAGAAGACATCCATCACGTTGCAAAGTCACGTGTTTCCATGTTTCCATCCAGTTGGTCTAATGTAAGAGAATATGTAAAGTGATTTGTTCCAGCTCATGATCCATGCAAAGTGATTTGTTCCAGCTCATTCCAACTCCCAATGTTATACCCTTGTCATATGTACTCCCCAGTCATTGATCCCGATTAATCCAGCTAATATCACATTCACTTGGTATGAATTTGGTATTCTAACTATACATCCCCATTATTTTCTTATTGTATCCTCACTATATCCCATGTTGTCCGCATTGTATCCTCATCATACCCTACCCTCATTATTTATATCTTCATTGTGTCTTCATTGTGTATATATCATATGCTTATATCATCGTATATCTCAGTATCCCAATGATAATCCCCTTTCATCCCAGGGCCGTTGATTTCGCCCATTTGCCGCGCAGGAGCTGGCCACTCCCGAGGGCCGCCGCCGCTGGGCCACTGGCGCTGTGCCGCCGAACGCCGCAGCGGTGGCGGAGGCAGCGCAGCGGCCGTTCGAAGAATATGTGGCTCGGCCATGGTAAAAACCATGGAAATCCACGGAAATCTTAGAATATCTTGGAATACCAAATGGGTGGGAATGATTTTATTCGAAGATTTTATGGATTTTTTAACGGTTCAGGGTATTGGGAATCCAGGCGTATCAAGTGTTCAGGTATGCTTTAGGGACACCGATAAGCATGCGATGGATGAACGGGGACATAAAAAAGAAAACAAAACAGGCGGAATTTCCGGAAGGATGCGGCGGAAGTACTATGATTATGTTTGCTTTCTCAAGATAAGGTTCATTTCTGCCGCCATTGATGCATCAACAATTGGTGTTTCGCGTTGGAACCTTCACCATAGGAATATGGCAGGAATGATTTGCCATTTAGTTGTATAGGTGTTGACCAGGTGTTGGCTCCCAAAGATGTAGTCCATTAACTGTTGATTTTGCGGTTCGAACCAATATCGACTATCACATTTTCATTGGCAGCAGGCCATGTTCCCAGCCGTATCCCCCAGGTTCTCCTAGTTGCCGCCCCAGCATGACACCAGCTGCCAACATTGCTAAGATTGCGCTAAGGAGACACTGGAGAATGAGATCTTCGATTTGGGGCAAAGTCCATCCCCAAGACAGAAGAAACAGCGACTTGGTGTTGGCAGAAATTGGGTATGGGATATTGCTTTGTTGTTGTGATGAGGCTGTTGACTGAGGCTTTAGTTTGAGGGGGAACCATCGGGTGACCATCACAATCATATTGGAATTTCTTTTTGATGCTGCCATACTTGGGTACGTGATGGTACATGTCACATCCATTCACCATACATCCATCCCTTATCTCCCCCCATTGATGGAATTTCCGGAGCCCCACACTAATCTGAGCACTATTCCCAGTGGCGAGTCTTCCGTGGGCAATTTTGTAAACCGTAAATCCACCATGTGTGTTTCTACACAAAGTTTGATGCCATTGAGCCCCCAGTCTCATAGATCTCATTGCAATTCCCAAAACTTCAGCGATTAATTCATCCCACGACCCGTCCAAGTAAAGGTATTTTATTGTTGATTGAGATCCCAGCATTGAGACTATTTTCATAGTGGATCGATTTGGTTTATATCCAACATGGTCTTTGTCGCAGATAAGATATGTTTCAAACAATCCACCTCGATCATCCAACAATCCAACCAGTATATTATTAAACCTCAGGCATATCTGCCTATTATCAATCTCATTATTATTATGCCAATGATTGATAGGAAATCCCAATAGTTTGATAACCACCGCAGGTTGAGCCCCAACCCATCATCCCCCAGGAAGCGCCCCTTCCAAGAGGCGGGCCGCCGCTGGCAGGAGCGCAAGCTGCGCGTCAGCGGCCGCGCCAGCGCGGCGCCGGAGAACTCGGCCAAGGTGAAGGGCGAGCGAAGGAGGCATCGCCATGTGACCGGGGGGCGTTGATGTGTTTTTTGGGGTGGGAAATTGGTTGGTGGTTGAGTTGTTATGGGTTGCTAACATGGTTTTCTGTGATGTTGTTCTTTTTGTTGCTGTTGTTGTTTTGTTTTTTGTTGAGTCTGGTTGATTTTGTTCCTGTTTATTTGTTATTAAAGGTGTAGATGTTGTTTTGGTTGAGTTGTTTCAGTTTTCCTGTGCAATCCAGCATGAGATGGAACAGTATGATTTCTTTCAAACCCTTTGTAAATCCAAAAGCACATTGTAGAATGAACGCTGGAAACTGTGATGTGAAGTCGCCTTATTTTGCCGACCCTTTATCATGACATATCATGACAATGGGTGCCGGAAGCATTAAATATGCAAAGCTGTTGCTGATGGTTCCAATATGTTCCCATGCCAAAGATGACAACTACAGCCAGAATTTGTTTGCCGTGTAAACCAACAAGATTGATCATGTGTCAAACGGTGAAACTACCGCAGGGTTCCCCGCAATCATTGGGTACACTGTTCTCACCCACTTGTTTGATCGCCGCTAACTGGCCAGGGAGTGGGAGGCTGACCTCGTCAAAGGCTTCCATCGCGACCGCAGTCGCTACAAGAAGAGCAAACCCTGGCAGAAGAAGCGGAAGTGAAACATCCGGGGCGCGAACCTGATGAGGCTCAGCAAATGATTGGTTCCTAGATGTTACAGGTGACTGGCTAATAAGACATTCAAAAGCAAGACTTTGGAGAAAGGTTGCCAGTTGCAAACTATAGCGAGTGGTTTAAGGTTTCATTCGAGATGAAACAGTAAACTGCAATCCGTCGCCATTCGTGTTATGAACAGTGACAGGTTAAAGACTTGAGTGAATTCACGCTGAGACTGGAATGTTGTTTGGTATGTCTCCTGAAGAGTTTGCTTTTTATTCATGGGACAGGAGGAGAAATACGTTGCGTTTCTTGTAGCAATCTGCGTCGCCCTCCATTTTCCAAGAGGAGGCATTTGTTCCTCCTGGCGCCCGAGACCTGCACCGAGCACATAAATGTCTTGGAAAAGTGCGCGCGGCGCATTTGATGTAAAAGATCTGTGAACCGGGGCTTACAAAAGCCAAGTGGCGTACCTGAGGCCTATAAAGGATTGTCCCAGGTTTCCAATCATGCAGTGATTTGGTTTCCATACCTTGAAATCAGAAAGCAATTGTAAGGTTTGGTTCAGTTGTTGCTACCTGAGGCGGATGTGTTCCGCGTGGACTATTTTGAGGCCTGGATGGTATTTCCATGGCTGGTCACTAAGAGTCATCATGTCAGAGCCGCTGTAGTTTTAATGGGCGAAACCAGCGTTAGTCCAGGGAGTTGCTAGTGTGAAACCCTGCCATGCTTAGGGCCATTGAAGCAATCCTGATATCGGCCAGGGCAATGCCTACTTGGCACAAAGTCCTCAGTTGTACAAACAGATGGCCTTGATGACCGATATGCCGGGGAAGCTCAGGTGCATCTAGTCCAAATGGAGTAGAAAATGTTGGACGATTGGAAGATGAGGAATGAGGTGATCCTGTTAAGGCCCGCAAGTTATTTCACAATGATGTTTTGCTGTTCTGCTTCGTAATGTCCTTTTTGACTTGCGGTAGTTTGGTGTTAACATTTTCCATGGGTTGCACTGAGCCAGTGCTTCAGCAACCAGCTCCCAGTAGTGCCGACTTCAGATCACCAGCCTAGGCCTCGAGTCTTTGAGGTGGGCCCGATCTTTCGATCTGAGAAGTCCTTCACTCACAGGCCAGCCTGGAACACTGGACACGGCCATGTTTGGTCTCGCTTGCATGGGAATACCGGAATAATTACCACAAAGTGCTGTACACACCTTGCAACCACCATGTTTGTTCATGGTGGTGATATGGCATCAAAAGAAGACAGCAGTCTTTGAAGCTGATAATTCCCTTGATTTTCCTTGCGGTCCCCTTTTGTGTTCTTGTCACGTGACTTTCTTTGCGCCCATCAGCCAGCTTGTGTTGCCAGACATATGACCGAGTTCACTGGGCTTGACATAGAGATGACGTTCAAGGATCACTACCATGAGGCCGGCTGAGCCTTTTTGTTTGCGGAAGGTCAGGTCATGTGTTATTTTTGAACGGAGGGCTTTTAAGCAAGGTCAATATAGATTGTTGGTGCGCCAATGTAACACGTGACCAGCAGGGAAATGTCCATCCTCAACAGGACCATTCTCGACGATGATCCCCATAGATACATACGAGCAACGAGATTTGAATATGTTACCAATCCATGTTCCTTTTTTCTTTAATTACCATATGTTTTGTTGAAATTCACCACTGGAAGCACAGTATGTCCAATCCCCCATTAATCCCGCTTCCTGAGCCGGTCCAACAGATCCAGGTCTTGGATGTTTTGGACGGTTTGTTCAATCACATCTTTAAAGGCAGTGTGGGTCGTCACGGTAATCATGATGCTTGGGGGGTGGGGGAATGGGTGTGATTCCGATTAAACATGGTTCGCTAAACAAATTCAACCATCTCAACCACCTGGCCGTGCCTGAAAAGAGCAACCACTTGACTTGATATAGTGTGATTGCATTGGCCTTGACATGCCTGGGCAAGTCCAGGCGGATAATTATTCGAAGTGGCACGGGGCTGCAGGGTTGACACAACTCAGTTACTCCGTTGTTAATGATTTATTAATGGTGAACCATGTTGTTGTCTCCTACAAGGCTCCTTAGTCAAGCCTCAGGACGCGGCAAAGAAATTATAGTTCCATCCCTTGACGAAAGTGAAGCCACTTTGCCACGCACATCTTATGGAATTGTGTTTTTCCATTGGCTTCAGGCCAGTCAATTGGCTCAAATGCTGCCCTTGCATGGTGTTTCTGCTTTTGCGCAGAAAATAATGAGCTCTGTGTGCGCCCAATGTTGGCCACACGATGCCAAAGAATTGCTACATGCGAAGAATTTCATGCACCAGATTTTTGGCTATGAGACCTTTGGTCCCAGGGCTGATGCCCAGTACCGTTGATGATTGGGGTTTGGACAGCCACATCTCACACCAATGTTTTCTGAGAAAATTAGAAGTGATCAACAAGAAGCTCAACGAGCATTTGCGGAAACAAAGATGGCCAAAACTGACTCATGTGGATGTTGGAGGTGCAGTTCTTCAACTGCCTATTAAACCAGAGGCCCTTCTGGCAAGCAAAATTCCTTCTGTTCAGGCAGATTTGGCCTATTTGGCAGGTGTTTTTGATGGTGACGGCTGCGTAAGTCCAACAGCAGATATCCATATTTCTAGCTGCCGGTTAATTGTCGGGCAAGTAGCTTCCAACATTCCGATCCTCCTTGCTTTCTTGTGCCGATTTGGCGGGAGCATTGCTGTTGGAAATCCAGGCAAAGGGTGTAGACGGCCGCAAGTCCAGTGGACAGCTTGTGGGTCCAGAGCTCGTGCAGTAGCTTCAGAACTCTATGAACATAGCCTGGTGAAAAGGGAACAGCTTGAAATTGCAACGAACTGGCCAGAATGCAGAAGCAGAAGAATGAAATATGCTGCAAGACTGAAGGACTTGAAACGGTCAGCTCCAAACATTACAAGAAGGGTGATTTGCTGGCCCTATTTCACGGGTTTCTTTGATGCAGAAGGATGCATTGTCGTTTCGCCACTAAACAGGAATGTGCGTGTACAGGTTTCCCAGAGGGATGTTCCCATTTTGATCTCCATGCAAAGTTTTCTTCTGCATGAACTCCCCGCTGGTAGCCATGTAGCAGTCAGAAAGTCCTCGCAGTTTGGACATATTCTAGAGGTATCATCCAGGAAGGCGGTGCTTTACATATTGGAGAAGATGGTTGCCAATAGGTTGTTGCTGAAGCGCGTCACTGCCGAGCACGTTTTGGATTCGATTGGTTCTTCGCTTGCTGTGCTGCGAGGTGCTGAGCCACTTGTGAAAGGGAACCAGGCCCTTTTCCGGAAGTTGGATGCTGAAGGCTGCTTCAGGGCCAGCAAAATTAAACGATTGCAGGACAAATGCCGGTGTGCGAGGATCCGCGGCCACCTCCTGACAGTTTCAGAGTTGCAGAACCAGCTGACCGATGCCAAGTTAGAACATGCAATTTTGAACGCCATGACTCGAATCAAGCAGCTGCGTTCAGAGATAGCAAAGCTTAGATCGCAGGCCCGGCACATTCCAACTAAGGTTTTCCAATGGCCATAAGTGTTGGTCCGCGAAAGCGGTTGACAGAAAGGATGAAAAAGTGTGGCACCGGCGCCAAGCTAGGGGAAAGTTGCAATGTTCTAAAAATATGCAAGGCATTTGACAGTGAAAGTGGTTAGGGTCTAGCATCTCAGCAAATGCAAAGTGTGCAATGGCTTGGACATTCAAGTGGCGAGTGAACATGTCGAGTTTGACCTTTTATATAGCCAACCGGCCAACCGGGAGGATCCGCTGTAGTGTAGTGTGGTTTAGTTAGCCTGCAGGTCAGGGGTTCGGCTCCGTACATGTTCCTTTTTAATCCTTTTTCATGTCGGTCTTCAAAGGGCACCTTGCGGGCCGTTCCAGAGAGGTAAACCGGTAAACCAATCAAGAACGTGATGCTTGAGGAGGAAATATCAAGAAGCCAATCCAACACCACAATCTGAAGAGCAGCATTGTCCCAGCAACTCATCCAGTTACCAAGGTGATGTTGAAATACCTCTGTCAAGCCTCCTGAAGCAGTGTGCAGGCCTGACCGAGCGATTTGCTCGAGAGATCGAGGCTGTGAAGACCCAATATCCCTTCGAGGACTGGGACGCTTGGTTTCAGATAACAGGCAGAGCCATGAGTTGGTTGGTGTCAGAACCTGGTGATGGCTGGCAAGGGGCGCAGTCTTGTTGGGTGTCAGCACCTGCGACTGTGCATGGGCACGTTCAACTTCAACTTTTTTTTGATTGATGGCAAATGGTTTCTGCAGTGCTAAGTCTCAAGAGCCCGAAGGGGCAGAAAAGTCAACATGATCACCAGTCGGACTCTTAACAGAATATTATAGAATATGTGTGCCTGTTTTTGGTCAACTACATCCACATGGTTCACCGTCTCAATTGCAGTGGTTTGGCATGTCTTCATAGCCAAACGTGGCGCCGAAGGATCTCAAGTGGAAGCATCCCTGCCTCCGACTGAAGATTTGCTGGCATATTTTGAAGATTCTACTCGAGCCAGTTGCTTCTCCTAGGGGTCCACCTCTTATAAGCTGTAAGATGTTGAAAGTAAATAGGTTGAGCCCAGACTTATACTTTTGCTTGGTTCCTTTTGTGGCTGGATTTAGGACAGAGTTGCTCGTGATCTGAAACTTTTCTTGGCTGGTACTTATTCAAGTTGCCTGCGGACTGCAGTGTTTGGCTTCAGCGCTTTGGTTGCGGTCACACGGGTTGCAAAAGCACAAGCCGCAACAAGAGGATTTTAGAGTTTCAGATCCAAACACGGAAAGTGCACAATGACCTTAAGAACTCCTCACAGAACTCATCAAACTCTGCATTGTTTATTGTTGCAACAGTCTTTCCGACATTAAGCCCAAACCTCCTGTAAGTCAGCATTTCCATGTTGCCAAAGCCTACCCCAACCCCCACACGAGCCCACACCCATCATTGAGCTTCCATTTATTTCCTGGCGCTTTCCTTTGAACCAGTTTGGTTTTTGGATCCACCACATCAACCGCAGTCACCCCCCATCCCCCCAGCCCAACCCCAGCCCCGCCCCCTGCATCGCTCCACAGCATGCCGCCCGCCACGAAGGGCGCGGCAGCGCTCAGCGCGTCGCTGGCGCTGCCCATGGAGCACTTCTTGGAGCTGCCGCCCCTGCGGTGCACCTGGCGGACGCAGCAGCTGGGGGAACCCAATGGCTACGGTGGGGCCGGTGGATGGGGTGAAGAATCTGGTGGTGCAACATGAACTTTAAAACATGTTTATCCAATATTATCCACGGCGTTGAACAAAAAGTTCATTGACGGTAAATGTTTGAATGATACTGTCAAGAAGTATAACAGAACAACTGACAACTGGGGAAGCCTCAAGATGCGACGCAGGTCATTTTGAGAGCCACCTGCCCACACACCCTACAACGTCATCCTATGCTCCCGCTGCCTTAGGTCCTCCGCCTCCTCTAGCCCTTCAGAACCCACGAGACGAAGTGTGGACTCAGCAACTTGGTGGGAGGAGGCATGTTGCATTCCACATTTTTCTGGAAATCTCACCGCAGATATCTCCAGATCCTTTTGTCTTAAACACAATTTATGCTTATGTTTATTTATATCTCCAGATATCATATATATATATATGTGTGTATTTATGTTTGCATCTTATGACTCTCCGATCATCCAATGGGGCTGAGACCTTTTCCAGATGAGAAGCAAGCTTCCCGGACATCTGGCATGCAACATATTGCAACCAACCTTGATAAACAACTCCAGTCATTCATGATATTGGCCTATGGTTCTGTAATCAAATGCAGTCGCCATTCACTGTTTCACTGTTTCGGGCACAAAAGGTTTGGTCCTTGCCGCCGGTGCATGTTTAAATGAAAATGCTTCAACAACAGACCAAGATTAAAAGCAAACAATCACCATGAATCCAATCATAGTTTGACATAGCAAATCTTCAGCATGCCATCAGCACCATGCACCATGCACTTAGGAGATGCCAATCTCCTGGATCTCGGATCACACAGAGATTCGGCGACTCACAAGGACCAGCATCGAACCTTGGAAGGAATCGACCAGCCATGGCGGGTGACCTATGTGGGCCGTTGGGCGAACTCTGTTTGGGGATGGGGTGTGAAGAGGTGTGAAGGGTCATAGTTGGTTGGGATGGCAACATGTTTTTTGTTCATGTGTTTTTTCCCACTAAGATTGGAGTGGATTCACCTTGGGGGGTTGACCTTGGGGATTCGTTTGGGGCTTGGGTTTTGGATGCTGACATGGTTTTCCAGCTACCCATTGGTAGCTTGAAAACAGTTGGACCTGCGCTCCACTGAGGAGAGTTGGGAAAGTCCAAAGTCTCTGAACTGTTTGCGCGTCTTTCCCGGGACAGCCATGGTGATAGAGGCCGGCAATGTGAAGGGGTGGGGTGATGGCACGGTTTGAAGAAATCATGATGTTCTTGCCTTGGATTGCCTTGGTAATCGGCAGCATCTCTGAACCAATAGGAACTCAATCATTATGGAAGATTATGCGAGTGGTTTTCTATAATTTTACCATGCAAAAAAAAAGATAAACAAAGAACAAAAAAAACAAACCTTCCATATCCTTCTTATATTTGGTTTTGTCATTAATTTTACCATATTTTACCCAAAACACCAAACCATCCATCCATATCCATCCAGTATAAATTTCACCCATACCTGTGGACTAACCATTGGTTGGTTGGCAGAAGTCCCACCGTTCAGGGCTCGCCATCCTCCTGGGCTTCCAGCGACACCGAAGCGGTGGACCCGGAGGAGAGTTCTGCCGCTGGGAAGCAAAAGGCACCAGGTTGTTTGGGGGAATGAGAAATGTATGGATTTAATGATGGGAGTATCTGTAAATTTTAGTATAATAATGTGTATATGAATATAATTGTATATATGTATATAGAGAGGGATTTAGTACGGTATATAAGTATATACTCATTGTTTGATTGTGTATGCAGGAGGTTGCACATGAAGATCAGTCAACTTTTTTTTAATCCCGAGATGTTTATATCTAATTACTCTATGTATCTCTATGTTTTCCGTAATCATCCCGACTTGGTTGGAGATTCGTTTTGATCCTCTATGTTGGGATGTTTTTTTTTTTTAACTGCAGACCTTCACTACTTGACCATATGCAAATGAGTGCTTTTGGAGGCTCCCGCAACAATGGGAAGAATCCAGGGTCCACTAAGCCAGGGTGAGTTTGAATGTTGTTGGGTTTCCCCGAGCGCAATTCGCTTAGGCTTAAGAAATTACGCTAAATTACAGCTTTCCATCATAAATAAACACCAACCATTGACTCATTCCAAGCAGGGAAATTACATTTTGGACCCAGTGTGTTGGAACTTATGCTGTGGTGCCAGTCTTAGTGGGAGATGTTTTTTTTTCATTTTTTTTGCGTCGTTCATTTGCCGGTTGGCAGGCTCATTTCGTGGGGGGTCTCGAATATACCAAGCTTGCATAACTTTGCATACGTCTACACGTGTTGTTTGTTTACATGTTGCAAGTAGCTTCGGACAACTGATCCCAGTTGACTGTTCAACATGTTGAGAGCAGGAACAGGTTGAACATCCTCAATTAGTAAGTTTTTGTTGATCCAAATTCACCAGTTTCTAAATGGTCCAATCTTAATTCTGTCCAAATTCATCCAATCCAAAATCATCAGTAGATCGTTGAATTTCAAAAAAAAAAACAAGCAAACAATAAGTAAATCAAGAAATCATCAGCCACTCAGTAAATCAGATTTTAGGCTGGCCTTCTGAATTTTGTTTTAATTGAGGGTTGGTTACATGTTTGTTACTCACCATGCTTGTTGTGTATCAAAATCCAATCTCAAATTACACTCATCTATTTTACATTGTTTGGAAAATCATCAGCCAATCTGAAAAAACACAATAATTTTGGGGTTCCATACTTCCATACCCCAAAATTTTAGGGTTCCATACCCCATTTTTCAACACAGCAATCAGCGTGCTTAATTTGGACAATCAATAATTAGTGTTACCCCCCAAAAAAACAAACAGCACCAAATTACAGATAACATTAAATCCAATATTTGTTAAATTTGTGTAAATCTACACGCCCAAAGAACAAACCAAACCCGCTTGCTGCGCCGCGCCGCAAATGATGAGGCTTCGGGCGCCCCCGAGGGCGTGACCTGCAGACATCCTCCCAGGAGACCGGTGAAATCGGTGAAGGTGGGGGGAAATCGGGGCGCTGGCAGAGGGGATGAAAGCACCAAGCAGTTGATCCAAGTTATAAAGGTTTTATCAATTATATATATATATATGGATTATATAGGTTATATAGATTATATAGGTTGTATAGTATAGATTTTAGATTATATAGATTCTCTTCCATGCTATGTCTTTTTTGGGGGCATTTAGTAGCTGATTCTATTGATCATGGATTGTATTGCTGCACATAGCATCACAAATAGCCAGAGGTCACAGATCAATGCGAAAGCGAGCATGAAATTGCCAATTACATATAGCCATAGATCATAGATTAAGATCAAGCTAATATGATTAATGAACATGTTTGATTACAGTGATTTCGAAGCCGTAGATGGCAACGACGTGGGTTGAACCCACAACATAAGCTGTTGACAGAGAGAATTGTTGCAACCACCGGTCCAAACCCAAAGAGCCAACAGACACTATATGTAGGTATAGCAACCCCCAAAAAGATCGAATAACTAAACTCCTCAAAAGAATTTAAATACACTGGCAATTCATTTGTCTATTTGGGGGTTATTACATTAATTGGCCCTGACTATTATCATTTTTAGAATGAGTTAGATATAACCATATTGTATATATATATATTATATCATATATATATATATATACACACATAAAGATGAACTATTGCAACTATTGTAGGAAAATGAACGCGCAGGTTTCGTGGCCTGAAGGCGTGACCAAGCCGCTGCCTCCCAAGCGGCCCGTGATCCAGGTGCCATGGGGAAGATGACCAAGCTCCATGAAGATGATCAAACTGGGTCGGAGAAGATGGGGGTAAGAATGGTAAGATGTCTTATACATTACATCACTGGTTGGTGGTTTGGAACATTTGGATTATTTTTCCAGATATCCAAATATTAGGAAGAATAATCCCATTTGATGGGGTAAGATGTCCTATACATCAACTATCATCAACTTAGCTGAATCCACACTGCCCAACCATGACGTCCCAACCGTAGCGGGTTGGAGGCTGCAGTGCGTCAAGCCTTGCGTTGGGCGCAGAAGGCAGATGGTATGGGACCTCAGAGCGGGATCAGCTGGGGATTCTGGTCCCAAATCTTGGGGGATGGTGTTTGTAAATATTGGAGGAGGGGTTAATCTGGGTAAATTATAACGACCAAACTCTGTTCTCCCTCACTGGAATAATGGTTAGTATTGCAAATCATCCCCAAATGGCCGAACTATTCAGGTTAGTGAAATATTATAATTTACCCAGGTTAATGGTATAAACATTACACCAGGAGTCATTATACCACCAAATGATGTTTCCAAATATTACACCTGATAAATGATGTTTCCAGTGATGGATCATGACTACACCGGTAATGTCACTCCTGTAGGGATGCACATCACTTGTAGCCACCTAAAAATCCAGAGAAAACCAGGGTGAAAGCTGTGAGGTGGTGTCTGGACCTTGACGAAAAAGTAGCCTCAGAGGCGTAGTTTCACCCTGACCCCGATGTATGCAGAAAGTCCAGGGAAACTCCACAGAGGCCTTGGTCCAGAAAGGGGGGCATATCCTTATGGGAACCCACCCAAAAAGATAGAAAAAAATCCCACTAAAATGATTCACTTCTCTACCCTCTGGTAAACTAGCATAGCTATGGAAAATCACTATTTTCAATGGGTAGATCCACTATAAATGGCCATTTACAATAGCTATGTTAGTTTACCAGAGGGTATCTTTTTTTTTGGGGATTTGCTATGAAACTGCAATTTTGTGGCCAACACGATGGCAAGCCACCGGATTTTGGCTTACCCAGTTTTGGGCACATGAAAAATTTGTCATGTTCAATCCTGGTGACCGTGATGAGGCCCCAAGCGACCAACCACCAAGCATGTTATGAATAGTTCTGGGTGGCTTAAACAACAACCCGCCCTTATCTGGTTGGTGGTTTGAAACATTTTTTTATGTTTCCATATATATTGGGAATAATACTCCCAACTGACTAATATTTTTCAGAGGGTTGAAACCAACAACCAGTTATTTTGGGTCAACTCTTAGTCTCATGTGACTTCTATTGTTTCAAAGTCACGCACAGTTTCGAACTTTGTGGAGTCGCTGAACTTTGTGTGTTTGAACCCATAGTGGATGCGGGGTGGTCGAGCCAGCCAAGCAACTTTAGCTTCATGTAGTGGTTGTTTTTTCGTTGATTTCATGGGCCACCTCATGCATCATCACTGTAACCTGCTGTCCTTCTGCGATCTTGAACGACCCTTGGGACCAGCAGATTCCATGTTTACCACTATCAGCAGTTACTTATTTATCAACTGGCTCACATCCACCCTGCGCTAAAAGTTATGGCCCCACAGTTTCTGGGCTGCCTAGACCGTACCCTGGTGCCAGGGAGCTCCTGCCCCAAGCCTTGTGGTTCTCATGGTCTATGAGTCTATGACTATTTCAGTTGAGGTGGATGGTCAATGTTCGCAAAAAGAAAAGAGGTTTTGCTTCATTATCAAGTTATGGCTGGGGAAGCGGGGCATGTCCACATATGCGAGATTTTAGCCGGACATTGCTGGGGTGATACAGAAGTGTGTGGAGATCTGGAGGGATTGAAACCTGGAAGATGTGAGATTGACACCAAGAACATCCAGGAACCCCTGGATCCAAGAGACACAGTTGTTCCCTCATCCTTCTTAGGAGTATAATCCTAGTGGGCCCGACCATTTTTCTCAAAGTGATGGGCCTATGCATCGTAAATATGATAGTTTCATACTGTGCAAGATGGAGTAAAGCTCTGTTATCAACCATGATTTCTTGTGAGTGTGCAGAATGCTGCAGCTACCAGGCCTTCAAAGTCAAGACATTTCAGGAGGCTCAAACGGAATGTTGTTTTCCACACTGTATTGGCCCATAATTTGAGTCGCTGTGCTGCAGCTGGCAGCAGTTTTTGGGAATGGGCGGTGCTCTCAGCATTCCATATCCAGCCAGCGGGCGAACTGTCATGTTAGTAGTTGTGTGTTGCGTTCTATTTCTTCTCATTTTCTCCTGATTCAAGGCCCGCATTGTTAGATGCAAGTGGCTGACAATACGCGCAAGCTAAACAGATTTGGGCACACCGCCCAGGTGTACGGAATGATTTAATTATCCACCCAGAACATAGTTGGGTGTATCCCTTGCATGTTCGCGAGCGTGGCCGCCACCAAGCGACAAGCTGATATGTGTGGGAAACCTTGAGGTCATCAGAAGTTCAGGACATGAGGGGCTTGAAGACTGCATTTTTTTTGGGGTCTGGCTTGGGAAATTTGAAATGGTGTCATGTATATATCCTGTATGTATATATATATATATATTTGAACATATATATTTGAACTGGTCAGTGGGGCCAGTTGCCTTCGAGCAATTTCAAAACGTCACTTGAGAAGAGCAGTGAGAGCTATAGTGCTGTTTTTGAACCAAACTTGGGATGTGTGGTTTGAGATGAACATATTTTTGGTATAGGTTAAAAATTGTTAAAACATGCTAAAACATGAGATGATTCCTGTGGTTTCCAGGGCCGTGGCCATGGCCTTGGCCACTTGGTGGTTGCCTGTGCCCACCCAACGGTGGCACGACAGGGACACTTCCCCCCCCAAAAAGCCCAGGGGACCATTGGGGGATCACCCGCAGCTGAGGAATCACGGTGTGTGTGAGTCAATCTGCATGAGTTACCCACCCCAAAGATGGCAATGGAAAAATCGATGAAAATCTTAAATAAATAGATTGTGTTTCAATTTCGGAAAATCATGTGTAAATGATTGTTCCATTGCTATGTTTGATTGCCAGAGGGTATAACGACCTCGCGTGCTATGTTTAGGGAATGACTGGTAAGCTGGAGGCCATGCACTTTGATAAACGTTTGGAAGGGGATAGACACCACGCCAAGTAAGGTCATTTGAATCTGCTTTCCATTGAAGATTCCTTTAGGAACAAGATGAACAGCGTCCAACCAGACCGAACTATATCATCTATATCGACGTCGTAACAATTAGGCAACCATGTCACTATAGATGATGATTAAGTTAGGGGAATCATCCACATAGTTACATTCATTTCTTGAGGTGGTGAAATGTTGCAATTCAGCGCGGTAAAGTTGACCAACCAGAAAATCATTGATTCATATTGTCATATTGGTTCTGATAAGGGTTGGACCCTCTCCAGCAGCTGTTTTGAGCTGAAAAGAACAAACACGGAGGGCCTCAGCCTCGGGTGCAGGGGGGAACAATGACCTGCCTTGATGGCCACAGGCAAAAATCATGCAGCGCGGCATTGCGGAGGGAGTTGAAGGTGAAACATGGTAGAGCTACCAAGTGGTCAACTAAAGCAGTTATATACACTTGTTATAGTTAGTGTTAGTTAAACTCTTAAATCTACTTGAAGAAAACGAGCATACAAGTAGTCAAAAACAATGAGGCCTTGCATCTTTGCATTTTTTCATCTTTGCACAGGTTTGTGTGAGTCTACCAGTGCTAGGACGCTGCAAGCTGCTTTGCGAACCGTGGCGCTCTGCCCCGCAGTTCCATTTGCACAGAACAACGCATGAAAAAGCATATGCTTTAAGTGAGCAGCTGGCCGTGCGGCTACAAACAAAATTCAACCAAAAACAGGGTAACATTGCAGTCTTCCAATCCCAAGGGGCTTCTTGATCACTTGAGACCCAGCAGCCAACCCATATGGCACTAAAATAAGAGTTCCTCAGATGGGCTGGTCATGCTGGTCATGCTGGCCATTTCAGTTCCATTCACGTTTTCCCACTTGAGCATGTGAATGTTGGGTGCCAGCAGTCCAAAACCACAGCTCTTGCAGTCACCGATATACAATCCGATACAGTCATTCTAGTCGCGGTTTCGAAAGATTTCACGGTTGCCTGGGCGCGCGTCTTTGCTGCAGTGGTGCCTCAAATATTGACAGGCTATATGGCTATACAGTTTGGTAGATGTTCAAGGCCCTGTAACATAGACGTGGTAAGATGACCCACAAAGGACAGTGATTTTATTCTTACATGTCTTGCATGAGGGAATGTGATGAGGACGTGAGATCACCCCATATATTTCATTGGAAAAGGAGGGACAAAAAGATAACACATAGATTTTCATGATTTTCCCATAGATTTTCCCATAGTTTTTCCCATAGTTTTTCCATTTTTCCACAGATTTTCTCTGAGACGACGTACTCTTCGAGGTTGCTGAGCGCCATGCGCGCCCTGAAAAATCCCGCTCTACAACGCTGGGGCGCCGTGTCGACATTGCTGCCGCTGCTGGCGGAAGCTTGGATGACCAGCCTTTGGGTCATCAAGTTGGAGTGTTTGATAAATGTTAACAATAGATATAGTATGTTACTGGGCTTGGCTCGCCTTTAGCCTTTGGCTAGACTCTTGGAGATGGCGATGGAGAGAGAGATATAGTATGTTAATACTTGGGTCATGTCATAGATTTAATCAACTGATTGACTGATTGTGTTAAAATTCTGCTGGTCCCAGCCAAAAAATGATTGAGCCCCACAGGAGAAAGAAACAGTAACTTCGCAAGATTCGCACGCTCCCCAGGCCTTCTGTGAGTTTCAATGTCAGAGTCTCAGGTTTTGAGCAGAGAGAGCCCCTTGCGCCGGGTTTTCGTAGAGTTCGTGATTTTGGCCCTGCGTGGCGCTACACCTGCGGCTGTGGCAGTTCTGCTGCTTGATGCAGTGAGGGTTGATTGGATGATTGGTGAGCGTAAGGAGTTCTGCTACTTGTACCTGGTGATTGCGGATTATAACCCATATTATAGGTATAGGGAAACCTAGCTGCCTAGCAACCAACTAGTATCATGAGATTGGATAGTGGTATTTTTAATGGCTCAGTTGTCCGTCGGTTTTTCATGGGCAAAGGCTCCTGTTTCATTGGCTTTCATGAGATTGGAGTTGGGGAACCCAAAGTTGTGTGGCCTCACCACAGCAGTTGTCCAAAACAGTGGGCTTCGATTGTCAGATCCCTGGTGCCAGGATCCGAAATTTGTGGATGAATGCCAGCCCTCACCATTTCCATCCCCGCGTGCTGGTGAAGTATGGGCTCATCTCATGGTGCTTGGCGGAAACCATCTTCATGATCTACATTTGGCACCTTGGTCTGAAAGACTGCAACATCTGCAGTGATTATATCAATTATATCACAGAAATATGGAAGTTAAGTTGCAAAGTCAATGCTTTGATTTTCCCAAGTTTCCGCTCCGGAATAGTTTTTTGGTTGCTGAATTGATGTCCACTTGAATGTCGTATTCAACTTTCAACATTGAAATGATCAATGGCATCCTGTTTGTTCATGCAACAAGTTCCCCATCAGCCCCACAGTTATGGCTAGATGGAACGATATGGAGTGATAAACGCATAGTGAAATAGCAACTTGCAATCACCATGATATCCAATATTGAATATTCCATGATATCACCAGATACAAAATCATTGATAAGCCCAGGTATATGAACCATTTGATACTGGTTGGTGGTTTGGAACATGTTTCCATATATTGGGACTAAACATCCCAACCGACAAATATCTTTCAGGGGGTTGAAACCACCAACCAGGATATCATTTGATATCCCATCAGCCGCAGGCAATACACACGTTTCCTGAACGGTCAGACCACCCGTCGCTGGCGTGCGGTGAACGTCCACAACACAGCGGAGAAGCGCAGAGCCTCCATGGTGCCGTTGGCTACCGGTCCAAGCAGGGGTCCTGTGGAAGATCCCCGAATTAAACTCATTAAATGTAGGTTTATAGCTAGGAAATGCTGTGAACATATGGGAACATCATATGAATCATAAATGAAGGTTTTAGACGGTTTTAGTGGAAAATCATTTGCTGGGACAATGATCTATACATTGGAGGTTTATAGCTGGGAAAATCATCTATGAATGTATGAATTTCCATTGTCATGTTTGATTACCAGAGGGTAATGCCAAAAGCATCCTCATTTGACCGGAAATGGCTTGGTGGATCAGTGGATCGTAGGTATTTTTGCTCAGACAGGTGGATTTGACAGTTTACCATGAACATATGGGTGATGGATTTGGCCGATGACGAGTAAAAATGCTTGGTGGATGGGTAAATGTGGGAAAATCAATTCTATAAACCGTCCCTATTTTGCCAGGTTAGGTTAGATTGAAACCATCCCATACTGAACGTTTTATTATGAAGTTTATACCGCATGAGATGGTTTGGAGGTGCATTCCACCAAGTGGCAGGTCGTCACCCTTGTGTTTTGATACTTGGCGCTCAGGAACGCTACCTTCAAGCCTTGGCACAGGCAGTGGTTGTGACCCTTTGGTATTTGCTTGGGATCAAGAGATTAGGTTCAATCCAGAGCAAGATGGAATGTGAAATGGCACTGCATCCTCATGTTTGCTGCACATTTCATGATTCAGTGGGATTTTAAAATCCATTTGCTTCGGCGTGGAATCCAAGCATTGCTGGGCAAGCGGGCAGATTCACATCAGAAGGTCATGATTTGTGGCAGTCCCTATGATTCCCCACGGCAATAGATGAGTAGGTTCCCAAAAAAAGGATGGTATGGCAAGAGCCAACCAAATCGATCTACTTTAGTACGGGGGTAATTATCCGGGTATCCCGGTATCACTCAGTAGATCAATAGATCTATTTTCCCAGCAGATGCCCGTGGCATGTGCAGGTGGCCCATGGTGGTAGTCCCAGTGAGAGCCGACCAAAGAACAACTTTGGCACCGGCTTGCAAAAGGCCCCGGCGTCGGATGTCTCGAAAAATTCCACACCCCCAACAAAAATCAATCAAAAATCCACCAAAAATACACATCGCCCACAGAAAAAAACCACCAGAAATCCATCGTGTTCCAATGTTTTCAAATGTTTTCCACATTTCTAGGGATTTTCTACATTTTCCCAGGGATTCCTAGGGTTTTTCCGACTTTCCCCCACCTTTTCCCCAACATTTCACCGGCCAGGCCGCGGCCAACCGCATGGCCACGCCGGGGCTCAGCCGGACGCTGCGCTCCAACTCCACCGCCGCACTGAAGCGCACGGGGAGTTTCCTCCTGGGCGGCGTGGTGAAGCGCCTCGGAGGTAGTATGGTGGTTTATATGATATATATATATACATTTCTGGTTGGTGGTTTGGAACATGAATTTTATTTTTCCATATTTAGGGAATAATAATCCCAACTGGCTAATATGTTTTAGAGGGTTTGAAACCACCAGCCAGATGTAATATATATATGTGTGTATTGAGATCTATTTAGAGTGGTTGTATATGGTTGTATTTAATGATATCACGTGATTATCTAGTGATTATGTACTGTTTTTGTGCATTAGTATATGATGGTGAAAAGCTTTAAAGATCGGGAACAGCATATAACACTTACTCATTAATATTTCGGATTATTATATTTCATGATTTATCATCACAATGTATATGAAACAAATCGAATGGTTTTAAAAAATGGTGATTTCATATTATCCATGATTACACTGATTTCTTCAACATGTTCCCATCACTACCTCTGTTTTTGTGTTTGATTCCCTTATTTTCTATCGATGCCCCTTGATGTTTGGCGTCTGGAATAGCGATACCAAGGCACGAGGAGAGTGTGGAGGACCTCTTGACACTTGGCTGTTAATGGTTGTTTTATATTGTTATATCGGTATGCATGCCCTGATGGATATATGTTATATGGACGTGTAACTGATGTAGTTATATAATGTTATATAGGCTGATGATCTGTGATGATCTTGAGTGGCTTTCACAGTACTTGGCAAGTTCCAGGCGTATTTTTGTTGGATCATGTTGGATCCACTTCAAAGTATGGTGATTTCACTAAGGGATATCGGATTTCGCACCGACTGCCATGACTGGATGATTTACCATCTGGTTATGACTAACAGTTTGCCATGGAAAGATCCACCATGCTATTAATAGGTAAACCATCTATAAATGGGCCATTTTCCATGGCTAACTTAAATAACCAGAGGGTATTTTAAAAAAGAATGCATGACCAATTCTGTAGGCCACATTCAGCCTACCATGCCACCATATGCCACCCTTGCACCTCGAGTTCAGTTGTTGAGGAAACATATGGAAGGCTCCAGTGGCAACCTGGAAGCTGAACTTCAAAGGCCCCACTTCCAGCAGTGGGTAGAGGATATGGCGACTTTGTGTCCAAAATTTTATACTAAAGGTTGGTATGATTTCGGATGAATCATATTTACACGACTTTTGGGGTGTCATCGGATATATAAAAAACGTGTTTTGAGCGGAAAAATGGAAAAGCAATGTCCAAGAACCAACAGTCAGCAAACCTCATTTTGAAGAACACGGTGTTCTGTTTTCTTTTCCCCAAATCCTGTCCGTCCCCCTAATATTAAACACTCCCCAGAGAAAGTGGTGGATGTAGGTGATTTACATTAAATTGGGGCCGTAGAATGGGGGTGTAACTAATATATAATATGAGATGGGGATGGCACTAATTAGTCATATATACAATCATCAAACAACCATTTGTTGTCGGGCTGATATCCTCATATATGTTGTGAATAATGTTACTGATTTCTATATTACAGAGTTGCGTGATGGGAAAATTGAAACCGGAAACCCTTTAGATTTTGACCGGTAGAAGCAATGGTTTCCCGTTGAGATGTTCCCTGACATCCATCCTTTGATCAATGAAATCCATGAAATGCATGAAACTTGAATCATGTTTGGTTGATCCATCAATTTTCCATGGTGGAAACCATGGTTTTCTCATGGTGAAATCCATGATTTCCACAATTTTTCGATGGTGAAATCAGATAAATCCACCATTTTTCTCCATTTTTCACCAAGAAATTCCCTCCCCACCGGCCCGAGCTGGCCAGGCTCCGCTGGCACGAGCTGGCGACCTTCTTCCACGGCGCGGGCCGTGGGGATGCGGACGACATCACCTCCTGGCTGCAGCGGGACAACGTCAAGGCGCAAAGATGGCCGGAGGGGGTAGAAATCCACCTGGAAAAGGATGGGAAGACATGGAAAACATATGGAAAACATTGGAAATCCCAAATTTGGTGATAGCACTTTAACACTGGGTTTTAAAGTGCACTTTTCTATTTGGATTGGGGGGTGTTATGGGAAGCAGGATGTAGAAAGTTCCGTTGACGGAGGAAATCGGAGGACACAGGGGGTGATCAAGTCTAATTGGCTGATGAATGTCGGTTTGCCAATCTACACCGGTAGAACCGGATAGATATTGCAGTTGACAGTTCTTGTGCGCAATGATCATCAACATATGGTTCTGGTTGGCCCAGCAAGTTGTGTGCGTTTTGTTTTTCATTGCGGAGGAGGACTGCCCAATCTTGGGATATTTTGGATAAATCTCTCCAGTGGACTGGAAGTTCTTGGACTGCAGCGCACAGGTCTGATTTCGACCGGTTCTTGTTGAAAAAGATGACAACAATGAAAGATTCGAAGTTCGTGTTACCTTTTACCAGCATAACCTCAGGCCATATTTACAATATCGAATTGAGAGTAACAATTATCAGACAAAAGAACTTCCCCATTTACAATATTCATAACATTCATAACATGTGATCAACATGTATAACCCCATAATCCCCATTTATCAAGCACCATTTCTTTCCTGAAGAACTCCCATTGGTTTTGTCCCTCCTTAGCGACCAGGATTGGATTGCCCACTACTGGTTCCGCGGCGCTACACCGGAGGAGCTCCTGGAGGATAGTCCACAGCAATTCCAGGACCATGTCGATGGGTGCAGTTCGTTAAGATGCTAAGTTGGTGATTGGTGAAAACATAACTCCGATGGAAAACTGGGTTTATAGTAGATATTGGGGAATCAGGATTTTGGCTTGGAGATTTTGGGGATTTTGTGGTGTTTTCAGTGGTGCCTTGCTGATGCATGTTGTGATGACGAAGCAAAACATGCAGCAGCCCACCAGAGGCTGCCGTCAGCAATGCCCCTGCGAAAGATATGACCAAATCCCCGGGAATGTGCAACACGTTTGTAATAGCGAGAGATATTTCTCAACCTGATGTTTTTGCTGTGGTTGATTGTCCTTACAGGTCACCAACCTTAAAAAAATCTACACCTTAGACCCATCCTAGACCCATCCTAGACCCATCCTAGACCCATCCTAGAATCCTAGACCCATGCCACGGTTGTTGACCCACGATCCGGTTCTTTGCAGCAGGAGTTACGTTCACTGGTCGATTTGGTTCTGCAGACAGCTGGCTTACAGAACCTGTCGCAGGCAGCCGGGGGAATCTGGGTGCGCGGAAGCATCACTTGGTTGGAAGATGTTGGAAGTACCATTTGAACACTATTATGCACGGTGCCCTGCCAAAAATGGAGAAACATACCATGAATATCCACGAATATTTTGGATATTCTATGCTAAAGGTTCAGGATTACTCTACTTTCTTGCTAGGTATCTCAAGTTGTCTGCATTTTTTCGATCAGCCCATGAAAATTCCGCCATTCCGCCATGGCGCAGGGCCGAAACCCAAACATCATCGCCTACCGGATCTTCTCGGCGACTCGGCAGCTGCACATCCTCAATTGTCCAACTCATGTGCCAAAACCATATAAAGTAACTTCCCACCAGGAAAAAAACAGAAAGAACAGCTGACTTTACATGTGTTGATTATAACCTCAAGCTTTTGTTGATTATAACCTCAGCTAATTCTACTATGCTGTTGTTTAATTATAACCTCAAGCTATTCTGGCTGGTGGTTTGAAACTTTTTTAATTTTCCATTTCATATATGGGATGTCATCCTTCCCAAACTGACTAACTCATATTTCTTCAAGATGGTGAAATTGCACCACCAACCGTCATCAATCAGCAATGAATCACCATAAATTCCAATGAAATCCCCCATGTCTCCTCCATTTCCCCCATGATCTTCCCATGGTTTGGTCCTTTTCTGAGCAACATGAGCTGAGTCACCTGCAAAAACCAGGACCCGTTGCCGGTGGTGCATCGTCCCCTGATGGTCTACGCGGGCACCTCTTTGCTATGCCCCATGGTCTCCTACAAGGTGGGCCTGATAAAATAACCAGAAGAGTTGGAACCATTTTTGGATAGAACAGTTACCCTCTGGTAAACGTTGACATAACTATGGAAAGATCCACCATTTTCATGGGTAAATCCACTATTTCTATGGCCATGTTCAATAGCTACGTTAAACTACCAGAGGGTAGAAACTATATATTTTTTGGGGGTTACTTAATATGACTATAATGTATTTATGGTCCTCATTTGTGGTTGAGTTGTTGTTGCCCACCTGTTTGCAGGTGATGCAATGGCCTCTTGGTTTTTCGAAGGGCTGGAGAGGTTGTGGCGATTGTGGCTCCGTTGTGGCGATGTCCTAAGATTAGGATATGGCTTCCCAAAAAGGGGCTTGGTGGCTTGATGTGTTGTGTTTTTGTGGTTGTTTAGCTTGGCAAAACGCAGTGTATATTTGCTTAGGTGGAGGCTGGTCATGTTGAGTGGTTCATAGACCTATTTCTCCAATCCCCTCAGTGAATTCAGTGAAGGGGAAATCTACAGGGAAACCTCATTACCTACAAGAGAATATGAACGTGGATGGGCTTATTCTTCTGATAAAAGAGGTATGATATCACTATAGCTTGAGGCAGTCATGGCTTATAACTCTACTCCCAAAACTCCCACTTAACCCCACAGTCACTGGCATTCTATGGAAATCATATACTAAATCTATTTGTTTCCACGGTTTGTTCTGGTTAGGGTACTAGGTGGTAGGCCAATTTGGCTTTGATAGGCAGTATATGGTGATTTCAATGCTGAATTCGGCCATTTGTGGTGAATGTACATTTCCTGACCTTGCTATGTGTGTTGGATTTGGCAGCAACTGTGGCAGCAACTGTAGAGCAATTACCTGATCCATCGATAAACATTCCTCAAATGAAAAATTACCTGCAGTTGTCGTAGTTTATGTATACTGGGGGCAATATATACCCCGGCGCATATTGCTCTACCCAGTATATACCGGGTATATACCTATCACATATTGATCACCTATGTTTAGCAGCAATATATACCAGGTATGTGCCTGGTATATATTGCTCAGGACAGTATACGCCGGGGTCTATATTGCTCCCCGGTACCAGGAGCAATATGTGGGGGCAAGGCGGCGGTTTTTTTTGGTGTTTGTGTTTGGAGGAGGCCGGTTTTTTGGCATTCTTTTAAATTTCTTCCCGGTTTTGCGGTTCGGATAAAAATGTGCTCCTGTTCTTGAGTTCTTGAGGGAGCTTGTGGAAATCAGCAAAAAGTAGTTACGGGCAAACCTCTGTATATATGGCCGGTATATGCTCAACCCAAACTGAGGGGTATATACCAGGCATATACCAGGTATATATTGCCACCCCCCCTAGGTATATAAGCCCTACCACCTGGGGCAGGAACCAGAAAAATTCCTTGATTGTTTTCTAACCCCCATACACTCATGATTTTGTAGTTCCAACATGTTCTAACATGTTCTAACCCATGGTTTAAGGGATTTGAACCCCCACCAGTCCCTGGGTCCCCAGGTTGGGTTTCCATCGCGAACGCGCCGGCGGCCTCTGCTACTGGAAGCGCCCCCGTCGCAGCTCCGTGTCAGGAATCGACCTGTCGGCACCGAGGTGGGGAAACTCCTTCAACGGTGGCACCTTTGTCGGGAAAAAAATGGGGTTGGTAAAGTGGTTTTACATCATGTTTCAGCTGCTTAAAGTAATTTTAATCAAAATTGGGGTGGTTATAGTTTGTTTCACCATGTTTTTTTTGCATTTAAAATGCTGGATCTCACTTTATGATGGATTTATAACATGGAGATAGGGGTATAAGGTGATGTAGGCAGCAAAGAACAGGCTGATTTCAACGGCCAAACAATGCTGCTTGAGCAATGTCAAAATGGTGCTTCATTCGCTACAGAATACCGACTTTCAGGGAAAACCAAACAAAACCACAATCGAATCATATGTTTAACTGGTTGGTGGTTTGGAACATTTTCGATTTTTCCATATTTTGGGAATGTCATCATCCCAACTGACGAACTCATATTTTTCAGAGGAGTTGAAACCACCAACCAGTTAATGTTTTCACACATTTTGGGGCCTATGGAAGTCATAACAACTCCAAGTGCCACCACATTTTGGGCGAATTTCTCTGTCGGCAGGCAGGTGCCCTTAGTCTTTGTGCATGGCTTGGGCGTTGGCCTCGTGACTTGGATATAGGAGTTCTGAATCGTTCTTTGATGGAAGAAATCCTACACCACCTTGGATGGTTGAAACCCTAGAAATAGTGAATGGGATGTTTACCATCTATCAACTGGTGCAGGATTTCGCAACCATCCACAGAATCAGCCCAAAAATCAAGTCTCTGTTGCAAGGGAAAATCAGCTTGAGATTTGATGGAAACGGATACGTCAAGAAATAAGACATCTTTCAGCTTTGATTGCGGGAGCCGGCTGTCCATCCGTACCCTGTGTGGTTGGTGATGTAAGGTGCCTTACTTTATGATCATCTATCGCCTGTCTCAACGGCATAGCAACTTGGAGAACTCGGGATGGTAGTGGACACTGGTTGAGCAGCGCTCAGAGGGAAGTGACTTATTGGTGACCAGTTGAGCTGTGATTTGTGTTGCTGTAACGGGGGGTGGGCCAAATTTGATGTGGCATGATGTAGCTATTTTGCGTGGGGTACACACACACACACATATATATATATATACATATACATATATATATATATATTTATATTGCTTATATATATATATAATATACATATATATATATATGTTTGCCCCATCATCATCCCATCATCACCATCATCACCATCCATCACCACTAGGTGGTCCCCGGACACCGGTTGAGGTGGTGATTTGTTCGTGCCCGAGTTCCCGTTCTTAGCTATGGCGCCCTGGGAGAGCGTGCCGAGTGCACGGGAGGTGGTGGCACAATTACAGGCCCTGGGTCCGCAGGGCCCCAACAGCCGGAAAAATGGGAGAGATATTTTTTGATGAAGATCATGATCTATCTGGTTATAATGCTTGCTATAGGTATTTGCACCATCATTAATTATCATAATATGTTCTCTGGTTGGTGGTTTGGATTTTTTTATTTTTCCATTCAGTTGGGAATAATCATCCCAACTGACTTTCATATTTTTCAGAGGGGTTGAAACCACCAACCAGATGATCTATCTTGAATATGTTTGATATTGTTTCACTATTTTTTCTGATATGTTTGATCTTGGAGAAGGGCATAGATAGCGGCATAAACATCTTTGGATGAATACATATTGCTTTTTGACTATGCTTGAGCACGTGATACGAGGTGGTGTCCACCCCCAGTTGGTTTATACACTATAGTGACTATAGATATATCTACCATAAACCCAACAGCTATTGGAGTTTTACATAAACCAACCTATTGTGTTTATGGTAGATATATCTATACCCATGTGTTATACACCATATAGATATATCTAACATAAACCAACCTATAACTGGTCAGCCCAAAGCTTTCAAGTTCCCCCAACAACTTCGCTTGCGCCCGGAAGGACATGCTGTCAGCGCACGGCCACACCTCCGCACATTGGGCTGGCCATTCCTTCGGCTGCGTGGTGATTGGCTGGGTCTGGAAGCCTAGAGGAATGAGAGGTCACCCCTTTCAGGACCCTGGTCATGTCGGATTTCTCCTTTGATTTGCCAGGATTGACTGGTAAATGTGCAAAACTTCGGGACTTTATGGACTCTTAGGGTGTTTTTGAAGATGATCCCAGAGTTATTCAGCAGTTGGGTGCTCTGAAAAAAAGAACCGGATGCTTCACCTCTCCACAGTTTTCTCCCTACTTTGTTGGGCTACCCTCCTTTAAACCCACAACAAGATCTGGCAAACCCACCATTCGTAGATCATTTTCCCAGGGAAACCACAGGTTTTCTACATCTTTTCTAACATGTGTTTATCCCAGGGTATATCCCCATCCACCCCTTATCCTTGGGATGGTGCCATCCATGGCGTGCTACATCAGCTATGCAGGTCATGAAGATGTCGGCATCTTCCCTGCGCTACGCCACGTTGATGGAGCCAGCGCAGTTTCTCATGATCAAATCCGAGGCATTGACGAAGTGCCCGGGCGCAGTATGGCGCAGTGGCGAGGGGATGATGGAAGGATGGATGATTAGTTCTTACCATCATTAGTAGTATGATTATTATTACTATGAATTTCATGTGATTGTTATTGTTTGATGATGATGATGATGATGATGATTGTGATGATTGTGATGATTGTGATGGTTGTTGTGATGATAGTGAAAGTGATGATGATGATGATGAGTATATGTTAGTAAGGGGAATTGCTCTCACTTCTGAACGGAAACTAGTACATGTATTTGAGTCCTCGTATAGTAGATCCTATTTGTTTGTTTCATGGATGTATACTTGGAAGGTGAAGGCACAGAGGTAAGCAGAAGTTTTTCCCTGGATCCATGAGTTGGGGTATGTCACGGCAACGTAAGATCCATATTCCCAACCTGTACTACTCAAATATAGGCAACACATCAATGGAGAGTTTTGGAATTTCCAGCAGACAGGACATGGTTGAGCTGCTGACTGCTTTCCCCCACCGTAAACTGGGCGCTATGCATATATACCGTTTTGGAATGTTTTGGATAGTTTTGGTGTCGTTATGATTTCTATGTTTATTTCTGAAATCACATAGTCTCATAGTCTGTGTTTATTTTCTCATAGTCTACTTGGCGGCTCATCCCACTTAGTAAGTGGGTTATAACTTCAGTTATAAATGGGATTTCTGTAGGGTTAATCCACTTATAATCGGGGTTATAACTCACTTACGATTCGTGGATAACCCCAGTGATTTACATGGGATTTCTGTAGGGTTAATCCACTTATAATTGGGGTTATAACTCACTTACTAAGTGGGATGAACCACCAAGTATGCTTATTTCTATGTCGTAGCTATGTGTTTTTTCTTTGTCCCGCTGTTGCCAGCCCTTGGTTTTGGCGCCCCTTTCAGGATCTTATGGGGACGACCGGGGTTCCTCGGCGAAAGCGGTTGTTGCCTCTGGGAAAAAATGGGAAAAAACGGGGGAGAACTAACAACAACTAGGGGATTTATAGGGGATTTATAGGTGATTTATAGGGGACTTATAGGGGATGTGTTAGGGATAGAATGGATTATTTACCCTTTGGTTTCTATGGTACACAGCTATTGAACATCTTGCTGAAAAATGTTACAATATAGGTCAATCATCGAAGTAAATTGGCCGTTTGTACCATAACTGTTTCCAATTAGCGGAGAGTATATTCACCACCCAAACAATGCCGCAAGTGTGGGCAGAAATGTGACGTGGACCACATGGAGCATATGGGATAGGGGGTCAAATAATTTAGGTGAGGACTCCAAGAGAAAACGCTATGGATGATTTGGTTTTTAGCATCTTATCCGAAAGCACTGACATGACACATTCCTGCCTTTCTCAGCAATCGTGTCCCAGTAGCCGAGGGACACCAGCAACCACCTGAAAAATCGTGCCAGCGGCAGCTATTTTGACATGTTCAAGCCACAGTTTTTCACCACAAGATTTGGGTTTTGATCCATAGTCATGGTATAAAATATAAAAAGGACCACCTTATATATGGCATACCAAAGACATGGTATACGATCCTCACAAACCACTATAGGTTTTACCACAATGAAAATCCCCTTGATGTTTTTGCAAGGGACAGTTTGCCTGCTTCAAGGACCACCTTTGAAATTTTGATCCGATACTTTGCTTTCAGAGCCTCGCCTTGCAGTGTGGGAAGCTGTGGATTTTGACTTTTCTGTTGGTCAAAGGGATTAGATTTTAGACATGATATCTTCTCTACCAGGTTTGGCACATGAAATCTTACAATGCTTCTTCCTTCTATTTCCCGACATTAATTGGTTTATCCTCAGTACCTGGTTACTTTTTGTGCTGTTGAGTTGCCTCAACTGGGTGGTTTTCCACTGATCGTTTCTGCCAAGGAGAGCTGTTCACGGTGAACCTCTTGTGCCGGAACTTCTTTTGGGAACAGAGCTCCATGTGGCCCGAGGACACGGATGCATGTGCGGATCCAATAGGATCAAGATGGATCAAGTTTCGATGGACCAAAAATGAGCCCTCCACATTTTGGGGGGATCAATGATCAATGGAAATTTAGGTAAATTTACATGCATCAAGGTGACATATGTTTTTGGATGACCTCTCACAACGTGAATCCATGCATTTCTTGAGAAATTGCAGCCATGGCAGCCACTTCACAGGACTTGAAGGTGCCATCCATCATTGCTTTGGCTGGCGATGACCACATCGTTCGGAGCCCTGGCACAGCCACAGCTGGGCTTGCTGCAGCCATAATCCAAGACCAGCCTTGATCCTGGACCATTGCTACTGAGAAGGACCACTTAAGTGATGCGACACAAAAAACATGCCGGGACATCCAGGAGATGAATGTAGACCAGAGAATCAGATACCTTCTGCGTATTTAACATAGAAAATTGCCCATGTGTACTATAAATGACCTATACGAAACGAATAGGGACATAAGGATTCTCAATAGCTACCATCTAGTTATTTAACATAGCCATGGAAAATCACCATTTTTTAATAGGTAAACCATCTAATACCATCTATAAATGGGTCATTTCCCATGGCTATGTTAAATAACCAGAGGGTATCTTCAATTGCCGGAGGGCATGTCACAGCATGTCACTCTCCAAGCCTCGGAACTTCAGGTCCAATCCACCTTTGTCCGGCGTCTATTGGAGCATGAGCAGCTCGGATTTGACGTGCTTTTTTTTGGGTGCAAATCAATACCCATAGGATCCATGTATGCTATATATGGTAACATTTACCATCAATATACCCCAAATGTTGGCATATATACCAGCACCATGGATCCTATGGGAATAGAAAATCCCCATGGAACTGCCGGAAAGTTCCAAGTTTTTTTTTGTTTAAGACCATGTGGAAGTTCCATTGGAACTATCAGCAAATCGGGAACTTCATGGAACTATAGATGCCGGAAAGGATCCAATAGATGCACCATGTTTTGGAGATAGGAGCTAAACAAACGGATAGTGATGGAATATGTCTAGTGATCTAAATCAATCTAAATCATTCATAATCATTTTCTCCATCATCTACCCCTCAATAACCATATTTCTCCATCTCCAAGTCATCCATTGATTTCATGTGTCGGATGTGGCCGACCCAGGAAATCGGCGCGACGACTGCAACGCCGAATGGCCTCAAAGAAGGGTCGCGGAATGCCGACGTCAGGTGCAGCGCTTGCCCGGTAAAAAAAAAACTATCCCAAATGGTAGGTGTACTAATATATCCGGATTATTTTTTAAGTATTTCTGGGTGATTTTCATATCTCGGGATTATTTAATAATGTGTTTCAACAATAATAAGCAATTCCCAATTTCACCATAAATACCATTCCGAGTCATGGGTGGTTTAATATTGTTTTACCAACATTATTGGTTTTACCACATTGGTTTGGTTGGTTATTTAATGTGATTTGCTGGTCAAATAGAATAAGCGGAGAGAATATATGACTAGCAGTGACTAGCAGAATCTCTCGAAACCAAAGATAGTGATGATGACTTTTCCATCACTTGGTGGTGGTTTGGAACATTTTTTATTTTTCCATATATTGGGAATGTCATCATCCCAACTGACGAACTCATATTTTTCAGAGGGATTGAAACCACCAACCAGATCATTATCATGTCTTAATTTGCAACATATCAGGATAAACATGGGGAGCTTGTTGGGATGATGATGTGAACAACATTGAGCGACAAACATGGGGAGAATTTACACGTGCCCCAGGAATGGGAATGCGAACATATGTGAAATGCTGATGTGGCACACGAGCACAGATCAAATACTAAACCGGCAATCATAAAGTGAAATACTACTACTTGTAGGGAAGGTCCGCCACTTTCTAATCTGTAGTAGAGTTTCCAAAGACCAAACGGGTAAGTTTCCATTGCTATCTTGGATGCAACTAAAATGGGAACGCTGAAGTAACGAGTGTGACAACCGTATAATGATGAAGCTTTCGCAAGAACACACCCCTGGAGTGGCGGCAATTTCTCTCAAAGCGAAGCTTGAAGTCAACGGCCATTCCAAGTGAGACAACATGACAGAAGAATTGCTATCCTTTCAATGGGGACCATATTGAGCAAAGGGATGACCTTCCATACCCTCTGGTAAACTAATTAACATAACTATGGAAGATCACCATTCTTAATGGGAAAATCAACTATAAATGGCAATATTCAATAGCAAACTGTTAGTTTACCAGAGGGTAGCTGCCCCATCTTTGACCTGAGTGGTTTCACATTGGATTCCAAGACTGGTCACACCAGGCTCGTCCACGGATGTCAGAGTGGATACCTTGAACCAAGCTTCGACCACCTCGCAGCTTGGTTTTCGATTCCCCCAGGGATTTTGATAATTCCCAATAGTGGGTAGGTTAATAACCCATCTGCTCCATGGTGCTGGTATATTTACCTACATTTGGGTAATTTTTAGGGCAAATGTTGATAAATATTCCATACATGGAGCATCTGGGTAATGTATAGTATAACTATGATGATCAAACAATAGATGGTTTCTTATCGGGATTCCCATTATGAATATGATGAAAAATTCCCAATATAGTATAGATGGGTATAATATCCTATGATCAGAAAATAGATCATATTCATAGTGATATACCCATATGGGTATAAGGTATAGATGGGTATGATCATTGAACAAATAGTGATATACCCTCAAAAAATAGGGGTGTTCATAATATCAATGGCCATTTCAGGATCCTAAATTGGAGGTACCTACCATATATAAGGCCTATATAAGGCCTATGTAAGGGAATATCCCATCGATAATAGGTCAATTGAACACTGCTCCGCTGGTGATACACTGCTGGTGTTTTTCACGAACGCCGAGGTCCGGGCCGGAACCCATCGAGATCCTGTGGAACGAAGGCTTCTTCCATGGGCAGATTCTCTGTGACCGCCGACACTTGGTTTGAGCCGGGATCTTCTTCATTGTTTTTAGAAGGTTAGTGTTGCAAGTTGTTATTATTGTGGTAACCCTTTTTAAAAGAGATAGAAAAAGTCAATAGAAGTCAATAAAAGTCAATAAAAGTATACATATCACCATTCTCATGGGATGTTCTGTCTTTTTGGAGATTGTTAGTCGTTTTATTCGTCCAGCTGTTGACCCCTACACTCCGGTAAGGTGAATGGCGGTGAAGACTTCGGTTTCCCATGGTGTTAGGTTCGAACTTGCAGACACTTGCAATGATAAAGAGTTTGGGCAGCATGTTGTATTGGTTCCTTTGTGCCCATTCAGGTGGCTTCAACTCCTCTAGACTGTAGACAATCCTTTTGATGAATCTTGTTGGCATCCTTTCCTTGCGAACATAAATGGAACTGGCTTGGTACTTTTCCCACATGTTGTGTGTCTGAAATATTGCCACACCGCAAAGCGCCGCATGGTTTATCCTCATTGTCCATGTTAGTTGCCGGACATCAGGGTTTATATGACTTTATATGGGTGATCAAGCCTTTTAGAGTCTTTTAATCGCTTTTCGTTGGGTTTATCGGTTTATCCTCACCTTTTCGCCGAAGTCTCCACGTCTTCTCCACCGACGTTCCCAGGTGCCCAGGACCATCTGTTCCTGCGCATGCGGTCGCTGGTTCGAGAGGAGGATGCCCAAGGTGCCGCCCAAGGCCTGGAGGATGGAGATGGAGATCCATTGGGCATGGATTTTTCATGGGTTTATTATTGGTTATTATATAGAATAGATTATAATAACAAATAATGAATGGTTATAAGTTATAAGTTTTTGTCAATAATTAGTTAGTGAATCTATAACCAATGAAAAATCGCGAATAATAGAATTATAAGTCGGTATGATTATAGATTGGTTATAGGTTTATCGAAACATAATTTAATTATAGAATACGATAGTCATTAATTATAGTTAAACTCTATGCTTGTAGTTCTAGCTGATTGAAAACCAGAAAGTGTTTTTCTGGTTGATGTTGATGGTGTTCAAAGGCTTGGTCATTTCTAGGCCCAAGTGGAATCATACTCTGTGATCGACATTTTTGAAGTGGGATCAAACACACAGTTGTTTCTACAAAAAGATAGGACACACAGTGGGATATTTTTGAAGTGGGATGTTTTTCCCTGTCAGTCTCTACCTCTTGTAGCTGCTGTTGATGGCCAGTGTCCATTATTTCCACATGCTGTACGCGCCAGGATGAGGTCTTTCCAGATTGTCCGCAATCTGTAGCTTCAGGCAGGTCACAACTGCAATTGCTGGGCTGATTTTGGCAAATCACTGCGATGGTTCCGGCCAGTGACAGCAAATGGGTCATATTCCAAGAATCATCCTATGTTAGAAATGGGTGGAAATGCCAGACCATACCTTCCCAGCTAGGGACAGGATCTTGGCAACTCTCCAGTCCAACATCACCCAAAGCACCACCTTGGGTTCGCAGGTGACAGAGAAACCGACATCAGCTGAGTGGCGAAATGGAAACCCTCAGTTTTTTCAGGTGTGTTGAGGATCACTGGCCATCCCACTTCATTTATTCGGTTTTTATCTTGAGGATTGTTATAGTTTCTGCCATTGATTCCTCAGCAGGATTGGGCTTTTCTGTGACGACTCACGAAGAAAGATCCACCTTTCGCCATGGGGCCAAGAAAAAGCCCAAGCCTGCGAAACTCGCACACCAATCCGTTAAGGCAAATTCCCGCGATTTCATGGTTTCGATTTGACGACAAAGAAGTTCATCCATTAAAACTGGGGTGAGGATCAGCAATTTGAATGAGACATTAATGATTTCATAAGTGTCAATTTTACTAACTAATGATAATCTTTACTAGATAACCTTTACTAACATTTTACTAACATCAGGTGTAGAACCACATTTATATATATATATATGTATTTTTAAAGCTGGATAGGGGTGGATCGAAACCATTTGAAACCACCAGTGCTGCACAGACAGGGGCCGTTCTGCACGGTGCCCCTGTGGGCAGAGGCAGCTGCATTTGAAGAGCTGGGACTTGGTAGGGCAAAAATGGGCAGTTCACAGTTTCACAGTTCACAGTCTGGATACACTGTCAACTCATATTTTATATATTAATAATGTGCGTATATAATGTGTGTGTTTGTGCATATGACAGTGGATACAATGATGGTAACAATGGATATAACAATGGATGTAACAATGGATATTATAATTAACAGAACAATGAACATAATACGTACGACATTGGATATAACTTGATATAACTAACATTGATATTCGGAAAGCCGTTTAGGTTTCCAGAAGTTTCTAAATTGGACATTTTGACCATGACACTTTGTCCTTGCCCAAGTTTCCAGCCGCGGTAGCTCTGTTCAGATGTGCGACATTGACAAGTCGCGCTGATGCCTTGTTTACGGTGACACGTCCCACGGTGTTTTCTTGTTTG